AGCTTCTCCCAGTCCTCTCCTTGAACAGGACTAGAAGTGCGTGTTTTTCAGTCGTTTTCAGTTAAAAACTATTACATCACATGTATATTTTACCTAAACTGCGCCTGAATGAATATATTCTCGGAAATAAATAGTAGTTTTGCTGAAGCGTGATGTAATTCAATGTAAAATAGGATAAAATACATAGCGAAAACAAAGACTTTCCCTAAGCTTCTGTTTTGAGATGTTACTCGTTTTTAATAGTTTCCTGTTAAAATTTTGTTTTATTACAATGATATTCTATTCATACTGTGCTTGATATAATACATTCACGGAAATATAATATTTTGCTGAAATTACGTCGTATTACAGTAAGTGGGATAAAATCGTGATTGAAAACAATGACTTTAGCTTTCTTCGTTCAAAAGATGTTACCTGTCGCTTTTCGAATGGTTTAGTTAAAAACTGTTGTATTACAATAATATTCCTCTAATTGACTTGAATAAATACTTGAATGGAAATATACAATATTTTGTTGAAACTACCAGCGTTTCAGTGTAAAGTGTCGTAATAATAAATGGTAAACAATTTGCCGGCACTTTCGTGTTTCAGGCACGGGAGCCTCAGTTTATAGGGCGTAGAGCGTTTTAGTGAAGGTTTTGTTGTTCCATTACCCTCAAAACGTGGGTCGAACTATAAGCGAGGAATATCGTAAATTACGATTTCTTGGTCAAAATCAGGGTCGACCTATAAACGAGGGGGAGAGCAGTATATACGGTATTTTTACCAAGCTAAATCTTAGGTTATACAAAATACTTAATGAACAGCTTATATATTGGATGACTTTCTCTTGCTTTCCTCATTTTTCTTCATAACAAACTAATCGTTGATGTTAATATGTCAAATTTGTTTGTGTAATAATAATAATAATTAATGGTTTATTGGCGGCAGCGTAGAAGACTGAAAATATAGATACATAATTGGGAATGGATCACTTGATTGGCAAATAATGGACAGGTAACATAAGTGATACAAATATGGTATATAATGACAAGGTGGGGAGAAGGTCATACAGTATAAGTACTCCAGAGCATGCTGATTTCGAATATATGGTCCACGATTCGATGTGGGGTAATTAGTGGCTGTAATGACCCTTGGAGAATTTAATTATATTTTTCAATGCTAATTACTCGCCAACTATGGGTTCAAAGTGCGATTTTGGTGTTAATGTGTTTTTTCTGAAAGTACTTAATTAGTTAAACCCTTAAATTTCAATTCTGTGAAAAAAGTATATTTTGGAGAAAAATTACCAAGGGGTAAGGCTTACCTTTTCGACAGTTTGGCCCAAAATTGTATTTTGTTGAAAATCGTTGTAGGTACTCCAGTGCATGCTGATTTCAAATATATAGTCCACGATTGATTCTTGAGGGTAATTAGTTAACGTAATTAGTTAAACCCCTTATCCAAAATTCCGAAACCTCTGAAAACCTTAATTTTTTTGTGGAGCAAAGCTTTGCATTTTTGTATTTATTCATTTATTCTTTTTTTTCTTAACAGGGTTAGCCCACCGGGCACTGGTCACTGACCCACATAAGGGCCTGGGGGAGGGCGAAATAATAACAATAATACTGTAACAATAAAATAATAATAATAATAAGGAAATACAAGATCAACAGTGAGAAACAACCTAGACCTATAATTCATTATTATTATAATTATTATTATAATTTCGCCCAAGCTCCAATGTGGGTCAGTGACCTGTGCCCGGGTGGGCTGATCCTGGAAAAAACAACTAAACTAACCATTCTGAAATCCGAACAATTCCAAAATCCGAAATGCATCTGGCCCCAAGGATTTCAGATAAGGGATTGTCATCCTGTACTACAGGGTATTGCAACATATAGTAACAGTGCAAAAGTAAGATTGGCTGGGAGTAAACTTACATGAACTTACAGGTTTATAAAAATATGAACCCCAATTCAGGTTGGTCTAGCAGCCTTGCAAGTGATGGAGGAAAGAAATTGGCGAAAATGCTGAAAAAATGGGAATCCCTCTTCGTTCAGAGCTCTTCAAGTTTAAAGGAGGTGGTTTCTTTGGTGCGGGACGAGGACTACTGAATGCTATTGTCATTAACAAGGGTAAGTTCTAAGCAAAAGTCGGTGTGAACTTGGGTTTCTTCAATATACTGTATTGGTTTCAACAAATGTAATGACATTTCACATAATCACATAGCATACGACAACAAAACAACAATTTTTTGTAATTTTTGTACTGTACTATTTTTTATTTTTTTATTAACATCTTATAAGCCATTTTGATTTTTGACAGAGTTTGATGCATGGGATGTGTGTTTACAACTTAAGAACAATGGGCTGTTGGCTAAACCCACACACGGACACATCATCCGATTTGCTCCTCACTCTGCATCAATGAAGAAGAAATAAAGGAGTGTATTGATATTATCAAGAACACTATCTTATCTTTCTAGCAGGTTTCTCTTCTTGCTGATTCTATGGTATTGGCAACAAATTATTTGTGGATCTTTTTACCGTATATTAAATGAGGTATGATATTTTTCTGTAATCTAGCAAGTAATTGACAGATTGGTTAGGCAACTTTTGAACAAGTTACGTATACATAATTCCTGTGCAGTAAATATAGTATGCAGGGCTTGACAGTGCAGTATTCAGGTATGCTGATATTTTGATCATTAATTTATAACCAAGTTTAAGTTGAAAATATCAGAAGACAATTTTTATTGAAGACATTTACTAATTTCATCAAACTTTATACTTGCCAACAGTGAGACAAAGAATTTATATACTGTAGGTCTATTCATTCATGAGGATGAGAGAATGTTGTTTACCTGTGAAGGAGGGCAGCTTCTAGTGGTTTGTCATGGATTTTGATACTTTTGAATACTGAAGGTCCTTCCTGGATAAGGTAAGGGAAAGAATATGCTTGTCAGATGGTGTCTTAATGTCCAAACTGATCGCTTTTGTAAAACAAAAAAAAAAAAATGAAGCTCAAGCTCCTTATAATTTGAACCTTTTCTTCAATTCCTAGCAACTAACCCCATTAATGAAAAGCTAAATCAAAGTTTAATACAGCTACCATTTGCATTGATGCTGGCTGTGTCATACCTGGCCACCCTCAAGCCTTGCCATAGCAATCTAGCCCAGCTGGGATTACTCTCCTGACCCTAAGAAATGCTCCTCCTCGGTCTCAGCACACAAAGAAATGTTTATTCCTCTGTTTTTAACCTTAGGGTAATTATTATTGACTTTACCTATTTTGTATGCAAGATTGGGTGTGCATGGAACTGAATGAAAAGAAATATGAAAAAGTTATGTTTATCTATCCAAAATTACAAGTTGAAGAATAATGATAACATCAATTCTATCTCAGCATGGTTAGGGAGAGCACTAGGGCATGTGGCCATCCCAGCGGATTTTTGTTACTCAAACGTTAGATAGCAAGGAATACCTGTACTCCAAACAAGGAAGCACCTCGCTCTTGAAGAGCATTGGTGTCATTTTTCCACAAATTTGGGATTTAAGGAAGTGTCATTTTACTGGAAAATTTGGGTGTTTCAGGCACCCTTACAGGTGAGGTACACTCGTAGGAAGGAGAAGTACACAAACTCATTGGCAAGTTGTACTTTAATTTGTGATAACATTTTGTACTAGTATAGTTTTCACTAAACACAAAATATCAGATGTGACATACTGAAACAACACCCTGGCCACCTACTATATAATCAGGGAACACTTAAGGGTTTTCAATACTCTACCACTGTCTGCTATCTTGGATATATACAAATGTGTAAGCATACTTATAGTATCTTGGTAAATATACAAATTAGTCGGCACACTCTTAGTTACGTAAAATATGGCATGAATGTGTTTCACCTCCTGGTTCAATTAATTTAGAATAACAGTATAGCCCTAACACTACTTCTGGTCAGAGGCAACTGAATTACAGTTGCCTCAAAATGAAAGTAACACCTTTTAGTTCAGTATTTATAGGAAACCTACTAATGTGTGTTCATATATTCATTATTATTCTGCCCACCATAATAGTCAGTCAGTATTGTATACTCTTCAATATTTTTGCATGCTCTACGAATAGGCAGTCCAGAATTCATTGAATTGGAATATAAATACTGTACCTGTATATCTAATATATTGGATTGAACTTAAAATACCCTAGTTCTTTTAGAGACAAATGCCTTAACATTGCTAAGAAATCTTTTATAGAACTGATCCTAAACCTCCCCATGACAGTAAGAATCTCTTAGTTTTACCATTTAACAAAAATTTCTCGAAATTCTCTACAACTGAAAACCTGGACGTAAATGTAACGTTTAGTAATTCTTGCACTGTAAAACAAATGTTAATTAAGAACTCTCCCCAGCAATGCAGGTGGCTGCATTTACGAGGTTCCTTGCAAGTAATGTAATATTTTCTACTTAGGCCAGACAGGCAAAGATCTTATAACTAGACTTAAACAGCGTAAATATAGTGTTTGGACAGGCCAGAATCCAATGCTTTATTCATTCATATGAGAGATAATAAACATTGCATTGACTGGGATAATGCCTCCTCAGTCTTACCTTGTAATTCAGTTGTCAGCAGAACATTATAGAATCTAGTCTCATTAAACTTACAGTCTGTCTACATGAATTTGAGTAACGGCTTGTACAAATTGTCATTAAGAAGATTTGTAACTAGGTGAAAGGATTGGGTCACTACTTAATAACCTGAATATGGTGGACACCTGCTGTCCCTAGGACTTGATCTCACTCTCCCTTACTGTATATATTATCCTTGTCGATAATTACTCCTTAGTCTGTGGCACCAAATAAATTTTGAATTTATATGTTATACCAGTTTTGAGGTATACTGAATATACTACATGTATATATTGATATATAATTTGTATGTATTAAGTAAATCACTTTATGTTGTGTATTAGTTAGGTAAAATATGTATAGGGAAAATAGTTTGATAATTAGCAAAATGGTTTTGGCACTGTGTGGGTCACTGGTCCATGAGCTCAGCTGGTGAGTGGGGAAGAGGCAGATGAGCCTAGCTGGGGAGAGTGTGGGGTCCAAGTCTGGTACAGTTGGTTTGGACCTGGGATATATGTACAATATATGGAGATAAGTGTTTTTCTTTTTACTGTTCAAGTGTATGGTAAAGCTGAGTTTAGGGTTTAGGATAATTTTTCCTGTGGTTGTTTGTGTTTAAATTGTTCCTACTGAACTTGTCTTTGTAAACACATGCTTAATTTTATTATATTAAAGAATTATGCAGTGTATGATTCCTCCTCGATATGAATTAATCTAAGGCTTATTAAGAACCTGGCAGATATAATAATAGATTCATTAAAGTGTTTACAGGGCGGCCCCAGGGCCATATCAAGAGTGCCGCTCCCAGGGGTCCCTACCAAGGTGAATCCAGTGGCTCTTCAAGGGTGCCTCTCAGGGGCTCTACAGGGCAGCACCCCAGGGGCCTATCAGGGCGAGACCCCTAGGGGACCTTCCCAGGGCAGTGCCCTGAAGACTGTACAGAGGTAACACCCCCAGGGCCTTACCAAGGGTGGCACAGGGGCCCTACCAGGAGCAGTGCTCACTGAGGCAGTGCACGGGGCCCTATCAGGGGTGGCGCCCCAGGGCCCTACCGGAACGGTACCCCCAGGGACCTCCCATGAACCCTCATAAGGGCAACGCCCCAGGGGACCTTCAGGGATGGCTCCCCAGGGGCCTTCCATGAGCGGCTTCCCCATGGGGCTTAAAGTGCCACCTTCAGGTGCCCTACCAGAGGTGGCAACCACAGAGGTCCAAACCGAGATGACAACCCCAGGGCCCCACTAGAGTGGCATTCACTGGGCCCATACCAGGGGAATCCCAAGGGGCCCCTACCAGGGCAGTGCTCCCATGGGCCTGACAAGGACAAAATCCCAGAGGCCTACCAGTGGGAACCACCAAGGGCCCTAAAGTGGTTGGGCCCCAGGGGTGCTACAAGTGGTGGTGCTTCTAAGAGCGGTGGCTGGAGGGCCCTATGAAAGGCAGTACCCATAAGGGCCTTACAGGGCAGTGCCCTAGATTCCTATCTGGGGCGACGCCCCAGGGTGTTCCCCGGGGCCACACCTCCAGGGATCCTACCAACGGCTCCCTCCAGGGCTAACCATGGAAACTCCCCAGGGCCTCTATCTTCCTTGGTCGTGGTGTTGTACATATTACATGCGTTCTGCAATCCCTTAGCTACGATTGGTGGACTAAAATGTAAACCCGCCAAATTACAGCCAATAGGATAAGAGAGCAAACAGTCAGCACAACACCCCAACATATGTTTTCCTGTTGGATATTACAGTATTCTTCGTTACATTGTTCTGCATGTGATGATATTGGAAATGCAATGGGCGATGCATTTATTTAACGTCGCATTTCTCAGAGTTATAAATAGCACAAAAACAACCTACCCCTAAGGTCCCTACAGGGCGCCCACGGGGGCTAACAAGGCCGACGTCCCAGGGGCCATAACGTGGACAATGCCCAGGGGCCTAGCATGGACAACGCCACAAGGTACTCTCCCAAGGCGACGCCCCCAGGAACCCTCTTGGAACAGCTCACTCGGGGCCAACCCAAAATGGCATCCCAGGGGCCCTACCGGGGAGCCGCCCTCAGGGGCCTTTGAGGGGTCTTACCAGGGTGACGCCACCAGGGATCATACCAAGAGCGGCACCCTCAGGGGCCCTAATAGGGGCGGCACCTGGGGCCGTACCCGTGGTGGCGCCCACAGGGGACAACAAGGGACAGGTCCTCAAGGTCCCTACAGGGGTGGTCCCAGCGACCCTACCAGGCGTTCTCTGGAGCCCTACAAAGGCTGCACACCAAGGTTCCCTACCAGGGTGGGGCGCCTCATAGGGCCTAGGGCCGTCCACAGAGGCTCTATAATTTGCTTGGTCGTGGTGTCGTACATATACTTACATCCAACAATCCCTTACTTAACTGTGATTGGTGGACTAAAATGTAAACAAGCCAAATTACAGCCAATGGAGAGAAGGCAAACAGTCAACACATCACCCCAACTTATGTTTTCCTGTTGGATATTACAGTATTCTCCGTACATTGTCCTGGATGTGACGATATTGGAAATGCAATGGGCGATGCATTTATTTAACGTCGCATTTCTCAGAGTTATAAAAGCACAAAAACAACTGCCCCAGAGTTCCTACAGGGGCGACGCCCCCAGGGGCCCTACCATGGACAACGCCACCAGGTAACCATTCAAAGGCCACGCTCCCCAGAGACCCTCTTGGGACGGCCCCTCATGGGCCGACCAGGAAACGGCATTCCCAGAGACCTATGCGGGAGCCGACAACAGGGTCCTACCAGGGATGGCGTCCCCAGGGGCCCAACCAGGAGCAGTGCCACCAGAGGCCCTACACAGGGACGGGGTCCTCAGGGGTAATAGTGGTGAGGTCCCCAGGGCCCTACGGAACGGTTCTCCTAGGAGCCCTATTGGGACAGCACCACGAGAAAATCTATCAGGGTGGCACACTCTGGGACCTACTAGGAGGGACACCCACAGGGGCCATACCAGGGGTGGTGCGCACCCAGTGACCCTATATAGGGGAGGGGGACAAACCTAGGCATCCTACCAGGGAGGCCTACGAGAGTACCATGGGCGTGCCACAGAGGCTCTATAATTTGCTTGGTCGTGGTGTCGTACATATTACTTACATCCAACAATCCCTTACTTAACTGTGATTGGTGGACTAAAATGTAAACCCGCCAAATTACAGCCAATAGGATAAGAGAGCAAACAGTCAGCACAACACCCCAACATATGTTTTCCTGTTGGATATTACAGTATTCTCCGTTACATTGTTCTGGATGTGATGATATTGGAAATGCAATGGGCGATGCATGAATATAATGTCTCATTTCTCAGAGTTATAAATAGCACAAAACAACACTACCCTAAGGTTCCTACAGGTGCACGCCCATAGGGCCTAACAAGGCCGATGCCCCAAGGTCCTAGCATGGACAACGCCACCAGGTACTCTCCCAAGGGCGACGCCCCAGAGACCCTCTTGGGGCGGCTCACCAGGGCCAACCCAAAACGGCATTCCCAGGGGCCCTACCCGGGGAGCCGCCCACAGGGGACATACCCGGGGAGCTGCCCCACAGGGCCCCTACCAGGGTCCTTTTGAGGGACTTACCAGGGTGATGCCACCAGGATAGTACAGAGCGGCACCCTGAGGGGCACTATTAGGGGAGGCACCTACAGGGCCCCACTGCGGGTGGCACCCCACAGGACAACAAGGACGAGTTCCTCAGGTCCCTACAAAGGACGGGGTCCCCAGCGACCCTACCAGAGGAGGCGTTCCCAGGCCCACAAGAGCTGCACACCCAGATTCCCTACCAGGGGGGCCTCCAAGGGCCAACCAGGGCCAGTCCCACAGAGGCTCTATAATATGCTTGGTCGTGGTGTCCTACATATTGCATCCATCCAGCAATCCCTTACTTAACCGTGATTGGTGGACTAAAATGTAAACCCGCCAAATTTCAGCCAATAGGAGAAGAGAGCAAACAGTCAACACAACACCCCAACTTATGTTTTCCTGTTGGATTTCAGTATTCTCCGTTACATTGTTCTGGATTTAATGATATTGGAAGTTTATTTCTTTATCGTTGCATTTCTCAAAATTAAAAAAAGCACAAAAACAACTGCCCCCAGAGTTCCTACAGGGGCGAAGCCCACAGGGGCCCAACAAGGCCGACGCCCCCAGGGGCCTACGAGGGATAACGCCATAAGGGAACCATCCAAAGGGCCCCCCCCCCCCCAGAGACCATCTTGGGACGGCTCCCTCAGGGGCCGACCACGAAACGGCATTCCCATAGGCCCTACGCGGGAGCCGCATACAGGGGTCCTACCAGGGATGGCGTCCCCAGGGGCCCAACCAGGAGCAGTGCCACCAGGGGCCCTACAAGGGACGGGGTCCTCAGGGGTCATGAAAGGGGTGAGGTCACCCAGGGGCCCTACAAGGAACGGTGCTCGTAGGAACCCTATTATGGACAGCACCACTAGAAACACCTATCACGGGTGGCACCCTCTGGGACCTACTAGGAGGGACACCCAATGGGGCCCTACCAAGGGTGGCACACCCAGGGACCCTATATGGGGAGAGGGGGGGACACACCTAGGCACCCTACCAGGGAGGGGGCGCCTCCAGGGGCCTACATGAGACCTACCATGGGCGTCCCACAGAGGCTCTATAATTTGCTTGGTCGTGGTGTCGTACATATTACATACATCCAGCAGTCCCTTACTTAACTGTGATTGGTGGACTAAAATGTAAACCCACCAAATTACAGCCAATAGGAGAAGAGAGCAAACAGTCAGCACAACACCCCAACTTATGTTTTCCTGTTGGATATTACAGTATTCTCCGTTACATTGTTCTGAGTGTGATGATTATGGAAATGCAATGGGCTCTTTCTTTATCGTCGCATTTCTCAGAGTTATAAATAGCGCAAAAACAACTGCCCCCAAGAGTAACTACAGGGGCGAAGCCCACAAGGGCCTAGCAAGGCCGACGCCCCCAGGGGCTGTACCACGGACAACGCCACCAGGGAACCATCCAAAGGGCCACGCTCCCAGAGACCCTGTTGGGACGGCTCACTGAGGGGCCGACCACGAAACAGCATTCCCAGAGGCCCTACGCAGGAGCCGCCCACAGGGATCCTACCAGGGATGGCGTCCCCAGGTGCCCAACCAGGAGCAGTACCACCAGGGGCCCTACAAGGGATGGGGTCCTCAGGGGTCATAAAAGGAGCGAGGTCCACAGGGGCCCTACAAGGAACGGTGCTCCTCGGGGCCCTAGTAGGGACAGCACCACCAGAAAAGCCTATCAGGGGTGGCACCCTCTGAGACCTACTAGGAGCGACACCCACAGGGACCCTACCAGGGGTGGTGCTCCCAGGGACCCTATATGGGGGGAGGGGGGACACAGCTAGGCACCTTCCAGGGTGGGTGGGCGGTGCCTTCAGGGGCCTACAAGAGGCCTGCCATGGGCGTCCCACAGAGGCTCTATAATTTGCTTGGTCGTGGTGTCGTACATACTACATACATCCAGCAACCCCTTACTTAACTGTGATTGGTATACTAAAATATAAACCCGCCAAATTACAGCCAATAGGAGAAGAGAGCAAACAGTCAGCACATCACCCCAACTTATGTTTTCCTGCTGGATATTACAGTATTCTCCGTTACATTGTTCTCGATGTGATGATATTGAAAATGCAATGGGAGATGCCTTTATTAATGTCGCACAGGGTACCTACAGCGGCGATGTTTAGGGGTGCTGGTGGTAGAGTGGTACCGCGCTTGCCTTCGCAAGCGAGATGTCACGGGTTCAATTCCCGGGCCGGTGGAAGTTGTTTGGACATACTTCCTAGCCCCCATTAGTCCCTGTTCACCTCCAGTAAAGTAGGTACCTGGTGTAAATCGAAAGTTGCGAATTCGTATTCACGGAGATGTTGTTGGAGCTTCCAATATCCTAATGACATAAGCCATTGACTCTTCAGGCTTCTATGCCCTTGACTCTTCAGGCTTCTACGCCCTTAACTCATGAGACATAAAGGCAAGCATGAACTTAGCATGCTTCCCTGTTGGGCACTGTAAACGCTTCTGCGCTTCACCTTACACAAGGATGTAGGGAAGTGCCCAATAAAAAAATAATAAAAAAAGCGGCAATGTCGGCAGGGGCCTAGCAAGGCCGACGCCCGCAGGGGCTCTACCAAAGACAATGCCACCAGGGAATCTCGCAAGACGACTCCCCAGTATACCCTCATGGTGCTGCTCCCTCAGGGGCCTACCCAGAAACGGCAATCCCAGGGGCCCTACCAAGGGAGCTGCCCACAGACGTCCTACCAAGGGCCCTCTGCGGGGTACTACAAAGGGTGGCGTCCCGAGGGGCCCTACCAGGAGTGGCGCCACGAGGAACCCTACCAAGAATGGGACCTTCAGGGGCCCTACTAGGGATGTCACCAACAGGGGCCCTACCCGTGTTGGCCTCCACTTGGCCCTATAAGGGGTGGGGTTCACAGAGGCCCTACAAGGCGCAGGGTCCCCAGGGACCCTACAAGGGACGGTGCCCCTAGGGGCACTACCAGGGGAAGCGCCACCAGGAACCCTACCAGGTGTGGCACTCTCAGGGGCCCTACTAGGAGTGGAAACCCACAGGGGCCCTACCAAAGGTGGCGCTCCCAGGGGCCCCACAGGGGTGATGCACCCTGAGGAACAACTAGGAGGGGTGCCTCCAGGGGACTATGAGGGACCTACCAGGGGCGTCCCACAGAGGCTCTATAATTTGCTTGGTCGTGGTGTCGTACATATTACATACATCCAGCAATCCCATTGCATTTCCAATATCATCACATCCAGGACAATGTAATGGAGAATACTGTAATATCCAACAGGAAAACATAAGTTGGGGTGTTGTGCTGACTGTTTGCTCTCTTCTCCTATTGGCTGTAATTTGGCTTGTTTACATTTTAGTCCACCAATCATAGTTAAGTAAGGGATTGTTGGATGTATGTAATATGTACGACACCACGACCAAGCAAATTATAGAGCCTCTGTGGGACGCCCATGGTAGGTCTCATGTAGGCCCCTGGAGGCGCCCCCTCCCTGGTAGGGTGCCTAGGTGTGTCCCCCCCTCTCCCCATATAGGGTCACTGGGTGCGCCACCCCTGGTATGGCCCCTGTCGGTGTCCCTCCTAGTACGTCCCAGAGGGTGCCACCCCTCATAGATTTTTCTGTTGGTGCTGTCCCTAGTAGGGCTCCTAGGAGCACCGTTCCTTGTAGGGCCCCTGGGGACCTCGCCCCTTTCATGACCCCTGAGGACCCCGTCCCTTGTTGGGTCTCTGGTGGCACTGCTCCTGGTTAGGCCCCTGGGGACGCCATCCCTGGTTGGACCCTTGTGGTCGGCTCCCGCATAGGGCCTCTGGGAATGCCGTTTCCTGGTCGGCCCCTGAGGGGGCCGTCCCAAGAGGGTCTCTGGGAGCGTGGCCCTTTGGATGGTTCCCTGGTGGCGTGGTCCATGGTAGGGCCCCTGGGAGCGTCGCCCTTGCTCGGCCCCTGTGGGCTTCACCACTGTAGGAACTCTGGGGGCAGTTGTTTTTGCGCTATTATAACTCTGAGAAATGCGACGATAAAGAAATACCATTGCATTGCATCACATCCAGGACAATGTAACGGAGAATACTGTAATATTCAACAGGAAAACATAAGTTGGGGTGTTGTGCTGACTGCTTGCTCTCTTCTCCTATTGGCTGTAATTTGGCTTGTTTACATTTTAGTCCACCAATCACAGTTAAGTAAGGGGTTGTTGGATGTAAGTAATATGTACGACACCACGACCAAGCAAATTATGGAGCCTCTTTGGGACGGCCCTGGTTGGCCCTTGGAGGCGCCCCCTGGTAGGGAATCTGGGTGTGCAGCTCTTGTAGGGCCCCTGGGAACGCCTCCTCTGGTAGGGTCGCTGGGGACCCCGTCCTTTGTAGGGACCCTGAGGAACTCGTCCCTTGTTGTCCCCTGTGGGGTGCCACCACGGGTAGGGCCCCTGTAGGTGCCTCCCCTAATAGTGCCCCTCAGGGTGCCGCTCTTGTTACTATCCCTGGTGGCATCACCCCTGGTAAGTCCCCTCAAAAGGACCCTGGTAGGGGCCCTGTGGGCGGCTCCCCGGGTATGTCCCCTGTGGGCGGCTCCCCGGGTAGGGCCCCTGGGAATGCCGTTTTTGGGTTGGCCCCTGAGTGAGCCGCCCCAAGAGGGTCTCTGGGGGCGTCGCCCTTGGGAGAGTACCTGGTGGCGTTGTCCATGCTAGGACCCCTTGGGGCATCGGCCTTGTTAGGCCCTATGGGCGTCGCACCTGTAGGGACCTTAGGGGTAGTTGTTTTGTGCTATTTATAACTCTGAGAAATGAGACATTATATTCATGCATCGCCCATTGCATTTCCAATATCATCACATCCAGAACAATGTAACGAAGAATACTGTAATATCCAACAGGAAAACATATGTTGGGGTGTTGTGCTGACTGTTTGCTCTCTTATCCTATTGGCTGTAATTTGGCGGGTTTACATTTTAGTCCACCAATCACAGTTAAGTAAGGGATTGTTGGATGTAAGTAATATGTACGACACCACGACCAAGCAAATTATAGAGCCTCTGTGGCACGCCCATGGTAGGTCTCTCGTAGGCCTCCCTGGTAGGGTGCCTAGGTTTGTCCCCCCTCCCCCTATATAGGGTCACTGGGTGCGCCACCCCTGGTATGGCCCCTGTGGGTGTCCCTCCTAGTAGGTCCCAGAGTGTGCCACCCCTGATAGATTTTTCTGGTGGTGCTGTCCCTAATAGGGCTCCTAGGAGAACCGTTCCTTGTAGGGCCCCTGGGGACCTCACCACATTTATTACCCCTGAGGACCCCGTCCCTTGTAGGGCCTCTGGTGGCACTGCTCCTGGTTGGGCCCCTGGGGACGCCATCCCTGGTAGGACCCCTGTTGTCGGCTCCCGCATAGGGTCTCTGGGAATGCCGTTTCCTGGTCGGCCCATGAGGGGGCCGTCCCAAGAGGGTCTCTGGGAGCGTGGCCTTTTGAATGGTTACCTGGTGGCGTTGTCCATGGTAGGGCCCCTGGGGGCGTCGCCCCTGTAGGAACTCTGGGGGCAGTTGTTTTTGTGCTTTTTATAACTCTGAGAAATGCGACGTTAAATAAATGCATCGCCCATTGCATTTCCAATATCGTCACATCCAGGACAATGTAACGGAGAATACTGTAATATCCAACAGGAAAACATAAGTTGGGGTGATGTGTTGACTGTTTGCTCTCTTCTCCTATTGGCTGTAATTTGGCTTGTTTACATTTTAGTCCACCAATCACAGTTAAGTAAGGGATTGTTGGATGTAAGTAATATGTACGACACCACGACCAAGCAAATTATAGAGCCTCTGTGGGACGGCCCTGGTAGGCCCTATGAGGCGCCCCACCCCCTGGTAGGGAACCTTGGTGTGCAGCCTTTGTAGGGCTCCAGAGAACGCCTCCTCTGGTAGGGTCGCTGGGGACCCCACCCCTTGTAGGGACCTTGAGGAACCTGTCCCTTGTTGTCCCCTGTGGGGCGCCACCACGGGTACGGCCCCTGTAGGTGCCGCCCCTATTAGGGCCCCTGAGGGTGCCGCTCTTGGTATGATCCCTGGTGGCGTCACCCCTGGTAAGACCCCTCAAAGGGCCCCTGTGGGCGGCTCCCCGGGTAGGGCCCCTGGGAATGCCATTTTGGGTTGGCCCCTGAGTGAGCTGTTCCAAGAGGGTCTCTGGGGGCGTCGCCTTTGGGAGAGTACCTTGTGGCGTTGTCCATGCTAGGGCCCCTTGGGGCATTGTCCACGTTATGGCCCCTTGGGACGTCGGCCTTGTTAGGCCCCCGTGGGCGTCGCCCCTGTAGGGACCTTAGGGGTAGTTGTTTTTGTGCTATTTATAACTCTGAGAAATGCGACGTTAAATAAATGCATCGCCCATTGCATTTCCAATATCATCACATGCAGAACAATGTAACGAAGAATACTGTAATATCCAACAGGAAAACATATGTTGGGGTGTTGTGCTGACTGTTTGCTCTCTTATCCTATTGGCTGTAATTTGGCGGGTTTACATTTTAGTCCACCAATCGTAGCTAAGGGATTGCAGAACGCATGTAATATGTACAACACCACGACCAAGGAAGATATAGAGGCCCTGGGGGAGTTTCCATGGTTAGCCCCTGGAGGGAGCCGTTGGTAGGATCCCTGGAGGTGTGGCCCCGGGGAACACCCCTGGGGGCGTCGCCCCAGATAGGAATCTAGGGGCACTGCCCTGGTAAGGCCCTTATGGGTACTGCCTTTCATAGGGCCCCTCCAGCCACCGCTCTTAGAAGCACCACCACTTGTAGCACCCCTGGGGCCCAACCACTTTAGGGCCCTTGGTGGTTCCACCACTGGTAGGGCCTCTGGGATTTTTGTCCTTGTCAGGGCCCATGGGAGCACTGCCCCTGGTAGGGCCCCTTGGGATTCCCCCTGGTATGGGCCCAGTGAATGCCACTCTAGTGGGGCCCCTGGGGTTGTCATCTCGGTTTGGACCTCTGTGGTTGCCACCTCTGGTAGGGCACCTGAAGGTGGCACTTCTTTAAGCCCCATGGGGAAGCCGCTCATGGAAGGCCCCCTGGGGGAGCCATCCCTGGAAGGTCCCCTGGGGGCGTTGCCCTTATGAGGGTTCATGGGAGGTCCCTGGGGGTACCGTTCCGGTAGGGCCCCTGGGGGCGCCACCCCTGATAGGGCCCCTGGGTGCACTGCCTCAGTGAGCACTGCTCCTGGTAGGGCCCCTGTGCCACCCTTGGTAAGGCCCTGGGGGGGGGGGTGTTACCTCTGTACAGTCTTCAGGGCACTGCCCTGGGAAGGTCCCCTAGGGGTCTCGCCCCTGATAGGGCCCCTGGGGGTGCTGCCCCTGTAGAGCCCTGAGAGGCACCCTTGATAGAGCCACTGGATTCACCTTGGTAGGGACCCCTGGGAGCGGCACTCTTGATATGGCCCCTGGGGGCGCCGCCCCTGGTAAACACTTTAATGAATCTATTATTATATCTGCCAGGTTCTTAATAAGCCTTAGATTAATTCATATCGAGGAGGAATCATACACTGCATAATTCTTTAATATAATAAAATTAAGCATGTGTTTACAAAGACAAGTTCAGTAAAGGAACAATTTAAACACAAACAACCACAGGAAAAATTATCCTAAACCCTAAACTCAGCTTTACCATACACTTGAACAGTACAAAAGAAAAAACACTTATCTCCATATATTGTACATATATCCCAGGTCCAAACCAACTGTACCAGACTTGGACCCCACACTCTCCCCAGCTAGGCTCATCTGCCTCTTCCCCACTCACCAGCTGAGCTCATGGACCAGTGACCCACACAGTGCCAAAACCATTTTGCTAATTATCAAACTATTTTCCCTTCTATACATATTTTACCTAACTAATATACAACATAAAGTGATTTACTTAATACATACAAATTATATATCAATATATACATGTAGTATATTCAGTATACCTCAAAACTGGTATAACATATAAATTCAAAATTTATTTGGTGCCACAGACTAAGGAGTAATTATCGACAAGGATAATATATACAGTAAGGGAGAGTGAGATCAAGTCCCTAGGGACAGCAGGTGTCCACCATATTCAGGTTATTAAGTAGTGACCCAATCCTTTCACCTAGTTACAAATCTTCTTAATGACAATTTGTACAAGCCGTTACTCAAATTCATGTAGACAGATTCGGTAAGTTTAATGAGACTAGATTCTATAATGTTCCTGCTGACAACTGAATTACAAGGTAAGACTGAGGAGGCATTATCCCAGTCAATGCAATGTTTATTATCTCTCATATGAATGAATAAAGCATTGGATTCCTGGCCTGTCCAAACACTATATTTACGCTGTTTAAGTCTAGTTATAAGATCTTTGCCTGTCTGGCCTAAGTAGAAAATATTACATTACTTGCAAGGAACCTCGTAAATGCAGCCACCTGCATTGCTGGGGAGAGTTCTTAATTAACATTTGTTTTACAGTGCAAGAATTACTAAACGTTACATTTACGTTCCAGGTTTTCAGTTGTAGAGGAATTTGCGAGAAATTTTTGTTAAATGGTAAAAACTAAGAGATTCTTACTGTCATGGGGAGGTTTAGGATCAGTTCTATAAAAGATTTCTTAGCAATGTTAAGGCATTTGTCTCTAAAAGAACTAGGGTATTTTAAGTTCAATCCAATATATTAGATATACAGGTACAGTATTTATATTCCAATTCAATGAATTCTGGACTGCCTATTCGTAGAGCATGCAAAAATATTGAAGAGTATACAATACTGACTGACTATTATGGTGGGCAGAATAATAATGAATATATGAACACACATTAGTAGGTTTCCTATAAATACTGAACTAAAAGGTGTTACTTACTCTGTGGAGGCAACTGTAATTCAGTTGCCTCTGACCAAGAAGTAGTGTTAGGGCTATACTGTTATTCTAAATTAATTGAACCAGGAGGTGAAACACATTCATGCCATATTTTACGTGTAACTAAGAGTGTGCCGACTAATTTGTATATTTACCAAGATACTATAAGTATGCTTACACATTTGTATATATGCCAAGATAGCAGACAGGTAGAGTATTGAAAACCCTTAAGTGTTCCCTGATTATATAGTAGGTGGCCAGGGTGTTGTTTCAGTATGTCACATCTGATATTTTGTGTTTAGTGAAAAACTATACTAGTACAAAATGTTATCACAAATTAAAGTACAACTTGCCAATGAGTTTGTGTACTTCTCCTTCCTACGGTGTACCTCACCTGTAAGGGTGCCTGAAACACCCAAATTTTCCAGTAAAATGACACTTCCCTTAAATCCCAAATTTGCTGGAAAAATGACACCAATGCTCTTCAAGAGCGAGGTGCTTCCTTGTTTGGAGTACAGGTATTCCTTGCTATACGAACGTTTGAGTAACAAAAATCCGCTGGGATGGCCACATGCCCCTAGTGCTCTCCCTAACCATGCTGAGATAGAATTGATGTTATCATTATTCTTCAACTTGTAATTTTGGATAGATAAACATAACTTTTTCATATTTCTTTTCATTCAGTTCCATGCACACCCAATCTTGCATACAAAATAGGTAAAAAGGTCAATAATAATTACCCTAAGGTTAAAAAACAGAGGGAATAAACATTTCTTTGTGTGCGAGACCGGGAGGAGGAGCATTGCTAAGGGTCAGGAGAGTAATCCCAGCTGGGCTAGATTGCTATGGCAAGGCTTGAGGGTGGCCAGGTATGACACAGCCAGCATCAATGCAAATGGTAGCTGTATTAAACTTTGATTTAGCTTTTCATTAATGGGGTTAGTTGCTAGGAATTGAAGAAAAGGTTCAAATTATAAGGAGCTTGAGCTTCATTTTTTTTTGTTTTTTGTTTTTGTTTTTACAAAAGCGATCAGTTTGGACATTAAGACACCATCTGACAAGCATATTCTTTCCCCTTACCTTATCCAGGAAGGACCTTCAGTATTCAAAAGTATCAAAAATCCATGACAAAACCACTAGAAGCTGCCCTCCTTCACAGGTAAACAACATTCTCTCATCCTCATGAATGAATAGACCTACAGTATATAAATTCTTTGTCTCACTGTTGGCAAGTATAAAGTTTGATGAAATTAGTAAATGTCTTCAATAAAAAAATTGTCTTCTGATATTTTCAACTTAAACTTGGTTATAAATTAATGATCAAAATATCAGCATACCTGAATACTGCACTGTCAAGCCCTGCATACTATATTTACTGCACAGGGAATTATGTATACGTAACTTGTTCAAAATGTTGCCTAACCAATCTGTCAATTACTTGCTAGATTACAGAAAAATATCATACCTCATTTAATATACGGTAAAAAAGATCCACAAATAATTTGTGCCAAGTACCATAGAATCAGCAAGAAGAGAAACCTGCTAGAAAGATAAGATAGTGTTCTTGATAATATCAATACACTCCTTTATTTCTTCTTCATTGATGCAGAGTGGAGGAGCAAATCGGATGATGTGTCCGTGTGTGGGTTTAGCCAACAGCCCATTGTTCTTAAGTTGTAAACACACATCCCATGCATCAAACTCTGTCAAAAATCAAAATGGCTTATAAGATGTTAATAAAAAAATAAAAAAAATAGTACAGTACAAAAATTACAAAAAATTGTTGTTTTGTTGTCGTATGCTATGTGATTATGTGAAATGTCATTACATTTGTTGAAACCAATACAGTATATTGAAGAAAACCCAAGTTCACACCGACTTTTGCTTAGAACTTACCCTTGTTAATGACAATAGCATTCAGTAGTCCTCGTCCCCGCACCAAAGAAACCACCTCCTTGGGTAACTTGAAGAGCTCTGAACGAAGAAGGATTCCCATTTTTTCAGCATTTTCTGCCAATTTCTCTTCCTCCATCACTTGCAAGGCTGCTAGACCAACCTGAATTGGGGTTCATATTTTTATAAACCTGTAAGTTCATGTAAGTTTACTCCCAGCCAATCTTACTTTTTTGCACTGTTACTATGTTGCAATACCCTGTAGTACAGGATGACAATCCCTTATCTGAAATCCTTGGGGCCAGATGCATTTCGGATTTTGGAATTGTTCGGATTTCAGAATGGTTAGTTTAGTTGTTTTTTTTTCCAGGGATCAGCCCACCCGGGCACAGGTCACTGACCCACATTGGAGCTTGGGGGGCGAAATTATAATAATAATTATAATAATAATGAATTATAGGTCTAGGTTGTTTCTCACTGTTGATCTTGTATTTCCTTATTATTATTATTATTTTATTGTTACAGTATTATTGTTATTATTTTCGCCCCCTCCCCCCCAGGCCCTTATGTGGGTCAGTGACCAGTGCCCGGGTGGGCTGATCCCTGTTAAGAAAAAAGAATAAATGAATAAATACAAAAATGCAAAGCTTTGCTCCACAAAAAAAATTAAGGTTTTCAGAGGTTTTCGGAATTTTGGATAAGGGGTTTAACTAATTACGTTAACTAATTACCCCGCAATCGAATCGTGGACTATATATTTGAAATCAGCATGCACTGGAGTACCTACAACGTGATTTTCAACAAAATACAATTTTTGGGCCAAAACTGTCGAAAAGGTAAGCCTTACCCCCTTGGTAATTTTTCGCCCAAAATATACTTTTTTCACAGAATTGAAATTTAAGGGGTTTAACTAATTAAGTACTTTCAGAAAAACACATTAACACCAAAATCGCACTTTGGAAACCCATAGTTGGCGAGTAATTAGCATTGAAAAATATAATTAAATTCTCCAAGGGTCATTACAGCCACTAATTACCCCACAATCGAATCGTGGACCATATATTCGAAATCAGCATGCTCTGGAGTACTTATACTGTATGACCTTCTCCCCACCTTGTCATTATATACCATATTTGTATCACTTATGTTACCTGTCCATTATTTGCCAATCAAGTGATCCATTCCCAATTATGTATCTATATTTTCAGTCTTCTGGCTGCCAAGCGCTTTCAATAAACCATTAATTATTATTATTATTACACAAACAAATTTGACATATTAACATCAACGATTAGTTTGTTATGAAGAAAAATGAGGAAAGCAAGAGAAAGTCATCCAATATATAAGCTGTTCATTAAGTATTTTTGTATAACCTAAGATTTAGGCTTGGTAAAAATACCGTATATACTCGTCTATAACCCCCCCTCGTTTATAGGTCGACCCTGATTTTTTGACCAAGAAATCGTTAATTTACGATATTCCTCGTTTATAGTTCGACCCACGTTTTTGAGGGTAATGGAACAACAAAACCTTCACTAAAAACGCTCTACGTCCTATAAACTGAGGCTCGCCGTGCCTGAAACACGAGTGCCGAAGGCAAATTGTTTACCATTTATTATTACGACACTTTACACTGAAACGCGGGTAGTTTCAACAAAAATATTGTATATTTCCATTCAAGTATTTATTCAAGTCAATTAGGAGGGAATATTATTGTAATACAACAGTTTTTTAACTAAACCATTCGAAAAGCGATTACGGTAACATCTTTTGAACGAAAGAAAGCGAAAGTCATTGTTTTCGTCACGATTTTATCCCACTTTCTACTGTAATACGTACGTAATTTCAGCAAAAATATTATATTTCCGTGAATGTATTATATCAAGCACAGTATGAATAGAATATCATTGTAATAAAACAAAATTTTAACAGAAAACTATTAAAAAAACGAGTAACATCTCAAAAACAGAAGCTTAGGGAAAGTCTTTTGTTTTCGTCATGTATTTTATCCTATTTTACATTGAAATACATCACGTTTCAGCAAAACTACTATTTATTTCCGAGAATATATTCATTCAGGCGCAGTTTAGGTAAAATATACATGTGATGTAATAGTTTTTTAACTGAAAACGATTCGAAAAACACGTACCCTCTAGTCCTGTTCAAGGAGAGGACTGGGAGAAGCTGTTTGGTGCTGCAGGCGATGACAAGGAAAATGATTTTGATGGATTTTAATGAAAATATTCAGAAATATGGTATCGTAGTATTTATTCAAGTCAATTAGGATAGAATATTATCGTAATACAACAGTTTTTTAACTGAAAACCATTCGAAAAGCGATTAAGGTAACATCTTTTGAACGAAAGAAAGCGAAAGTCTTTGTTTTCGTCACGATTTTATCCCACTTTCCACTGTAATACATACGTCATTTCAGCAAAAATATTACAGTTCCGTGAATGCATTATATCAAGCACAGTATGAATAGAATACCATTGTAATATAACAATATTTTAACCAAAAACTATTAAAAAAACGAGTAACTTCTCTTGAACATCGGAAGGTTAGGTAAAATCTTTTGTTTTCGTCATGTATTTTATCCTATTTTACATTAAAATATATCACGTTTCAGCAAAATTACTATTTATTTCCGAGAATATATTCATTCAGGCACAGTTAAGGTAAAATATACATGTGATGTAACAGTTTTTTAACTGAAAATGATTTGAAAAACACGTGTACCGTCTAGCTGATACAGCTGGTGGTGCGTGATGCGTCGTCGTAAACAATAGGAGGTTGAAGTAGATTACCGGGTATTACATTAAGTGTGAAATATCGAAAAGGTTTTTATTACCGGTATTTTTTGTAGATCAATGAGAACTGTGATACCGTATATGATATGATAAGTTAGCCAGTGCTAAGAACTTCAACATAGGCTGCTGAAAGCACGTTGTAAGGTAATTTAGCCTATTTTAAGCTGGTGAGCTTCATTTGCTGAAGGAACTGCACAACTTTTCATTACTAATTGGTACATATTTTACGTTTCCATTGTTTACTGGCAGTAAATGGTAATTATTTTTCATGTCTGAAGCTAAAAGTTGCTCCTCGCCCTTCCCATCATGCACGGGTTCAACCTAACAAAACTATTACGCATGTATAGGACGACCCCCAATTTTTGGCCTAAAAATTTGGTCCTAAAAACTCAAACTATACACGAGTATATACGGTACCTGTAAACATTTAGTGTCTGGATACTTGCCTATAAGTTATCCTGATCCCCATTGTCTTTGATGGTTGTAGATTTGGTGTGTAAAGTTATTTACTGATCCAGAGAAGACAATTAAATTATGACCATTTCCCCAACTGATTTATCATGTCTTTTGCTGTTTAATGGAAAGATTTAAAATACAGTACAGTAAAAGCATAATATAAAGGCTTATCATAATCTGATTCATCCATATATTGTACCATGTACCATTGTATCATGTACACATGATATAAGTTAGCATGAGTGATTAGTGGTAACCTAATAACAGGGAAGGTGACACAGAGGCAAGTGTGTGTATAAGTGAAAGGTAGTGGAGGCATCCCAGGTACTGCATTACCTTGCAGCCAAGGGGGTTGCCACCATAGGTTGAGCCATGTTCCCCTGGCTTGATACACATCATGACTTCATTATCTGCCAACACTGCAGACACCTGTAAATTAATGAAAGGTTTCCTTCATTTATGCATATATACACAGCTTAATATAGTGTCTTCCTTAAATGACACCTTAATCATAATGTGTTCATATAAATAAACCTACAATACATCCCATCATTAATCCAGCACTGCATCACATTACAGTACCTGTACTACCTTCTTTAATAATCACTGCAAATTAACAAGTTCTCTGAAAAATATGTGATTTGTCTCTACTTATCCTACATACAAACATAACTTGGGATATCTTTTCTGTAAATCCAAGTGAACTTTTGTTTAGAGGTCAGTTCAATGCAAGACATTTTTCAGAGTGTATTAGTAAGTGATTGTCTATGCCCTAACCATGCAGATGTCTACTTGAGAGGAAAACATTAGTAGTTCCTAGGGGAGTAAGTGAGAGCTATAATTACTGCCATAATATCTAAACAAGAAAATTTTGGGTTGTTCTCATAATAGTGCACAATTACTATATTTGTGCCATGTTTGATTTACATTACAGTACATAATTCACCTAAATGAGTTTCACATTAACGATTCATCACAATAACGACAGTCGTAACCGATCGCCCAAGCGGCTAATGAGCCGATCAATGGTGAAAAGGATAAAAGTAAAAAAGTAATGAAATGTGACACCTCAACACATTAACGATACATTTCAACACAATAACGATCAGTAGCACAAGTTGATAGTCACTCTGGGTGGCCATCTTGATGATGTAAGTGGGTTTGTTTTGATCTGAGTGTGTGAACAGGAGGGAGGGAGATGAAGGCGCTGTTGGTGATAATGTTCAAGATTTACCTGAGTGGGATCTGTTAGATGATTTACCACTAGACTTCACTGGCTTTGAGACTGAAGGATCAATTGGTGGTGGTGGTGCTGGGGAAGCAGCACAGTATGAGTTCAAGGAGTGTTTAAAGGTTAGTTATTATTAGTTATTAACTCTACATGCAGTATTATGTGTGTGAATAAAAGGTAATTGTTTGTGGGGGTTTTAAGGATTATAGTGGGTAGAAGTATCTGAGGGCTAGTCCCAATTGACGGGGTTAGGGACCGACGACCAGGTCGGAAGTCGAATTGGTCGTAAGTCGAAATGTGAAAATACCTGTACTCACCACATTAACGACTGATTTCATGGTACCAATTAGTCATTAAAGTGAAGTATGGACTGTATGATATTTTAACTACCATGAGTCTCGGCCCAAATTTATATATTGGACAACCATAACATCAGGATCCTGAATGCCCAAACTGTGTGTGGCAGTAAAATAATTATTATCCTGTACATGTACAAAACACTAAATATACTGTGGTAAATAAAGCTTTCATGAATACAGTTCCAGTAAGTTACATGTACAAAACTAAATTTAGAAACAACACATTAAATTTACAGGATTGTAATGCATTATCAATTGGCTGTTTGCTTTGCTTGTACAGTACTTTGCATATTTATTCAACAACTGTGCTCCTAACAAATACAAAACAACCCGTCAATTGTCCATGTTTTTGCAGATACAGTATTGCACTTAAAATTAATTTGATGGCTCTTTGGCAAATGTGAACACTTGGTAAATAAATATTTGAAATGGTAGACCAAGTTACTGATGGTGGAAAGGACTAAGCCCAGTGTTTAATTCAGGTACATTAGGAAGACAAATGGTCGGGAAATTCATTAATCTTCCCGTTTTGTTTTGAATACAATGCCGGTTATACAGTATAGAATACATTAATATAGGGTAGAAGGTTTTAGGAGTGGTATACATACCGGGTAGACACCCCCAGAGAGAGCTTTGCCAAGGATGAGGATGTCTGGCCTGACATTCTCATAGTCGACAGCTAGGCGGCGGCCTGTGCGTGCTAGACCTGTCTGCACTTCATCTGCGATCCACAATACATTGTGGTGGCTACACAGCTCCCGGATCCCTGCATCACATCTCAAATCAGTTCCTGCCTCCACACCACTAACTCTTTATGCCTGAACATATGCCTCCTCTCATGGAATCCATACCTTATACCATTCCCTCTTGAGTCAGATCCTGCATCAACTTAGGCATTTGCTTTTTAATCTACACATGCAGGGGCTGATCTGGGGGAAGGGGGTGTCCTGAGAGTCCAGCCCCCCTTTTCATCAGAAAACTCCAATATTTTTTTCTTTAATGCAGTATTGTACTCAGGCATTTTTGTATAGTAACAAGTAATTACTATTGACCTCAGAATATTTTCTGTGCTCGCCATGTTCCCCCACACACAACTTCTTGGACACCCCCTTTGATATTCCTGGATCTGCCCCCGATATGACACATTGGTCACATCTGGACCATCTCTGCATATGGCACATTGGTCACATATGGACCATCTATATATATGACACATTGGTCACATATGGACCATCTATATATATGACACATTGGTCACATCTGGACCATTTATATATATGACACATTGGTCACATATGGACCATCTATATATATGACACATTGGTCACATCTGGACCATTTATATATATGACACATTGGTCACATATGGACCATTTATATATATGACACATTGGTCACATATGGACCATCTATATATATGACACATTGGTCACATCTGGACCATCTCTGCATATGACACATTGGTCACATATGGACCATCTATATATATGACACATTGGTCACATATGGACCATCTATATATATGACACATTGGTCACATATGGACCATCTATATATATGACACATTGGTCACATCTGGACCATCTATACATATGACACATTGGTCACATCTGGACCATCTATACATATGACACATTGGTCACATCTGGGCCACCTATACATATGACACATTGGTCACATCTGGGCCACCTATACATATGACACATTGGTCACATCTGGACCATCTATACATATCCCTAAGACTTTGTCTTGAAAACAATGATGCACTTTCAAAACTTACACCTGATACAGCTCAGTGTATTTCATGACAGTAAAATATAAAGTATTCTAAACGAATTATAAATTTTCAAAGCTCATTAATTAATAATAATAAATCAAATTTTAAGATTTAGAACCCAGATCCTTAACCAGAATGTACAGAAATACCTTTGTATGAAATTTGAACAAAATCTAATTTGTAACCCCACATGCCAAAAAAAGCAAGGTACTGTATTAGGTCGGGCATCTCTTTCAGCCACAGTGTAATTGACTGTATGTGAGGTAAGCTGAACATTTGAGAGAGGAATGATCAAAGGTTCATAAAAATGAATACCAATGAATTTTCAGGGTTATTTCTTGGTGCGAGTCCTATGAACACTGGTATGGCCAGGACTGTGTGCAATGTAGAGCCAGTACTTAATGAAAAAAGCTTCAAAGGATGAACAAGGGCATTACTAAATATGAATGGTCTATCCCTCAAAGCTTATCAGTGATGCGCCCCTCCCCCACCTGAAGTACTGTCTGGTCTGCAAGATATGCTGCAGACTGTCAGCCGATTGATAATGTCAAAAACCAGGCCACTAAACTGGTGCCAGCACTCCAGCACCTCTGGTATCAAGAGTTAAAACACCTGCATTTACCTAGCTGATACTATAGATGGGCAAGGGGTGACTTGATAGGAATTTATAAGCACCTCCGAGACATAACCCAGTCAAGTGATCGTATCTGGAGCCAGTAGATGTCCATGCCACTAGAGGTCACAGTCTCAAGTTAAAAATGACCTGATAGACAGTGTTATAATGGTGACATTCAATGTGAGCTCATTTAATAAAGTACCAGACTTAGCCAACACTGGTTCAAGTATATTCTACAGTCAGTACATGCCAACACGCACATAAAAGAAATATGAACCAACACCCAAACAGCTAACAGGATGATCAGTGGCAAAGAGGATAAAGTAGAGCACAGTATGACTGCAGTACTAAAAAGAATGTGTGGGTAGATTACTCACCTTTGAGGTAGCCTTCAGAGGGAACGACAACTCCAGCCTCGCCTTGGATGGGTTCCACCATAAAGGCAGCCACTGTGGGATCTGACACTGCAGCCTGTTCACATAGACACATTTGTTTAGCATATCTTACATTTACATGACATGAAGAACTTTGTATATATAATGTCAAATAATGTAATACTTGAATGGCTAAATATTTCATAAATTTATTAAACAAAACAATGACATCCTTTCTCAGTCCTTATTGAGAAATAGTAGTAACAGAGCTCGATTGTTAAACTGTAAGGGGACTTTTGTGTGTTGGGTGTGATGGTAGAACAATGACCCAGAATCCAGTAAGAGTGGGGCACACTTTACACCTCCACCCTGACTGGATTACTAACTTCAGTCTGGGATATAAATTGTATACTCACACTATCTATGCATAATGCATAACTGCAGTCCTGCACGGTCTATGTACATTTTTTATATAGCCACAATGTCTATGCACAGTGCGAGCTCTTTCAAGACAAGACTTGACCAACACTGGAGCGGGTTCAGGTACATTCAGGAGCCGGTGCATGCCCAGTACATGCCAACAGTGCGTGACAGAGACGTGACCGATCGCCCGGGCGGCTAGCGAGCCGACCTTTTGGTGAAGATAAATGAAAAGGAAAGGTAATCAGAGACGTGACCGATCGCCCAAGCGGCTAACAAGCCGATCAGTGGCGAAGAGGATAAAAGTAAAAAAGTAATAAGGGTTGCCCCTTGTGTATGAGGATGGCCGACCCTTAAGGCCACCTAGGCGTGAGTTTGTTTAAGGTGTAGAAGCTGTTGCCAACACAACAACCACACCCCAAGTCAACAAGTTGCTTGACCCAGTGTCAAGGAATAGTCGCAAAAGACCGAACTACTCGCCAACTGCACTGGCTAACCATTAAGCCGGAACATGATCCGCAAATTAATTAACATACAGGTTCCCAATTACTGCTGGGTAGACAGAGGCAATGGCAGAAAGAAACTTGCCCATAGTTTCACCCTGACTGGGAATAGAACCCGAGACCACTCAGATGTGATGCAAGCATGCTGACCACTACACCACAGGGTGCCATTTTGCTTGTATGTATACCCACACTGTCTATGTACACTGTTTGTATGCCTGTACTGTCTATCTGCACTGTTTGTATACCTGTACTGTCTACCTGCACTGTCTACCTGCACTGTCTATGTGCATCATTTGTATACCTGCACTGTCTATGTGTACTCAGTAAAAAAAAAGTATCTTTCAGGAAGGGTCCAATGAATTTGGAACTGAACAATCGTGTTGTCTCGCTTGGGTTGGTAGGCATGATTGCGAGACATTTCGTACCTATTATGGTAGGGTCAATTTAGTTATTTAATTCAAAATATAAAATTAGTTCATTGCAATGTGACTGGTGAATAACAGTAGGCCTCTTGGCCCTTTATAAAAAACTGTTGTTCGTGGTGTTATTTTGTTTCCCACAAGAAATGTAAATACTGTATACATATATATTTTTTTACCGAGTGTATATTGTTTGCACACCTGCAGTGTCAATGTACACCATATACCTGAACTGCCTATGTATACTGTTTGTATACCTATACTGTATGGATACACTGTTTGTATACCTGAACTGTCAAGTACAATGCTTGTATACCTGCACTATCTGTATACTGTTTGTATACCTGCACTCAAGTGTTTATACTGTATACAATGTATACCTGCATTGTCTATTTACCATGTACAGTACTCTATGCCAAATCAATGTAAACTTTATTATGATTTTAATGACTTAATATTTATTTATCTATCTACCACACAGCTACTGCAAATGACAATTCTCATTTGGCCTCATTAATTCTCTCAGATTCGGAGCCTGAGTCACATACGTGCGTGAAAACTTAGGCTCAGCCTCAGAGGTTTTTCCGAAAAATAGTCGATTCTTTTTTTTTTAGGGCTCATTTCACTGCCATGGAATTGTTTTATTAATTGTAATGGGGTCTCTTCTAATGTAAAAGTGTCATGAAAATTGTATGAAACCATAAAAAAATAAAAATTCTTAAAATTTAAGCCACTTTTTTCGATAAAGGTAAAAAAAGTAGGAAATGTTTAGTAACATCTCGATTTCCATTCAAATTTTCATTGTATTATGTTTCATTGATATGTACTATATACCAAAATAAAGAACAAAGCTTGTTAAATATCGTGGTATAAGGAAAAATAATAGAACAAAAATTCATGGAATAATTAAAGGGCCGATCGGCGCACCCTCCTCTCGCTCTAATGGCCAGAGCGACACTGGGTTCATGCTGTGCTGCCACACACACATGATGACCAAGACCATCTCCAGGAAGGTGATAAGGCCCACACAAAGAAAACGACATCTGTCAAATGGCGTCCAAAGTTCAGTCAGTTTCACCGAATAGTTTTTGAGTTATTTGAAAATATAGCCCATTGGACGTTGGCGTAGCAAAGCCAAGCGTAAGTTTTTTTTTGCCTTTTATGTTCGACGCCACAATGGCGTCGTGCAAGGCCGAGAGGGTTAATATTACTATTATTATATTTTAGCCCCCCCCCCTCTCTTGTTGTAAACAGGCTCACTGTAACAAACACTAATCTAAAACTAATCTAATTCTAGCTGTAACTTTGAGTGAGACAAGACACATTTGTCTACCAATTTCACTTCTGTTGTAAAGAAGTAAAATGTCAGGCCTTTTATATTGTGCACTGAGGGTTGATGGTGTACAGTAGAGCATGGAAGAGAAAATTTATCCTGGTCTTGGAGTTAATAATGTTTAAGAAAAAAAAAAAAAAAATCTTATATTACTGTACATGTATCAAAGCACCAATTGAAAAAAAAATAAAATAAAAATATCCAAGAAACCAAAAAGAATTATGATTTCATTAGCAATGGTAAGTGAAATTTAAAACTATCTATTTGCAGTACAGAATGTATCTATTCAAACAGTGCTCAGTGAAAGACAAAATAACAGAAATATGGTAAATTTAAAAGTTATCTATACATTACTGTGTAATAGTACAGTATCATATCTTGAATAACTTTAACCACCACTGCTGAGAGAAAAAAGTGGTTTCCAAAATGTCTAAAAATTAGAAGAGAAAAAAGTGATTTTGTACTTGATACTGGTCAACTAATACAGTACAGTCAGCCCTCACTTTACGCGGTTAATTCAACCCACAGGGTACCGCGGGAAGTGAGAAACGCGTAAAGTGAACAACATAACATATGGGATTAATTGAAATAGAGGCCGGGCCGACCCCCAAACTCCACTTTTTGACGACACACAACTATGTTGTAGTAAAAATATTATCTTAACTTTATGATGGTATGCACACACAATTAATAATTAAGAGAAATATCAATAATATTAGGTTTTTTAACACTTACATTAGTAGAAAAGATGGCTGGGCACACGGGGATGGGGGGTTGGTTCCGAGGCAGAGGGCAGATTATTGGCCCTCACCTGTATCACTTGTATCAATTGTATCACTATCCACCACAGAGGCTTGCAGGGCCTCTTTGTCAAACCCCTCAAAGTCCATATGCGTAAGTCCATATCCTCACTATAATTATCACTATCACTGACTTGGGCCGGCTGTGGTGGGTGGCGGGTGAAGAACTCGGTAATGTTTTGATGACTGGGCGACCTTGTGCGCACCCTGCTCGCGCCGCTTACACAACATGGCGGGAGGTTTGGATCCAAAAATGGCGCGGCTCGCCAGCCGCTCTCCGCATAAAGGGGTACACGCACCGCGGAATGTGAGCATTCCTGTTTCGGCAGGGTACCGCGTAAACGTGGAAATGCGGAATGTGGGACCGCGTAAAGCGAGGGTTGACTGTAGTTGAGGGATCTTGTCAATATAATACAATATATGATAGCGTGTCGAAATACTGTTTTTTGAGGTCATAATGTGCTGTTTACCAATATTGTTTGTGAATGGTTGAACTATCTACAGCTGATTTATCTCTGCTTCCCATAATTTTGTTGTAGCATAAGTGTACATGAATACCATCTTTGTGTTGTACTGTATACTGTACAGTATAAATTTCTTGGTAGAGCCTGAAATGAGTTATCACTTGAATTTACCAGTATGGTCTATAAGTTTTAAGGTGTAATTTATTGATACAGTTGTATAGGACACTGAAATTATTGACAACTGTCTCATTGCCAGAATTGTCTTCAATTATTGTGAGGTTTTCATAATAAGATCTAGATAGAATACAAGCATTTATCTTAGTTTTTAATGTCAAATAAACTGTCTTAATGCCTTGATTTACCTCCAGTGCTGGCAAGTCATCATAGGGGATGAGAGAGAAACCAGGCATGTATGGCCCAAAGTCACGATAAGCTGTAGCATCAGATGAGCTAGATACCGCCGAGAGGGTGCGGCCCCAGAAGTTGTTGTGCACAAAAATTATCTTCGCCTGGTCTTTGGGGATACCCTTCACCAGGTACCCCCACTTGCGGGCCAGCTTGCAGGCTGTTTCTCCTCCTTCCACACCTGCAATTATTTCATATTAAATTCCATATTATCTCTTCACAAATTGTCCAATTTCTACATACTGTACAGTGTTCAGATCAGCAACTGTAATTTTTGTTGTGAGGCAGACATCTGATTTTGAAACACTACATGTACAGCATTCTCATTTTACCAGTGTACAAATATGGTTTTATGTATCACTATGACTTATTCCACTATCAACACATTTAATTTTTGTGCCATAATTAGTTCTTGGTTGTCTCTTTTTAACTAAACATTACATATAACTTTTCTGCATAGTCCAAAAATAATTTGAGATCATATTGAAGGTAGGAGTTTTCAGCACCAAGAAGATAACTCCAGGTGTTCTTACCAGATTTTAGTTTTCTCTTGAGGTAAACAAGCCTCTTGATTTTGAGGTGAGGTCAAAAATTATTATTTTGAAATAATAACTTGAATTATGAAACATCAGTGAGAGATGAGACAGTTTTGGTGGTTGGTACATCAATGCGAGTGGATAATGAAAGATTCTGAATGGTAGAATAGGTGAACATCTGGGAAAAATAAGTACTACATGCCAGGACAGTATAAGAGGTACAGGTGTCATGATCACAATAGCCTGGCTAGTGTGTTCAACACTTAACTATTCATATTATACTCCACCGTCCACAAAGCATATGTGAGTACCCCAGTTGAGACGTCCTTTTTCTCACCACTTCAGTACGCCCGAGTCCTCTGTTATCTCTCATGTACCTCAGAGACTCTGAAATTTCTTAATACCTCATATGGTGTTCAGAGATTTGAAATTGAGTGTGAAGGAGTATGTTTTACATTAAGTCAGTTATACCTACAGTGAGAAAAAGCATTCAAGGTGTATTGAGTATATGTTGAAGGCACTATATATCTTTATGTGTAGAGTACATCGTGTTAAGATGTGTTTTGAGTACCCATCCGTCAACTGTAAATCAATGTTTCTTCTGAACTTATGGGATAGCAACTCAAAACTGGAGTCATATCTTATATCTTTTTAATCTATGAACAACAGAGAATCCAATGAAAGTATTGAAATTGTTGTCAGTCTTCTATTATAGAAAGTAAATAGTCTTCTGAATTTAAGGTCTATTGCTTATCCCCGGGGACCTAACGGAAAAATCTCTTTTTCTCCTCGCGAAGCTCTGCCCACAATACACTGCCACTCTTAGTACTTGACATCAGTTTAATTCTTCCATTTGAAAGCACGGTCACTACTTGGTTTAAAAAGTTAATCTTAGAAATTTAATATAAGCTCGCTGCCTGATTTTCACAAGCCAATGTGTACAGTAAAGGAGTCTCATAATTAAATCTGTGAAAGCTCCGACTTAGTAACTCAGGGGGCTGCGAGAGGCTGGGAGAGACGCAGAGTATACACACTGTCCTGACTCAAGCCCAAGACTCCAATGTAACAGTTATGTCCAATACTTCGTGTCCCACTCCGTCATATTAAGTGAATTTGACTTGGTTGTGCTTTGTTTGAATATACAAGTGATCCAGTAACATAACTTTGATGTCTTTAGTAAAGTGTTCATGCGCCATTTTATGACATTCGTGTCAACATTTCTCTGTCCTGACTAAAGCCCACGACTCCTCTGTAACAGGTGCCTGATAGACCACAGGTGGTTGTTGTATGCCAGGACGACATCCAACACCAGTATGGAGATGGATGAAGCCCATTAAGATCGAACAGCATTGTGTTACACAATGGTGTGGCGAGCTGAGAGCTCGCATACAGCCAGTCACTCAGAGAAGGTGGCCAGTACGGTATGTGTTTGCTGTCCACCTGTTGATCTCACGTGAGGAGTAAACAACCAGCTAAGCATTGTTATGAGTTCACCACTCTACGTAAAGTTACTTACTGGGTGTGTTGCTCATCCGAGTATCCATGTATGTAGTCTCCTCAGTTATATGGGTGTCTGGAGTGAGCAAGAATATGAGGGTTGCTACTTTACTTCTTGGCAAATGTAACAAAGTGGCGCAGGGAAGCTGTTAGTCCCGGTGCTATTGAGGTATTAATGTGGTGCTATTGCCTTAGGAGTCCTATTAGTAAGCAAGAGCTACAATTCTCAGGTAACCTGTATTGATGGTGCTCAAGTGTGCTATATGTAAGAGTCCCGGCCCTGACACGGTGCATCCTAGAGTGCTAAGAGAGTTATGCAACGAGCATGCAGAGCCCCTGAAGATCCTGTTTTGTAAATGCCTGGATGAACAAATGGTCCCCAGTGAATGGAAAGTGGCTTTTGCGAGTCCTATCTTCAAGAAGGGTGATCGGCACTCCACGAACAACTATAGACCGGTGAGCCTGACCAGCATAATATGTAAGGTACTTGAGAGTATTATCAGAGATGCCGCAATGGAACATCTAATAAGAAACAATCTTGTAAAGGATTGCCAACACGGTTTTATGCCGGGGCACTTCTGCTTAACACAATTGCTCAAGGTATTGGATATTTGGACCCATATTCTGGAACGGGGTGGTAATATCGACGATATTTAGCTAGATTTTGCCAAGGCTTTCGACAGCGTACCCCATGAAAGGCTGAAAATCAAACTGGAAGGGTACGGAATTTGGGGAAATGTCCTAGCATGGATAGAAGACTTTCTACATGACAGGAAGCAGTGTGTGGTGATTAATGGCACGAAATCGTCATCCGTACCTGTCAGAAGTGGAGTACCACAGGGCAGTGTATTGGGCCCGCTGTTGTTGTTTGTTTCATAAATGACATGCCTGACGTTGTACACTCCTCCATACAAACGTTTGCCGATGATGCTAAGTTATTTCGGGAAATTAAGAACCAAGCTGACTGTGAAGAGCTGCAGAAGGACCTCTGTGGGCTCCAGGAATGGTCGAAGGAATGGCTGCTGAGATTCAATGTCACGAAGTGTAAGAGGATGCACCTGGGGCGTACCAACGGTAAGGAGGCGTATCATATGTCCCAACGGGATGAAGAAACTGCACTAGTTGAGACTGAATGTGAGAAGGACCTAGGTGTGTAAGTTGGCAATGAGCTGAAGTTCTCGGGCCATTGCGAGAAGAAGGTAAACCAGGCAAATAAATTATTGGGTCTTATAAGAAGGTCATTCAGATATCTAGACGGTCCGTCCCTTGTAACGATCTTCAAGAGTGAAGTGCTTCCCCATCTGGAGTACTGTCACCCCGTCTGGTCCCCGAGATATGCTAGGGACTGTCAGTTGGTTGAAAATGTTCAAAGGAGGGCCACCAGACTGGTGCCTGCACTTCGGCACGTCAGCTACCCTGAGAGATTGGAGCGCCTGAACTTGCCTAGCTTATATTACAGACGGGCAAGGGGTGACCTAGTTGAGGTGTATAAGCATCTCAGGGGGCACTACTCAGTCGAGTGTCCTTACTTGGAGCTGGCGGATGCTCTCCCCACAAGGGGTCACAGCTTAAGATTGAAGAAGCCGCAAGTCCAGAAAACTGTGAGGGCAAACTTTTTCGGAGTAAGGGTTGTAAACTCTTGGAACAATCTACCAGAGAGTGTTGTAATGGCACCGAGTGCGAGCTCTTTCAAGACAAGACTTGACCAACACTGGAGTGGGTTCAGGTCCATTCAGGAGCCGGTGCATGCCCAGTATTTGCCAACAGTGCGTGACAGAGACGTGACCGATCGCCCGGGCGGCTAGCGAGCTGACCTTTTGGTGAAGAGGATAAATGAAAAGGAAAATTAACCCGAGACGTGACCGATCGCCCAAGCGGCTACGAGCCGATCAGTGGCGAAGAGGATAAAACTAAAACTAAACTAAACTATAGTGTGTTTTTTTTAAAGTAAATCAAGTACCTGTAATGGTGGATGTTGGAAGGTGTACCAGTTGAAGAGTACAAACTGAGTGGAGTCATGGAGATGATTCTTGTAGTTGTGTGTTACTGAATGTAGTCATAAGTTTAACTGCACTTTAATAAACTATTTTTATTGTATGTTGGGTGTATCATTCCCCTGCAGTATTCACCTTTGTCTCCTCCTATATCTTGGTGGCAATAATAACAGTGAACCCCCGTGTCCTAACCCTCGAGCCACACTACCACAGGTCAGAGGTTAGGGGGTATCTATGAGAGGTAAAGTAACAAAAATAATAGCTAACATATGGAATTAATAAAGCAAGAAATTGAAAGAAAGGTTTGAAGAGAGAACAAATTAAGAAATAAAGAAAAGAAGAGAAGGCAGAGAGAAAGGATAAAGTTATATAATTACAACACCTTACCTACAAATTGTTTAAAAGTAGTGTGATAGAGAAAACTAAGGTAAAATAGAAAGAGGAAGTGTTGGGGTATGTGCCGGTTTGGCAACACTATCGGTCCCAACAGTCACAGAATTAATTCCGGCTCAGACAGCTCGCTGTGAGGATATGTCTGTTCCCACAGTATCACCTTCGCCAATAAATGGACTATGGATGCGGCCTTTACTTATGCCCCGCGTTAGCACCCTAACAGGAAGAATCCCCTATACAGTAATGTTAGTATTACTAAATTAGTATGCACAGTGGTCCCTTGGTTAACGAGCACAATCCGTTCTAGAAGGTTGCTCGTTAACCGAAAAACTCATTAACCGAAACAATTGTTTCAATGGGTTTTGGGGTAATTGGTTCCAGCTCACCGAAAATTACCTAAATTCAACAAAAAAGGTAGAAAAATACACTTACTTTGAGGTGTGTATGTAGAAGGCTCCTGGAGGAGGAGGAGGAGGAGGAGGAGGAGAAGTCACCCCATGGCGCCATTTCACCCATAAAATTTTAGTTCTCTTGGGTGTAATTCAAGATTACTTTCTTTAAATCAACACTGCACTGCATTATATATTGTCAATATGTAAAATAAATTTCAAAATGACCAATAATTTGCTTGCAAACACAGAAAAAAGCATTTAGTTGAAGAGAGTCTCAAGCAAGATGTTACCTCCACTGAAAAGACACAAAGACTGACGCCTGTATGGTGTGTCGAGAGGCTGGATAAAACTAGTTTCATTACCTTCAATTACGTTCAATAATTGTTAAAATGACTAAAAAATTTAATATTAAACTTTTAAAATTATTGAATAGTATAAACTTCTTGATATTTGCTAAAATGGTAAGAAATTTAAGCCCTAGAACTGATTACTGTATTGGCGGACTAATACTACAGCTGGTGGACCGCCAAATGCAGGCGAAAACATGTTCAGGTCGGCTCGCAAGAAACTCGTTAATCGAGGGATTGCTCGTTAACCAAAATTAAGAATCTTATGGAAGGTAACTCGTTAACCGAGGGACCACTGTTACTGTAATATCTTTCTGTAAACAGATAGCATTCAATATGGCAATAGTTTAAGACAACTCTGGCAGCATGAGTGTGTATGTGGGTGGGGCGTGGGAGAAAGTGGTTGGGGAAGGACATCATTACCTGTGTTCATGGGGAGGATCTTATCATAGCCAAGGAGAGAAGTAACATACTCCTCGTACTCGCCCAAGACGTCATTGTAGAAGGCTCTTGAAGTGAGGGTGAGGATGGCAGCTTGCTCCTGCAATGCCTGAATGATCTTAGGATGACAGTGCCCCTGGTTCACGGCAGAGTAGGCACTCAAGAAGTCAAAGTAGCGTTTTCCCTCCACATCCCACATGTATATACCTGATGAGAACATTTATAAATTCAGTTTCAATAGACATGCTTGGAGAAAGCAATCATTAACACAATTTGCAAAATACAGTAAATTTTACACTATACAGTAGTGCCAACACAAGGTGTCTACATTGAAACGAAATGACTTTGAAGCCTTATAAATTATTACAGGGTATTGAATAATCCAAGTAGAGGAACATTCACACAGCTCAAAGTCAGTATGCTTGAGTTTCATCTGGGGTTTGGTGTTTCTTGTGATTGTCCATGCCTTATTCACTGTCTGAACCACTTATATGCACACTGTACTGTATACAGCTTGTAATATTTCTGTAGCTTGGAGTTGTCGATGTGTGAGCACATGTAGGAATCAAGATGGTATGGTACTCTTGTTGGTTTTGCTCAGATCACCAAGTGTTGCTTTAGAGAGACTGATACTTGTTTGAGAGGAATTTGCAGTTTCCTGAAGTACAGTACTGCAAATCCGTTCGACATGGTAGTATGCCTTATGTTCTCACTTAAGTGTCAATTGTGTGTTCATTGTTTTTATATCCCCAATTTCCGCCTCTCATGGTGTTTATACATTAAAAACATTGGTAGCACGCATACGTGTGCAAACACACACACTCACATATGTTCATACCTATCACCCCAGTCAATTATTCTTCAGTATTATTGCTTATATAAACTGAGACTTGTCCTTGGTTCTGGAGAGGGTGCGTTTTGAGGAATAACTATTTGACAAAGCACTAACCCGCATTGTGTTCTCAGAAGAGGGTATATAAGAATTAAATTGCAAAAGCTAAAGGTTCATAAGAGTCCCGGCACAGACATGGTGCACCCCAGAGTGTTAAGAGAGTTGTGCAATCGGCTTGCAGAGCCCTTAAGATCCTGTTCTGTAAATGCCTGGATAAGCAAAAGGTCCACAGTGACTGGAAAAGGCTATGTGCATCCTATCTTCAAGAAGGGTGATTGCCACTCCACAGATTAATTATAGACCAGTGAGCCTGACCAGCATAGTATGCAAAGTACTAGAGCATAATAAGAGATGCCATGATGGAACATCTATTGCAAAATAACCTCGTAAACGACTGCCAACATGGTTTTATACCAGGACGTTCCTGCTTAACACAATTACTAAAGGTACTGGATGTTTAGACTAAAATTCTGGGATAAGGCAGGAATATTGACAATATATACCTAGATTTTGCTAAGGCTTTCAACAGCATACCCTATTATAGGCTGAGAATTAAACTGGAAGGGTATGGGATTTTGGGAAATGTCCTTCAGTGGATTGGAGACTTTCTTTATGATCACAAGCAAGTATGTGGTGTGTAATGACAGGGCAGTGCATTGGACCATTGTTGTTTGTTTGTTTCATAAATGACATGCCAGAAGCTATACACTCATTCATACAATCGTTTGCAGATGATGTCAAGTTATTCAGGAAAATTAAGAACCACAGACTGAAGAGCTACAGAAAGATTTCTGCAAGCTTTATGAATGGTCGAAGAAATGGCAGTCAAGATTTAATGTTCCGAAGTGTAAGAAGATGCATCTAGGCCCTACCAACAGTAAGGAGGCATACCACATGACCAAGCAGGTCAAAGAAACTGCATTAATAAAGACTGAATGTGAAAAGGACATAGTTGTGGATGTTGACAATGAACTTAAGTTCTCGAACCATTGTCAGAAGAAGGTGAATCAGGCAACGAAACTAGTCGGTCTTATATGAAGGTCGTTCAGATATCTAGACGGTCCGTCCCTCATAACGATCTTCATGAGTGAGGTGCTTCCCCAACTGCAGAACCGTCACCTGGTCAGGTCCCCAAGGTAAGCTAGAGACTGTCAGCTGATTGAAAATGTCCAGAGGGCCACCAGACAATTGCCTGCACTACTGCACCTCAGCTACCCAGAGAAATTAAAACACCTGCAACTGCCTAGCTTAGACTACAGATGGGCAAGGGGCAAAGGGGTCACAGCTCAAGACTGAAAAAGCCACAAGTCCAGAAAAGTGTGAGAGCAAACTTTTTCGGAGTAAGAATTATGAACTCTTGGAACAATCTACCAGAGAGTGCGAGCTCTTTCAAGACCAGACTTGACCAACACTGGAGCAGGTACAGATACATTCAGGAGCCAGTTCACGCCCAGTACGTGTCAACAGTGCATAACAGACGTGACTGACTGCCCAAGCTGCTAACAAGCTGATCAGTGGCGAAGAGGATGAAAGTATATAAGTATGAGAAAAATCTAACCTGTGGCTTGATAATTTACACATGGCTTGGAAGACTTAACCTAGTCCAAGGCGATTTACCCTTATCTTGGGAAATATATTCTAGGGCAGGGAGACGGTATTATTATTATAGTTTGGGTCATCCAGCGAATTTTATGTTAGGTTAGGTTTGGTTGACATTGTGTTTTTCCGATTGTTTATTTCAACTTCCAAATATGTGGATGACCAGAGCGATAATTTTACCAGGGAGAATTAGCTTGGAACTGGGAGACCTCTCCCTTGGCCCGAGAGATTTTACACTTAGCCTGGGAGTCTTTACCCTTGGATCTGGTTGATTTACCCTTATCCTGGAAGACTTGACATTCTCCCGGGAGACTTACCCTTGGCCCGGGAGATAGCTACAGGAATAGGCTTATAGTTGTGGGCACCAAACTTTGCCTCTCTCTCCATGATCTCCTGGAAGTTGAGGGACACTCCCTGCTGGCTGCTGGGATGTGTCCTAGTCTCTAATGCGGTTCTTGGCCGCATCTCTTGGGTGTTGAGCGATCGTCGACATGCACCACCGATCACTTGGAATTGTCTCGGTAATCGCAGCATCCTGAAAAGAAGAGATAGGCTTCAAGTTTTTCTCAGCTGGTGTTGTCTCCATAGTAGGGCAGCTGTACAGGGGAGGGTCACTACTGTCACAAGGTAAAGTTTAGGAGGAAGAAGTTAAACTTTACTATAATATTAATTTTGGTATTACTGCTTTTACTTGCCCCACAACTTTTGGCTTTTTTTTTTTAATATACCTACCATGTACAGTAGTTTAGACAATTTTAAAATGTTTTTCTTTATAATTTTTTGGGGAAATTTATGTTTTTCGAGTATTTTAACCAATAAAATTACCAATGGTTTTGAAGTAGGAGGAAAATGTGGAGTAATATACTAGCACAAAGAACATCTGGAGTAAGGAGCCCTGCCGCCCCCCCTCCCCCCCACACACACACACACTCACTTCACAGTCATTCACCCCAAACTTTACTTCGCCTCTCTCCTGAACACCCTGGTCAGAATTAAGTGGTACCGGTTGGTATAGCGTCTCTCCCCTTAGTCAGCTCTCGGATGTGGCGTGGTGCCAAACTTGCATCTGTCAAGACTTATTCAAGCAAACAAGTTTAGTTTAGTGTTGAACAGAGCTGCCACTGCTACTTGATCACTTTATATTTGTTGCTCCTGTGTGTTTAGTAAAATTGTCAAACTACTGGATAAGCATGTACATAAACTATGCAGTAGGTATGCGGTGCACGTAGGCCATGGGTGTATACAGTTTCCTAGTGCAGGCACTGTAATGCAGGTAAACAACAATGGTAAACAATACAGAAAGGCAACTTGACTAAGGACAGCCAACATACCTGTAGCTGTCAGGTGCATAATTCCAGGTGGGTTCTTTGCTTAGGCTTACGCTTTGTCTCTAATCAGTACTAGCATGTTTACAGGAGTAATAGCGAAAGGTTTTTGATAAAATTTAGGCTGGTGAATCACTTGAACAGTACAGCATTCTGTGACTAATATAGAAACTCACTCTTCTCTTGCTGTAGCTTCATCTGTAATTATTTTATGTTTTTGGTTTAACTTTGAATTGTTTAATACCATAACTGGTTGTAATGTGGTATGGTAACTTATTCCAGTCTGTGGACACCAGGTAGCATAAATTTGTTCACTCACTCACCCCCTCTATCATAGTGCACAGTCTGCCGGTTCATATCCCTCCTTCCAAAGTTTGTTGTTAGCAGGGTTGCCAACTCGGATTTTCAAATGTCGCTAGGCTGGTACCTAAAAGTAGCTAAATGTCGCTAAATCTTCCATGGAAAGTCGCTAGCTATTATTCCCCCCTTCAGGAATTTGATGCAAATTATATTTTCATAATGCCGACTATAATGGACGGAGTATAAATAAAATGCATTATGTATAAATAAAAATATTATTTTTTTAAAGTTTAATGTGCACACTTACCTATTATTCAATAGTAATTGCATCCCAGTCCTCTTCGTAGTGTGAACAACTGTAGAGCTGGAAGCATGTGAAGTAACCAGATATTGTAGGAGTTGTAGAACTGTTGTACAAGAACAGGAGAATCGACCCAGAGGAATGTGAGTTCAGTATTGCTGGATATGACTCATTTACGAACCTAACTCAAGAATCCTGCAGGAGGGGTGTGGTTATCTACGCTAGGCAAGACCTTAGAGCCAGCCAGGCGAGGGTACAGGGAGAGGATGTCTTTGAAGAGTCCAAGTGGTGTAAAATTAAATTAAAGGGAGGGGACTTACTTATCGTCGGGTGTATCTACAGATCCCCGAACTGTGGCCCACTAAATCAAAGGAACTTAAGAACCTTAATAAACAATGCGGCGATGCTCAACCCCAGCCACCTCCTTATCATGGGGGACTTTAACTATGGCGACATCGACTGGAGAAACGAGTCAACCCCGAATGACTTGAATAATCCTGCTACTCTTTTTGTAGAAACTCTGAGAGATAATTTTCTGTTCCAACATGTGAGAGACCCGACACATTACAGAGGGGAACAAACACCCAAGCCACTTGACCTCATCATAACAAACGAGGAGGGTATGGTGGCCAAACTGGAACACCTTGCCCCAGTTGGCACCAGTCACCATACAGTGTTGTCATTCAGATTTAACTGTTACCTAGTTCAAGATAAGGCCAGGCCAAGGTGCAAATATTACAAGGGAAATTACAATGGGATGAGGGAAGAGATGAGGGGTATCAACTGGCCTGACTTATTAAGGTACAAGAACGCAGACACTACGCTGAATATCATAACTAGTAAAATGACCCATTTGATCGATAAATATATACCCAAGACCAAACCCAGTGCTTCTAGGAATACGAGGGGATCCCTACACATGAACCATGCGGCGGTCGACAAAATTAAGAAGAAAACCCAGAAATTCAAGACGTGGGTTGGGTCAAACGATGAGCAAGACAGGAGGATGTATGCAAGAGCCAGAAACCAAGCAAAGATAGAGTGTAGGAGGGCTGAAAAGGAGTTCCAAAGGCTGGTTGCACGCGAGGTCAAGTCAAACCCAAAGGCGTTTTACCGCTATGCAAAGTCGAAATTGAAAACGCGAGTAGGAGTATCAGACCTGAGGCTTGAAGATGGTAGTTACGCAGATTCTGACCAGGATAAAGCTGAGGCATTGAACAGCTTCTTTTCCTCAGTGTTCACAAGAGAGGATGCAACTAACCTTCCTGCGTTTGAGGACAGACGGTTCGACACAGCACTGACCCACATTGTGTTCACAGAAGAGGGTATTAGAAATAAACTGTCCAGGCTAAAGGTCCATAAGAGTCCTGGACCTGACATGGTGCATCCTAGAGTGCTAAGGGAGCTGTGCAACGAGCTTGCAGAGCCCCTGAAGATTCTGTTTTGTAAATGCCTGGATGAACAAATGGTCCCCAGTGAATGGAAAGTGGCTTATGTGAGTCCTATCTTCAAGAAGGGCGATAGGCACTCCACGAACAACTATAGACCGGTGAGCCTGACCAGCATAATATGTAAAGTACTTGAGAGTATTATCAGAGATGCAGCGATGGAACATCTACTACGAAACAACCTTGTAAAAGATTGCCAACACGGTTTTATGCCGGGGCGCTCTTGCTTGACACAATTGCTCAAGGTATTGGATATTTGGACCCATATTCTAGAACGGGGTGGTAATATCGACAATATTTACCTAGATTTTGCCAAGGCTTTCGACAGTGTACCCCACGAAAGGCTGAAAATCAAACTGGAAGGGTACGGAATTCGGGGAAATGTCCTAGCGTGGATAGAAGACTTTCTACATGACCGCAAGCAATGTGTGGTGATTAATGGCACGAAATCGTCATCTGTACCTGTAACAAGTGGGGTACCGCAGGGTAGTGTATTGGGCCCGCTGTTGTTTGTTTGTTTCATAAATGATATGCCTGACGTTGTACACTCCTCCATACAAATGTTTGCCGATGACGCCAAGTTATTTCGGGAAATTAAGAACCAAGCGGACTGTGAAGAGCTGCAGAAGGACCTCTGTGGGCTCCAGGAATGGTCGAAGGAATGGCTGCTGAGATTCAATGTCACGAAGTGTAAGAGGATGCACCTGGGGCGTACCAACGGTAAGGAGGCGTACCATATGTCCCAACGGGATGAAGAAAATGTACTAGTTGAGACTGTGTGTGAGAAGGACCTAGGTGTGTATGTTGACAATGAGCTGAAGTTCTCGGGCCATTGTGAGAAGAAGGTAAATCAGGCAAATAAATTATTGGGTCTTATAAGAAGGTCGTTCAGATATCTAGACGGTCCGTCCCTCGTGACGATCTTCAGGAGTGAAGTGCTTCCCCATCTGGAGTACTGTCACCCCATCTGGTCCCCGAGATATGCTAGGGACTGTCAGTTGGTTGAAAATGTTCAAAGGAGGGCCACCAAGCTGGTGCCTGCACTTCGGCATCTCAGCTACCCTGCGAGATTGGAGCGCCTGAACTTGCCTAGCTTATACTACAGACGGGCAAGGGGGGACCTAGTTGAGGTTTATAAGCATCTCAGGGGGCACTACTCAGTTGAGTGTCCTTACTTGGAGCTGGCGGACGCTCGCCCCACAAGGGGTCACAGCTCAAGATTGAAGAAGCCGCAAGTCCGGAAAACCGTGAGGGCAAACTTTTTCGGAGTGAGGGTTGTAAACTCTTGGAACAATCTACCAGAAAGTGTTGTGACGGCACCGAGTGTGAGCTCTTTCAAGAGAAGACTTGACCAACACTGGAGCGGGTTCAGGTACATTCAGGAGCCGGTGCATGCCCAGTATTTGCCAACAGTGCGTGACAGAGACGTGACCGATCGCCCGGGCGGCTAGCGAGCCGACCTTTTGGTGAAGAATATAAAGGAAAAGAGTCGTGACCGATCGCCCAAGCGGCTAACAAGCCGATCAGTGGCGAAGAGGATAAAAGTAAAAATAAGTAAAGTGAAGTGCTTGGTTCAGGTTCTCTTGTAACTGTATGCCTCCACAGTCCCTATCTTTCTTAAAATATCACTAGGAAGTTCATAACTTGCACAACAGGTGTTCTGTCTTTTTAACCCATACTTTATTGTAAGAATTGTCTTTAATGTCGATAGTTTTGTAGTGGAATTCTCCCCTACAAACGCTGTTTGTCGCTGCCTAGCCGACCCCACCAATTCCCCAGTGTATGCCTCGTGGTCTAGGTCAACCAGCGCCGCCATACACCACGGAGCGGGGGTCAACTGCTAAGCCACGCCTACCCCCGCTATTTAAGACCTGACCTCGTGGTGATCTGTCTCTCTTTCTACCTACAGCCGCAGCCAGCAACACACCTCCTCCTCCGCCGCTGCCTGGCGGCCCTCGCTCCTCCTCCGCCTGCCTGGCGGTCCTCTCTCCCGCTGGCGAGCATGGCGACCCACAAGCTGTCCTTCTCTGAGCGTCCTCACCAACCAGCTCTCTCTACATCACGCTTGTAACCATGCTGCCTTCCCAGCACCAAGCTGCATTGTACATCCAATACAACATGTATATAGAGAGCACATCGTGAGTTTCCTTTCTCCATTCCATCCTGAGTGTGAACCAAACAATATCATACCCCACAGTTTCATTTTGTTGCGCAATTTTGATTTCACAAAGTTCATATTACTAAATGTGCGCTCTACATCTGCTTTTGAATGCGGAAGAGATAAGGCAGCGAGTGCAATTTCAGCCAGATCATGGTAAGGGTTTTCACCTGTCGCATCTCTGTAATTTGCCACTTCTGACCACAATTTTAGGGTGTTAGATGTTTCTGTCCAGATTGTGTGATGCAGTTTTTTCCACTGGAAATCAATCTTGGTAAGGGTGCTGGAATCTTCTGTAAATAAGTGTGCCAAACCAAGTATATCTGATTTAATAGGCTTCAAGCAATCATCGGCACTCAGAAAAGAAATAGACTGCAGCACACGAATGTTGTCAGGTAAGCGTTGACGAAGTTGTTTTATGAGTTCAACCCGTTCAAATGCATTGTCCCTGTAACCCCGTTGCTATATATTATGGCTCGAAATTAGGAAAACCGAGTTTTCATGGACAGTCCAAAAGTATCCAGAAAGTCGCTAGATTTCTGTGGATATCTCTAGATTTGCGACAAGTCGCAAATCGCTCTAAAATGTCGCTAGAAAAAAACAAAAAGCTCTAGATCTAGCTACAAAGTCGCTAAGTTGGCAACTCTGGTTGTTAGATACTCTCCGGCTGCGATCCACTGAAAATCCTGTAAGCGTGATTCAGTCTCAATTGCTTCACTCTCGTCTATCCGTTACACTTAACATGTTCAGTGATAGAAGAACATCGAGACCAAAGTGATCTTTTTCATTGAACATTAGATGCTTGGGTTTTAGCTTGTGTGAAGGCAGAGAGTACCATGACGAGCAGGAATAGTCAGAGTGACATTGTATGAGCACCAAACAAATGCTCCTACGTACATCAGCCGAGAGACATACATTTGTATAGAGGTTTTATTTAGGCATTACTTTCTTAACTACTGTATTTCACGGAGGTTACAGTTGGGGTGAGTTCATTCCCACACACAGTAGTATAGTACACAGAATTCGACATAAATGACTATTTATGTAGTATTTAATGCAATAAGCACCAAAAGTCCTCTACTCAGTCTATTGCAGTGGTTCTCAATTAGTTTTAGCCATTACCCCAAAACAAGTCTGACAACAATTATCATTACCCCGACATAGGTGTGTCAGCTGTTTATTTTCAATCTATTTTTGGTGTCGTGTACAGTACGTGAAGCAGACGCGGTTCCGCCGTGGGAGAGCGAGGCACGAGGTACCAACTTTGCCGTGTGCAGGGCGTACCTGACACATGAATGACCAGTGGTTGTGTATGGAATCAAGAAGCAGGAAAAATGAGGCTATATGATATCTCATGGCCTGTCGTTACCCCCCGAAAAACGTCAAAGTATCTATCCCCTTGGGGGTAATTTACCCCTAATTGGGTACCGTTGGTATACTGCATAGCGTGTAACAATATTTCTGGCACCTGGGCAGGTTACTCTTCATTTCCATTTAAGTAATACTCGAGTGAAAGCACAAATAAACATTTTCCTAGGACAGAGACGCGTAGCAGACTTAGGGTGGCACAGATAAGTCTGGAGTTAACTGCGGAGAATAAATATTAGACCGGTTTCAATCGAACACTGCAGTGGATCCTCTCCCCTACAACTACCAACTGAGCTCCTGCCGCGCGCTTACCAGCCAATCAGCGTACAGCCAGCTACGCCTAGAGACTAGGTCTATTTTTTTTATTAGGCACTCCCCTACATCCTTGTGTAAGGTGAAGCGCAGAAGCGTTTACAACGCCCAACAAGGAAGCATGCTAAGTTCATGCTTGCCTTTATGTGTCATGAGTTAACGGCGTAGAAGCCTGAAGAGTCAAGGGCGTAGAAGCCTGAGGAGTCAGAGGTTTATGTCATCAAGTTAATGGAAGCTCCAACAACTCCCTGAATACGAATTCGCAACTTTCGACAGGTACCTACTTTACTGCTAGGTGAACAGGGACTAATGGGGGCTAGGAAGTTAGTCCAAACAACTTGGGGAAGTGGGACATACATTCCGGGAGTGCAAGAGTAGAGAAATTCCTAGGTGCCTGAAGTGCCAAGGGGACCACAGAAAACTGGCAGCACGCTGTTCAGTAAGGAAAGAGATCGTATAAAAAAGGAGGGAAATTGAAAAGGAAAGGGCACAAGAAAAGCAAAACAGGACCTATTCGGCTGTAGCCAAATTAACAAAGGAAACAACTCCGATTAAGAACACAACTGGAACTAGAATACAAATACAACCCTAGACAACACGGATTTAGGAAACACAGAGGAACAAACACGGCCATAGCCCTTATATACGAAAGTATAGCAAACGCAATGCATAATAGAGAACAGTGCAACATAGTTTTAAGGGACGTGGCAAAAGTGTTCGATAAGGTCTGGCACTTGGGACTTAAATATAAAATAACCAATCAAGAACTACCTAACAACTTCACCTCTCTTTGTAATTTCTTAGACAATAGAGAAGCACACATTATAATAGGCAATCACAAAGGCCCAAGCTTCAGACTTTATAGTGGAGTACCACAAGGAAGTAACTTATCCCCAACTCTTTACACAATCTACACTTCAGACATGCCGCCACCAATTCTCGGTGAATATGCTGATGTCACCCAGAAAATCCGCCATCCAGGCAAGGCCAAACAGATAATGGCATTAAAATCAGCTCACAGTATAATTAAATTTTTGTAATTTGCCCCGCGAGGGGACTAGTTTATTAGGCACCACTTAGCATCCTGTGCAAGGTGAAGTGTAAAAGTGTTAACAGCGCCCTACAGGAATACATGCGTAGTTCAAGCTTACCTTCGTGACTCGTGCAAATGCCCGAAGGGTCATGGGTTTTGTCAACAAGTTACATAAAGTGACAGGATAATGAGTGTGTGGGGGTAAATTCCCTGTACAATTCATCTGTTTATGGCAAAGAGTGGCAGTTCCCAAATGTCAAGGTTTCTGGACTTGTGGCTCCTTCAACCTTGAGCTGTGGGGGCGAGCGTCCGCCAGCTCCAGGGAAATTATCGTTTCGGTCAGAATCGTTCAAAACACACTAAACCATCGGAAAAACATAATTTCAACCTAACTTCGGACGGTGGTACAGTACCTTAAAATCCTAAAATTCGCTGGATGACCGAAACGATAAGAATACCCTACCCTTTTGTCACCCTATTCTACAGTATATCGCCATTTCATTGGCCCTACCTGCCTGTGTGTGAGGCTCCCGAAAGTTCCGTACTTGACACACTTAAACCACCCCGTGTGTAGCTACACCTGGCCACCAAGCGTTGTCATCCATGCCAGGATATATCAAGCCTAAAATAAAAATAACCGAACACATGTCCTTGCAGTAAATTAAGATCTGTGCATCTCCATATCCTTGACGCTGCTCTTACCGTAAATAATGGCAAGCTTTCACAAATGAATTAAACGAGTACGGACTTACTTTATGTGTACGTCAAGGTTCTCACCGCAGGAAGGAGTCAGGGGAACTACGTGCTCCCTTTACTTGCTTGGTGGGTAGGTGTGTGCCCGGGGTAGCAGCGGTAACAGTTGCCAACTTACATTTATGTAACTAACCGCATAAATTTCCATGATGTATATCAATTACGATGTCTTGAAGTGTCCCTTTTATTTTGTTATAAGTATTTAGTGAACTCATAATCATCAGTAAGGATATAGAACAGTTGTAATTGGAAAGTTATGTGCTTTTTCTGACTCGTGAAAGTTGGACCAATGAGAGCGGGTTACCTGAGGTGTGTCGGGAGCTAATCCTCACTTGTTGACGCTCCCCAACATTTACCGCACCCTTTAAACTAAATGTCGAATCAACTTTGTAGAGCGAGTAAATATGATAAGTAACATTGATAATATGTGTATATACTGTATTTACTAGCAAACAGTGTTCCAGCGTTGTCAAATAAGAGATACAAATGAACAATAGATGAAACCTGTTGTCAATTAGTAAACCATTCTAATGCTGCTCACACCACAGTCAACAAAATCAAGGCTGCCACCACATTAATAACTAAAAAAATGGAGATGAGAAACTAGACATTGAACGATATCATAGAATGGAATAAAAAAAATGGACCTTATCATACTGCACTAGCCATGAAGTAGGTACAATGATAAGACAAAATTACACGATGGGGAGTGTGGCCCATCGTGGCGTATCTCCCCCACACTGTGTGGGGGGAGATACGCCACGAGATATGGTTTAACCAGTAGTAGTACTGTAGTGGTCTGGAATATGGATTACCTACAGTTCTTGCGTTCAGTTTTTTCCTATACTAGATATAATCGAAATACATGCAGCACTTGGCAACTACAACAAACATTTTAGTTGGCCTCAATTTCTTCGTATCTTGTGTAAAACATTCATGGAGTGTTACCTAACCAATTCGTCGGCGAAAACGCGTTTGTTTTAGGGAATATTACTAACCAATTATAAAGACGTTTATAATGTGTACACGTGTCTCAAGTAAAGTACTGTATACTTGACTGATTAAAACAGCCATGACTTGTGACGCAGACACAATACTGTATACAGCGATAAACTTAGCCTAACTTACCTAAGGTAAAGTAAGGTCAATGCTGTATCATGGTGACTTAACATTACCACAGCAATGCTGTGGTTGCACGTTGATTTTAAGGACTTTAAATGTAAGTGGAATATTGTATACGTTAATTATAAACATTTACTGGGTTAATTTCATTGCCTCAGTTATATTCAGTATATTGTTTTATGTTACCATATGTATTTCTATCAAACATATTTCGACCAATTTTCATACTGTATTTCTTTCTTTAGTAAGACTTGTAAACTCTCAGCATGAACTGCCAGAGAATAGTGTGACGGCACCAAATGTGAGCTCCTTTAACTCCAGACTAGACTAACTCGGGCACTTTAGCTGAAGAGCCCGTACATACCAACAATGTTTAACAGGGAAAAGACCCGCTATTAAGATGACAAATGGCAAAATGGGTAAAATAAACTTAGACCAGTCAAAGTTACTTGTTCAATCCCTCGTCCTGTATGAACCACCACTGTAATTTCTGAACCATGGCTTGCTTACTCCGTGAAATAACCAGTACATTAAGTCTGGTTCACGAGAGATGCTAGAGACCACCAGTTGATTGAAAAAGTAGAAAGGAGGGCCACCTAACATTAATACGTTTTTTTTTTCCGTAGAGCAGAAGTTACGTAACATACCTGATATGTCCTTGTGCTTTGGTACAGTTGCAGAAATGTGTTCCTACACGCCGTGGTAACCTGTGTCTCCAAATGGTCAACCTACGTATATGGACCCATAGCAAACCTATCCACCAATCATATTCGTTATTACACTACCAATACCAATTCATTCATAAATAGTGATACTATACTACTATGACGTTCCGTTTGAAGACACGGGTCACCACAGAGGGGTAGGAACACATTTCCTTAACTCCCCTCTCCCAGGCCCTGGAGATTCCATCATTGTCCTGATGTTCCATGTGTTCTCCCATTCCTACAGAAAGAATTTTCTTATTATTTTGAGAATGCAAGATTTGAGCTGATGTCATTCTTTCTCTTGTGTGTGTGACGTGGCCTGACTAGTGAAGAATGATTCCTTCTTCAACCTGATGATGGCCACCTGTATCAGCAGCAGACACGAGGTAAGCCACCTTTACCTTGGCAACTTCCTCAGTCGTTGATATAATCATGACAGGCACCCATGACTGACAACCACAAACAGCTGTGCAACCTCTATTACAACAACTTTTTACTAGTTGTTAGCACTGTTGGACAATCAGCATGACCATCTTTCCTGAGAATGAACTGGAGATGTGAGACGTTCCCGCCCTCCATGCGTCTTGATGCTACCCTTAGAGGCTGTTAAGTAGGTCGGGTCATTGGTAGTGGTGGACGGCGACAGGAAACATTTAGCTTTCTCATCTCGTGTTTGTTTCAACCCATGGTGACGACACAGCCTAAACCCATGAAGAGTGACAATAATGGTCAAGAACATGAAAACAATAGTTGTGTGACTTCTGATGACTTTTAATCAGCTATGAGTCTTGATAGTAAAACTGGTTACCTGTTGAATAAAAAGTTTAATTGCTAATGAATATTTTCCCTTTTTACAATATTATCTTGAATTGGTAATGAAACAAGTTCTTCATAAACATTATATATGCTTGTCCAGTACAAATAATATGCATATACCTGTATTCATTATACATATTGTGTATTTACAGGCAGAGGTTTTACATCCATAGTTGCTTCTAACAAACCCAGTCTATCACAGTTCCAAGCAGAATCAATAACTTCTGCAATGAGATAACTTAATTCACCTTAACCATATTAACATAATCCTTACATGACATTGATGCTCATGCAAGTGGTAATGAATCTGAGTGTGTTCATCTCAAAATTTAAGTACCATACTTAAAAATAGTATTTATCAAAACCTTGTACAGTACAGTACATACAGTATGAATTTCGGTTTTGCATACCAATAATTCATAAAATGGAATCAGTTGCATCTACAGTTTATTAAAATAAAATTATAGTATACTTCATTACAGGTCATAGTAACAAAGCCCTCATAAATTACAATGATAAAGTGCTTTTCATTATTTGCTGCAAATCACTTACAATGGCATGATACAATTTCATTATTCTTCATACAGAAATCCAGAGATAACGACAAGTCACCCTTAAAGATAATGCTCCCTACATATTGAATGTACCCCAAGTAGATTTATGGTACAGTACTTTAAGTAGATACAAATCACAACAGGGTACTTTACAGGAAAAATTAAACACTTGTCCATTCAATCTCACAGTTCTTGTTTTCTGCCACACCCTAAAAATGTATATACATACAGTAAAACCTCTATATTAACAGACTATATAGAGAAGAAAGACCTGGTAGATGTGAAATTTCCACCTAATGAGCCATATTGTCCATCATACTGAGGGTCCGTTATGTGCACCGCTCCCACCTAACGGATTATATGGGGAGATAAGTCAACATGTTATATGGGGATTTCACTGTACTGTAGGTCCCACAAATGTACTTTTCTACAACCTCCTGTTTACTTATTGTTACACCTGACTATACTGGTGTACCACTTGATGATCTGCCACACCTTATACAGGGAGTCCCCCGCCTTTTTTTTTACGGGGAATAGCCCACCCAGGCACAGGTCATCGACCCACAACGGGGCTTAGGGGGCGAAAAAAATAAGAGTAAAAAGAAATTAAAAATAGAAAAGAAAATGATTATATTAATTTACACCACGAAGATGTCGGAAAACCAGCTTTTTGAAGTGAGACAGATTGTACGAGTATGGAAACACATAAGAAGGCAGAGCATTCCACAGTTTGGCTGTGTGAGGAAAGAATGATGTACTATAACAGGTTATTCTAGTGCAGTGGTTCCCAAACTTTTTAACATGATGCCTCCTTTTGCTTTTTGCGAAGTCCTCACCCCCCCCCCCTTATATTTTTGTATTTAAAATCTACATAGATTTTATTTTTTATTATAATTATATTTTAGTATTGTTGAGGATCAGATAACTCCTTGCATAGTGACATGTACAAGACGCGTAAGGAGAGAGAGATGAAATGATAGAAAACAGATACGGGTGACTGCTATACTTTGGTTTTGCATGGATGTGTGGAAGATTCTACGCCCTTAACTCATGAGACATAAAGGCAAGCATGAACTTAGCATGCTTCCCAGATCGGCGCTGTAAGCAAATTTTGGCAGATGGCTTCACGCCTCCGCTGTATCCACCTCACGCCCCCCAGTTTGGAAACCACTGTTCTAGTGTGACCGACATCCACAGAGAAACGGGGGACACTGCAGGCAAGACGAGTGTTACGAACCCACGGCCTTGCCAGCGGTACACAGAATGCCAAATCTACCGAACATTGTCCGTTTAAGTGCCTGTAAAAGAGAAAGAGTGAAGCAACATTGCAGCGAAGAGAAAGAGGGAAGAAGGATTATCAACTAAAGGAGGAGAGTTAATAAGACAAAATGCCTTTGATTCTACCCTATCTAACAGTTGGACAGAAGAAGAGCCACCCCAGATATGAGAACAGTACTCCAAGTTAGGACGAATGAATCCCTTATATACTCGAAGCAACTGCTCAGGGGTGAAGTAGCTACAGCATCAGTACAGCATTCCCAGCTTTCGGGAGGCACGTTCTTAAGTCGGATTTGTACGTAAGTAGGAACACATGCTATGTGCATACCGTACTTACAGAACAATGTTTAAAATCCCACTATATCATAGCCTAAGTCCTTATATACATCTTAAATCAATTTAAGACAAAAGAAGAAATAGAATGACAAAATACAGTAAATGAAAGTAAAAATAAGTTATCAGGTAAATAAAATACTGTAAATTTCAAGTTAACCCCGTTCGTATTGGCGGGCATTCTTAAGTCGGACGTCTGTAAGTGGGGGACCCCTGTATGGTAGCTAAAACAAATATCTGTGCAAACTCTGTGGGAAACAATATGAGATCGCGGACGATAAATTTTGGTATATGAGGGCTGTCACTAGTCACACATAAAATTTCAGAGCATATCAACCCCCACCTGCAAGATAGTTGGTTTAGCTACTGTACATATTGAGATTATATTTTTTTTGTCTATCTTCCATTATATCCCAACCCCTATCACTTTATATTCTAAATATAAAGGCACATCCAAATTTACTCACTCTTCATTATGACTATATTCATATCTCCCTGCTGAAAGCTGAACAGCACAGTTCTAAATTAAACTTTATGATGCCATGACATGAGTAGCTATTCCCCCCAAATATCAGAAATAAAAATGAATAAAAAAAAACGGTATTTGCTTGCTAAATTATACTACAGGTATCTACACATAATTACACCAATGTGCATGAATGTGACAACTGTTCCAATTATGCAAAGTAATTATCCCAAAATAGATGAATTTTCCCACAATACAGTAAACCCTTCATATAATGGACTTCGATCTAATGCTCTAACCTTTTACATATACAGTACTGTACAATAATCCATTAAAGAAAGTTTCATATATGACTGACTAGCCCGTCTCATATGGTCCATTAGAAGGAAGTTTCATATATTACACAGGTTCCACTGTGCTGTACTTGCTGCTTTAAGATGTCATCACATGCAGAACTGAAGCTGAAATGTGTTTCTATTAAATTGCACTTACACAAAATAAGGAAAAAATATTGTCTAAGTAAACATATGATACTCAATGATAATACTGAATACCTGTATATAAATGGATGGTGACAAACACACATAAACAGACAACATAATATCATATAGTCCTCTAATTTGAAAGCATATCAGTAAGTAAAATAATTAAGAAAATGTTTCAAAAGTTGCTTGTCTTAACTATCTGCTGTGTGGAAATGGCCAATGACAAACATGTCTTTGCTCTACATGTATCCTCGATAATCACGGGACCCCAAAATCGCTGATCTGGTTTATCATAGTATTCTCAATTGTGACCATGTGTACGCTTATCACTGATTGATCTGGGTTATCACGGAATTGTCATGGGACAGCCGCGGATCTCGAAAGCCAGCAGTAGCAGTGACTGGCAAGAGATGGCAGCACGGCTTGTGGTGCCAGCATTTGTTTCCCCGCTCTGTTTTGGTTGGTGTTTGAAGACAGTTTCCAGCTCCGTACTTGTTTTTGGTGCAATATTTGTAACTTTTACTTACCCTCCACCCTGGTACCTGTGAACAAGAAGAGTGTTAATGTTCCTGATCTGACCAAGCAACGAAGATGTGTGTATTCTCTGGTTGAATGTTCCCGACAAGGATAAGCATGTGCTTGGCAACACACACACACAGTGTGTGTTACCACTTCCTTCCTCCCCACCTTTCTAATCACCTGCATCTTTCTCACTCCATAATTTAAAATTTATGTAACAATGTGGAAGGAATATGACGTTGTTCATTTATACTTGCACTCAATTTTGTGGGTAGACATCAGCTGTTCAGTTGTGTCTGGCAGGGCTGCAGCCAGTGTTAATAAACAAACCGATTGATGTATCATCTCACCATTTACCACAACCTCTCCCTCCACCACCAGCTCTGTGATCACCACCTAAATCATAATCTCAGTGATGGATTTGCTTTACCTTGAGCAAATCAACACAAAATCTACTGCCTCCCACCCACTTCTCACCTTCCTCCCTCCTTCCTACCCACTGCTTCTCACAAACACTCTGCCTTTCACTCATTCTACTATGACTGTCATTTATGATACAATATTGTACAGTACTGTACATAGTTTATTTGTTATTCATTAATTAGTAAAGATATGTTACTAGTATTATATCCTTTAGTGTACCTACACATTTTGGGGGGTATATTTTGGTCAGTTTGGGGATGCGTCTTTGGGGTTGTGGGGCAAAACTAATTTTTCCCTAATGTTAGGCGTTTCAATATGTACGGTTTTGCGTAACACGGTAGTTTTGTGGAACCTAATCCCCGCAATTATCCAGGATACATGTAATATATTGTAGGTTGACAGGGCCTGAAATAATCAAAGAAATTGCAATGAATTACAAACTCTGCTTCAAAATTACTGCTCCAAATTGTAAACATCAACTACTACATGAGGAACACAAAACTGAAGTAGAAGAAGTACCACTATGCCCAAAAACAATACCTATGATGTCTTTCACCAGTATACAGTAAACCTGCATTTAACCATACTACTTGAATCACTGCCATATCTTCACTGGTTCCAAATTTATGGAAATTTCAAGGTTAACAAACTTTAAATGCATTTTTCTCGTTTTTCATTTACGGCGATTGTCCTACTTTGGTTCTGTACTCCTCATATGGGAACAGCATCACTGAAGTTTGTAATTAGTATTTATCTGCATGTAAAAAAAGTTAACATATATATTGAAGCTAAAAAGCTGTGTCTCTTTATAGTATTTACAGGTGAAAACAAGTAATTTAATTTGCAATACAACTCCTCAGAGAGCAATGTTCAGAATTCTCGCTCGTTTTGTCATATTGTATGACTCTTAGAGCATTCAATAACTTTTTGTGGTGAGTGTACAGTACTTCGGAGAAATTGTGGCGATCAGTGTATAAAGCAGTGGTGCAGTCTTGAATCCTAACCTGCTTTTCCTTCCTTGAACCAAAACCTTCTCAATGGCAAATGATGTGGCAGCTTTATAAAGGATGAGACACTCCCAATTTTTAATGAATATCATAAACCTTTGTAATAACTTTAATCTCATAAGCTTTGAAGAGTAATTGTTCAGTATTTCAAATATATCTTTACTGAACTTTTAAATACTGTATACACGGTATAAAAATAATTAAAATTTTTCAATGCTTATGAACTACTCATGTTGATAATCAAATATGGAGGTGACTAGACAAACACTGGGATGATTTCAAACTGTACCACTACAGAGCCTTAAACATACTGTAAGTACCAAAGTAGTGCCACTATCACGGCTGATTTAGTACTGCACTGCTTGTTTTCCAGGAAGTGATTTTAAATCTAGATAGATAGGTGTGATACCTTGATCCATAATACACTGTAACCTACAGAGTAGCACAACTTGCCTTCCACTATATTTCATAACAAACTGCCTTTCTAAATAACTAAAACTTTGAAAATGAATTGAGTAAATTATTAGTAAATTTTAGATACAGGTTTGGACCCCGTTAATCAGGGACCCGATAGTCTGGCAGCTTTGATGGTTCGAGACGCAAAAGTGAATACTTAATCTTTTTGGGAAAAATGGATATGTTCCACAGCTATTAAGTCAACAGTAATGCTATAAAAGTTGTGGTAAAAATCATCACAATTATCACAACCTGTACTCAAATGTACTAAGTTAATTACTAAAATTTTTGTTTAGTACAAACTATGGGAAGTTTATATGTACTACAATTATTCACTATTTCATTATTTTTCAACACGGATTTAACCTTCTCTTTCCTCTTTTCCATTTTGAGGGAACTGAGAATAATATTCTAATGGGCAGAATCAAAACAACACAGAGTGCACAGAGAAAATGTGAAGAAATTGGCATGCAATTTCAGACATCTCTGCCACAATAGCATCCCCCCCCCCCCAAAAAAAATAGAAGAAGTTATTTTGGTGAATTTCTAAAGTGATTAATGTGTTCCATGTCATCAGCCCAATTACCCAAGTTGTTTGAATGATGTTATTAGTGTCATTGGCCTGTCAGCGTGATAATAAAAATAAATCACAATTGTTTTATATGAACCGGTCTCAATCCTAAATACACAATTGATCAATAGGGTATGTACTATAGCTGACACAAAAACAACTCCTCGTAACTAAAGAAGGTTGTATAACAAGGGTGGAAACCTTAAGATTGATTAAGAAGGGAAGTACAATACAGTTTACAGTCTGGCAGTCTGGTATATTAAATATGTGATCGATTCATTTCACTGTGCGGTATAGTAGTCTTGTGTACAGTCCACATAGCTAGTAACAACAAATGTTTATGAATATATTAAGGCCACTGTAATACTACCATACGGTGTACTTTAGATAAAAGAAATATATAATTAACAGGAAAGCAAACTTTTCACTCACTCTAACAGGTGTTTGTCCCTTTTCTGTACTGTACCTTGAATGTACACAGAATCAAAAAACTATCTGTGTACATTTTGCATGAAACAATCTGACTCCACAGAAGATGGATATTATATTGCAAAATGCCAAACAGCGACATTTCCTGTTTTATCCATTGTAAGTATTGTAAGGTATCCTCCTACTTACGATGGGGATAACGTTCCTGAAAACCCATCCCAGGTCGAAATATCGTAAATTGGGATCATTATAACATGGGGTTGAATGGAATACGTTTTCAGCCAGTCTAACACCCACATGAATCACTGAAAATAAAATTCCTACATTAATACTATACCTACAACACAAACAACACTCACCAAATCATTAAGAACAAGCCTAGTCATCATCACGTGTCCCCTTGAAGGTGGAATGGAGACATCACTCAGACTCCAACACAGCTTCACAATATCAAGCTTCACCCCCCAGAGACACGGTTTTTCTGGGTGCCTTGCCCTCCCCAAACATTTTCAAAGTTACACTGCTCACTTCACAGTCACAAAAACAGAGCGAATGATGACAGCAAAAACAATGATACCGACCGACACTGTTCATATCATGTTCACAACAACATAGACAAAGCACTTTACAGTCACAAAAAACATAGCAAAAATTACTTCACAGTCACTGAAACAGAGTACAGTACAATACAATATGAACACTAGTGATGTCCTCTCACTGTAAGGGGGGAAAAAAGAAAAAAGACTGATACTGACCGTTAATCATTGAGCTACACGATCACACCTATGTGTGATCACCATAGAACAAAAGTTGGGACTTTAGTGCACCGAGTGGTCGTGTGGTGGTGGGCGGGTGGACTCCAGCTGACAAGTGCACTGAGAAAAGTATTACATATTCAGCGTTGGTCAGACGATGACCATCGTTTATGAAATTTTTTTTTTATAAAAAAATAGGAAGTGGTCTTAATACATCACCATCGTTAGGGTGAAATATTGTAGATAAGGAGATTAAATTGGGGGATACATGTATTGATCATTAAAGAAATCATTGGACCACAGATATTTTTTGGATCGTGTGTACAGTACAAGCTTATTCCGTACCAGAAGGGAAACAAGTAACCTGAAAAATTAAAGTATATACTACTATATTCGATTGATAAACCATTTATTAATATTAAGACCAAGGCCTATATCACTGAAAAATTATCAAGTGCAAGTTTCCTGGGTATATCATGTCTAATACTCTTCATCGATCATTATCCTTCTGTTTTGAAAGGTAAACAGTCAATCACATAATGATCATAAATATTTAGCATGAAGCAGATTCAACCATCCTCAACAACTACATCACTCTTAATTACTTACAAAAGAAATCTTGAAAAATTATTAATTTAAATTATACTATTTCAGATAAGATAAGAATTATGAGAGCAAAATATTTATGGAGAATAAGAGGAAACATAATGACTACTATTGCACTTTTTCTTTCACTTATCAACTTATACCTAATAAGCTTTTCATCATTTACCTTTTTCAGATAATTTATATATTTGCTGTCTGTCTATTTACAACAACTCACACAACAAATTTTTTTTGAGAACGTGAGTGACAAAGTTTCTTGATATAAGGCCCTAGACAACAAACATCTACATGCATCTCAAATTAAACATGCATTGACCATATAATCAAAGTAACGATCAACTATAAAGAGCCATTCTCCAAATACTAACTGGTTTTGTGACAAACTGCATCTTGTATATAAATCATCACATAATGTTTGTTCAAATGCCACATGATTTTATATATACAGTATTAATGATTACATAATATGTTTCAAGCTACCATTTCATAATACCCGGTACAGTATACACTGTTCACCGGTACAGTATATGTATAAATCCACTCTTCAATTGTTTATTTAAACAGTTATCATTAAGAAGACATTGTATACAGTAAGCTCACACAGTTAAATAACTTTTACTTACAACAAATCAAAGTTAATCGCTTCATCAATTTAGAGAAAATTTGACATTAAATGACTCTGTCAAAGGTAAACACATCAACTGCACCTGATAGACCAGCTTCTCATTCTGGGTAAGTCAGAGAGAATGAATACCACCAAGTGAGCTGTGTACAAAAGGCAGTCTTCACGTCTTATACAGTAAGTCATCATTAAGCGAGGACTTACTGTATTACATGACAATAAATAAGGAGAAATTGGAAATGAGGCAACTGGTTGAGTGATTGTACAAGTGGAGGTGAATCTACTTGTCCCCAGTGACTTTGTGGAGTAAGTTATATGGTGATTGTAGAAGAATAATGATACACTGAAAGCGGTAATAACACTGCAAGTATAAGAGAATAATGAAGTAAGTTAGTGAAATATTGGCAGTAAAAAAAAATATATTTTGTAGCATATTTTAATTATTACTTAAGAAAAAATTATGGTCCTGGTAAAACCGTTTTGATAACTTTGGATTTTCATTCTTAAATTTAATTTTTGTAAATTGAGGACTGTCTGTACTGTAAATGATTGGTTCTTGCTCATGAGTATGGGATTAACCCCTTCACTACAGGGACAAAGCACTTAATATTTCAATTAGTTAATGCCAGATGATTTTATTTGGCACAGAGATGACCCCATACATAAGGGGTTAATTAGTCTTTTATCAGGTCAATGTAGAGAAACTGTGATGAAATTCATGTGGGATCTGTATCCTTAGTGACTCCCAAGGATAGTAAGTGTAGCTACTGGTACCACTTTAAACTTGTGGTACTGTTACACAACTGAAACTGGTTAAGAACCTTGTTTAACTGTGTGAGCAACTGTTTACACCACATGAAACACACAAATTCAAACTACAACTGTCATTTTTCTATGCAAAGTAAAATATATGAAGAAAAAACAACAACTAATAAACATGACAATAAAGCCTTAAAGAGGTGTGAAAATGTTGTATATAATGTATCCAAAAATAGTTATAATTTTAAAGCAAGGAATGTGAGTGATACATGGAAGCACACATCAACATGTTTTCCAACATTTACAAAATTCAATTTGAAAAATATATAAAAATATTATCTTGACGAATGTAGAAACAGTACCATCATTACTAATGTGCATTACCTCTCTAAGATTTTGTTCCTCTCATCTAAGAAATTCCAGATTTACTATACCAGTACAGGGTATATATATTTTGGATGTCTACAGATAACCACAAGGAAAGATGAATTACTCAAAATATTTTGGCAAATATAGTCTACATATATATATATATATATATATATATATATATATATATATATATATATATATATATATATATATATATATATATATATATATATATATATATATATATATATATGTGAAGAAACAACCATTCAGGTGGTCAGTTGATTCCTCCTTGTCAACCTGAGTGCCTCATATATACATACCCAGTGTGTAGTTGTTATGACTGAAGGGTTAATGTTAATTTATACAGTGATTATACATATGGAGGTAAAGGTACAAACAAATATTAACATTTACATGATTGTTTACTCATTATGAAGAAAATAAACAAAACTTCTAAAGTTATTAACTCAAGAGATTTTGTCAGATACTGTATATACAAATTGCTTTTAACATTAAAAACTTAATATCTAATAATATACTCTATATGTACAGGAGATAAACCTTGATGTGAACAAGTACCTCACATGAAGTTGTTGACCTTAACATTCACATTTGTTGCTTCATAAAACAACAAATATGCAGCTGAAGACTTAACGTTGCCTGGTGACAGTTCATAAACCTCGTGATCATCAAACTTATTCCACACTTTGTTGAGAGATGACTTGCAGAAGGCAGTATAGTGACCTCCATCCATGGTGCCATAATGGTTGGATACACCATAGAGCTCAAAGTTTGTATACCTGAAAAACACAATTTTGGAAACAAAATGTTATACTGTACATGCATATTGGCAAATAAAAGGGAGGGAGAAAATGATCGGAAGGAAACAGGGAGAGTGGGAAGGGATACCTTATTCTCTCAGATGAACCTGCTGCACAAACTGTTACAAATGTTTATAGGTTCCTTACTACTGCAAGTATATCAACAGCTTTGTGTTCCTGGATATAGGGATGTTAATGGAATCCTCCTGCTTCCTCAACCACTGACCTCCCAACACTGGTGTTCACTTTACAGTCCCCCAATCATATGGAACTGTAATACCAGAAACATATTTTTGCCAAATTTATGTTTTTTGAAAAAGCAATGCATTAATTGGGGCAAGAAAGCCACAATACACCTACTGAGGCACCAAGCCTACATTTTTCAATTAAAATGGATTTACATTACAGTATATGTTACCTGTATGTTCACTACTCATCCCTAAACTGGTATCACAGCCACTTGCACACTGTGGTTTGCTGGGTGAAGAAGCTTAAATTTTTAAATTAGATTCTGGATACAAAAAAATGTTTTTCATATTTTTTTTTTTTTTTTTTTAGGAAAATACATAATCAATATTAAACCTGAAAAAAGTGTCACTTTGTACCTTTCTGTGGAGTTGTCCTTCAATGGCCTGGTTCACAATAATGATATCATGGCTGACTTTCAAATATTATAACAGTAAAACCTCATCAACTACAATTAATTGGAGCAAAAGGCAGTCCGAGAAGGGCAGTGTCTGACCAAGGCCAAGAATCTATGGGCAATAGTCTGAGATGGAAGGGAAAGTCTGCGTGAAGTACCTCGAGAGATTTCAATACAGAGAACAATGCATAGATACAATTTAACTGGCCAATTTTTTTAGAAAATTACTGAAATATTCACCAGCTGATTACATAGACACAGCGTCCATATCATGTGTTCTGACTCAAGTTATTCTCAAGTTATTAGGGACAATCGACTATACATATTATCGTATACATACATACCGGTTGTTAATGCCACAATGTTTTGTTAGATCCAAATTATCCAGGGGAAAGTCAACAAAGTTCTGCTTTTTCTTCATCAAAACATCATGCTCAAACCTGGAAAAATGTAAAGATCTTATCAGCAGCATAAACATGGATCTATCCCTCCAGTAAGTTTCACTGACAAGAAACAGACTTTCCTCTTAACATACCAATTCCTATCTTATCATGTGTAATGACTACACAATGTGATACAGCTGCATTATTACAGTAACTGTTCAAAATTCCCTCCCTCTGCCCCAATTCAGGCCTTAACACATTGTGTAGAGTGTGTGCATAAAATTACACACAAATCTAAGTGCTGTAGCTAGGAAACTATGCCGATTCCAACATTTTGTCATATAGACGTTGTCTTTGAATTGTCCTAGTAATAAACCCTGCAATTTACTGCATGTATTTGAGAATCACACTGTATACATGTTATACAGTACATAAATTTACAACAAACTGCATACAGTATATGGGTTCATATATGGACTGAGAAGCCACTGGAATGGCAGCCACCAGTCCTCTTTCTGCTTCTCCCACCCACTATCAGAGGGGTGGGTTGGAGATGAAGAGATTACCTAAGGCTTACCTATTGAGATGCAGAATTAATAATGGCGGCAATTTCCATATGTCGAGCTTTCGTATACAGTTTCTTAATTTCTTGCATTTGGAGCACTTGTATTCAATATTTGATTCTTTGTAGTAATGGTGAAGCAAATCCTGCCAAAAAAAGAATATTTTAATGAACTTCTTAATAGGTTTCATACACACATGAAGGACTAAGAAGGCAAGGAAAGGGCCTCAACTCTAAGTACACTTATCCCCCCCATATTCGCAAGGGTTATATTCTTGAAAACCGTTGCCAATCATGAATTTGAAAATACTGAATTGAATACCTTATGTAAAAAAATAGAGTATGGTACCATGGCTACTAAGATTATAAGTTTTGTCATAATATTTGGGCTTAGAAATGATAAATGTTTAAGAGATGGTGTTGATGTTTATATGGATTGTTTTTGTAATGCAAATTAATAAATTTTAAAAAACTAATTGTTTTCATGAATAAATCAAGTCTGAGTATATGTAAATAAACACATAACTTAAATCACTCAGGATACTATAGTCTACCTAAGTAAAAAAAAAATTTTTTTAATATGGAGCAAAGGAATACAACTTACAATACTCTAATGTGGCTTAGAAATAAAGAAAATATCATATAAAACTATAAAATAACAAAATGAAGAGCATAGGTGTGTGGGTGTGGAGAGGTGAACGTATGTGGCCGACTCACCCGCATCTCTCCCTCCAAAGTGACATCACAGCATACACACATACTCTCACACACGTCTCAGTCAGCTGGTTGATTGCTTGGCTGGACTGTGTGGTGTTACCCAGATAATGATTTGATTGTGGAAGGAGCTATTTTTGTGCATAAAATATGTGCTACTGTATTTTATGGTATGTTATGTATCAATTATATTGTTTATCATTGCAATTTTTGTTAACAAGGTGGATATAGCCCTACTGGTGGCAGACATGTGAATTAATGACTTTAGTTGCATTCGGATTATTGGACTAAATTAGAATTTTTACTTAACAAGACCAAAGGGGACAAAGTTCAGATAGTTGGAATTTGGATAAGAGGAATTGTACTGTAGATTAAATAAAATCTATGATATTGGACTTACCATAAAAGTGGAGACGTTCTGCAATCAGTGGCCTGATATGAATGGGGGAGGTTGTTGGGTGTTACCCGGTCAGTACCGTGGAAACCAAATTAACCAGGGGGTGCTGAATATGAATTCTGGTGCCCTAGATACTCTGTAGTGCAATGTACAGCACCTTATACCCAAAATCTTGGGGTGCTCCAGCACCTTCTCTTCCCATGTCCATGTACAGGGGGGTCCCTGACTTATGAATGTCCACCAATATGAGCAGGGTTAAACTTGAAATTTACAATATTTTATTTACCTGATGACTTATTTTTTATGTTTATTTATTGTATTTTGTAATTCTATTTCTTCTTTTGTCTTAAATTAAGCGATTTTAGATGTATATAAGGACTTAGGCTATAATATAGTGGGATTTCAAACAGTGTTCTGACTTACATACAAATCCGACTTTTAATGTCCTCAGGAATGAAACCGGTTCGTAACCCGGTGACCCCCCTGTACTGGGTGGAGTGATGGGGGAGGACGGTGCGGCACATATAAGAGAACTGACTAACCACGGAGTGTGTCTGGGAGATGTGCATCTGCTAATGATTAGTCAAAAAAATTCTAACAGCCTCGCGAATAGGTTGAATTTTGATCGCAAATCTTGAATAAAGGGTCACTAAAAATAATTTGTGAATAAGTGAGCTCACAAATATGGAGTTTGCAAATACAGGGGATAAGTATACTTGCAAGTAATCAGATACTGTGATTAAATGAACCTGTAACAAGTAGCAGTGATTTGAGTTCAACTACTTACAATATAAATCAACTTACCCTCAGTGTACATCTGTTTGATGAAGGGAAAGACAGCGAGAGTATACAAAATGGTTCAAAGGTGAGTGAGCGGTGGCTACAGGTGCCACACACTATACTGGAGCGATGCAGCCCATGAAACAGAGTAGATACAATGGACTGTTCTCGCCGTTTCAGTTCTTCCATAACTTTTTCTGCAGCAACATAGTCAGGAAGGTCATCATGGTTCTGTTCTTTCATAGATGGTTTTTTACCTATAACCTGAAAATAAAAACAAATTATAATATGCTTCTGTAGCAAGGAGAAAAAATTTTCTTCAGGGTATATACATTATACAGTATCTACAGTGCCCAGAAAATTAGCAAGGTGCACAGAATGGTATATTCCAGTAGTCTTTATGGGGTGATACCACAGATCATGGTTGTTAATAATCCACAAGACTGTAAATACAAAACAGAAGAGACCCCATGACTTGTATAATGTATTACACTGGGTTTAAACAATATACGGAGTCACTTTTGTTATGTACAGTCCATGCCACTTATAAACCACACAGACTGGCGGCCTCTACATTCCTAACTGGCACCTTTACTGGGTACACGTTAACATGGGTAAATAACTTAAAAAATATATTTTCTTGTTGTTTCTAAAATTTATCCTTATTAACGTTGACTTTACACCTTGGCTGACCACCGATTAATTGGCTGGTTTGTATGTTTCAGGAGGTGGGGGAGGGATGGACCTAGTAAAGGTGCCAATTACACCTATAAGTGGTATGTATTATGCAAACTGTAGCACCAAGTTTAACATATAGTGATGTATATAGTACAGATGGTCCCTATTTCTGAAGACTTGGCTTACAAAAATTCAAAGTTAAGCAGTAGGAGAAGGATTTGGTCGACTAGTTTCTTTAGAAATCATCTTTAAACATGTGTACAATATGTACAGTACACTACAGGTACTCCTCGACTTACGACAACCCGGACATACGACGGCCATGGTCGTATAAAATATTTTTCAAATAACGTAATTTTTAGTACCGACGTTAGTGATCGCGCTGTGTACTGACAACATTTTTGTAATTCCCTTTAAAATGGCTGGCAAGCATAAAAGTGAGAGTTCTCGTGGTGCTGAGAAGAAAAAGAGACACCCATTTTAGAATTTCTATGTCTTATTTTCGCCTTTTCGACTTATGACCTGGCCATCGGGACGGAACCCCGTCGTAAGTCGAGGAGAGACTGTATATGCCTTTTTAGAAAATCAATATTCATACATAAAATTTGAAAGTAAATCACCTTGTTTATATCTTCATGTACCCAGTCCATTAACTTGATCAGGAACTCATGAGAATCGTGTTGATCATAACCCTGAAATGGTTTATGACAGCGACCCACTGCAGTCTGAAACACAAAACACAAAGGCCATATAGTATTATGATTCTGGGAAGAAAAGCTCCATTCATTAAAACACACACACATGCTTTCTCTGACTCTCCACATCACTGGACTTATCATGAATGCTTTTAAAAAACTTAGCTTTCTCTTCTATATGTTCCAACCTTTACTCCTTTTAATTTCTTATCTTTTATTAAAGTCCTGTGTGTCCTCCAGTTGAATAGTGCTTCCTAATTTGATAACATCCCATACAAACTTATGTCAGCAACACAATGCGCATGTCCATCATTCAGTCTTCTCCCTTTATTCTACTATCATTTTATTCTCCCTCTCCTTACTTTATACACATCTCAATTTCCCTCCTTATTCTACCGAGGCATCAAACACTCATTCCTTGCTCATCACCTAATTCTTTAGTCAAATCAATCTCCCTCTTCTTACTCTTCTGTTGTAACAATGGACTGATTATGATCCCACCATTGAACCATAGTGCTTTTGATCTAGCTACTGCAAATACCAATACTTGTACATGTCACCATTACCCTATCTAATGCCACACACACACACACACACGTGTGTGTGTGTGTGTGTGTGTGTGTGTGTGTGTGTGAGCACCCCTTCACATTTCTTATTCCTAGCTACTTCGTTCCACTGTATTCTACTCTGAAATTTTAAAAGAGAACAAACCTTAAGGTCCCACATGGCAATAGACCGGTACTGTCCACACCACAGGGCCCTGATCACTGCCCCTACTTCCTCTGCTATTTCCCCACGACATTTGCTTTGTGGGTTAATGTCATCACTGTAAATAAATTAAAGAAATATGAGAATATCTACCTAAGGAAAAACGCAGAAATAATTTCTTTTAGATGTCAAACCCATAACCACTAAATGTGACCACTAAGAAAACTGTACATACTGTACAGGTAAATATGCTTATTATCAACATCTGAGGGCTGTTTATAAGTTTATTATCAAAATCTGAGTTGTTTATGTAAGTTCACATAAAGTTTTAAAGAGAAAAAGTGAAAAAACCAAGAGATGTAACAATATTGGTGGTTAAGAATGAGTGTCACAGACCAGGTACTGGATTCAGTAATAATTCCCCCACTCTAGCAACTCTACAATTCCCAGCGACGTGAATGGGATCTGGGTAACTTTTCACTGGTTCTTATAGTAATACCTGTACAAGTTTTCAAAGTCAAACCCAAAGTGGCACCAGATGCCTGTTCACAAAATGGAGGAGGTGGAATGAAGATCTTAAGTGTTGTCTGTCACACTCCTCTATGTGGAGTTTGTTTTGTGGACAAAGAGAGACATATACACACAAACTTATACTGTGCCTCATTGTCTGTGCGTGTGTTGTCTTCCTGAGTTTGATGCCAATTTCTTGAACTCAGAAAAATGGTTTATAATAAAAACCTGAACATCCCCAGCAAGGTGGCCTTGTGGCCTGACCGCCATAGTATTAAACACTCCTTTCCATCAACTCAACAGATGACAGTCAGGTTGTAAGTAAGTTCAGAGACTAATTTCCGTGACTCAGTTTCACCGTGGGAGTGATAACTTTTGTCCTCAACTGTGCAGAGGAATTGTTAAAAAAAAAAAAAAAAATGTGTATACCAGTATGTCAAGTGCAGGGTTTAGTTGTCAAGTGTTATTTATTTTCTTTTATTTACAGAAAACTTTGTTTGGAGTCCAAACAATAATTTCTAAAACTGTCAGATTTTTTTCTCCCATTCTACAGTTAGTAAATTTAGCATATACAGTAAACCCTTACAATACCGGACCAATTCTTGCAAACTGTCCAATATTGGGAGGATTCTGTTAAAGAGAAGTGTGTTAATAGGAGGGTTCACGGTATCCATTACTTTATTAAGAAGCCCATTATTGAGGGGGTTTACTTTGCAGTATCTCAACAAAGTATATGCCATGGTGGGTCCAATGACTTCCAAAATTCTACATGCAACTCGTAATGTCCCTGAGGGTTGGTATGCGTGGCTCCGTGGCATACTGATCTTACTACATTTGGTAACCGAACATCACATTAATTACGCTGAAATAAATACATTGTATTGCTTATGTTAAACTATATACCTGAGTAAATGTATGTCCCAATTTCTATCATCTGTGGTCTCATAATGCTTAACACAGTGTGGACAGATACTTTTCTGAGATACTGTACCTATAATATATGAACCAGTAGAACGGGGATATGATAAGCTGTACAATATTATGATCTGAAAATGAAAAAGTAAAATGAGTGTAGGAATAGCTTAAAAAATTGGACTGACCTGTAGGTGCCTTCAATGAAGTATTTGACGAGTGGTGTGGTATTGTTCAGACACTGTATGATGGAGTTCATATAACATGTGTTTCCCAAATTTTTTAATCCAGTTTTTGCGAGGGGCTGGGTGAGAAAAAAAGAGAGATTTATCATGAAACAATTTTGACAACATTATCTGACCAACCTTTTTATTCTTTTGTATTGGTAACCTTTTTTTCACCCCTTTAAGATATTTCCAGTGTAATATATGTATACAGTACATACACATCTTTCAATTCAACTAAACACATCTTACACAAGTTCTCCTTTTAAGCAACTCCTTTTACTCATCATCCAGACTTTCAGTTCTCTCTTAGAATAACACTGAAATCCAGCATAAAAAAAATGAGAGTCAAGTCTTTTGCCCCCGAAAAATACAGTACAGTACTGTCTACATTACTTCAGAGAAAGACCATTGAACACCTAAGCCCTGAATTTCCATTATGAATCAACATGGTATTAACCTTACAGTATATCAACTATAAATATTTCTATTCATCTGACAAGCCAGATGAATAATCATATATATTCAGTCCAATAAACTATGGACTGAACCTAGACGAGGACGATTGATTGATTGTGGTAATTATATCCCTAGCGACGCAACAGCTTATGACCTTAGGTCATATGCAGCTGAATTAAATTAGAAGGTAAAAACAAATAATGCAAGGTAAAAAACATAATTAATAAATAGCACAGAACTTTCATAAAACCATTTTAATGTTAATAAATAAAACTCAAAACTCTACCCTACCCCCTCCCCCCAGCACCAAAGAGACACGGTGAGACCCGTCTCCTCCCCGGCACTCATAGAGGTGCTTACGACGAAGATCTCTAAGACTGAGGCACAATGATGTGTGACTTAGCTGTGTAATATGAGATGTATGTGTCTTCCCCATATTAAGAGAGTTATAAGTTACATGAGGACAAAAAGTCGTAAGAAGGAAAGTAGTTTCATTACACAATCTCCCAAGTCTCCTCCATATTTTTTCTTATCCTTTTACAACACAAACCTACACATTATCAACATATACACACACACATGCACTTGGCTAGCCCCTCACCTTGTTCATGTATATTGTTTTATTTTTTTCCCCTTCTATTCTCTACATATTTAGACTATGGAAGATTTTATATCCAACCCCATCTGCTCCATGCAGCATTCAGGTTATGTATCCATGTATTATTTTAATCTTTTCCCCTTTAGTGTGAGGTCCATGAAAGGGAAGACAAAATAACAAAGAAAGGAGGGAAAAATAGGAAGGGAGAGTGATGAAAGACAATTGTAGACAGAAACAGTAAAGAATTATGATGACAAGTAGTGAGAGAGAGAACACAGACAATATTCAGTTGAACAATTCTGCCTGGAAGTGATGCACACCAACAACAGGATATGAAGCCTGGTGGAATTCTCATGAATCCATACAACTGGAGACAGATTAAATTAAGAGGTTTACTGGAACATTGAAGGCTGCCAGTTTAATCATACGAGATAATTTTAAAACAGAGCTATGGAGTTACAGAATGATATTAATACTGTAATGCACTACTATACCATATTGTGAAAGTAACGAGTTATTTAAAGAATACACCCATCAGCTCCATAGATGTCATGAATGTAACAATTTTGACACATGCAAATCATCCATCCATACTAAATTATGTGGAAATCAATTGATAACTGGTGAATGAGCCAATTTACACACACACATAAATTCACACACTGCCGAGACAAACAGTTGCAATAAAATGTCAAGATGAGCCTGCACAGCAGAGGCCTTGTAGGTACACTCACTTCAGCAGTTTGAGTGGTCTGTTGAACAGGTTGACCACAGTACAGTCCAGTACATGATCGTCCCCAAGTCATGACCAAGCACTTAAAGCTTGAGTCACTAACTTTTCTCCACAATCCACTTTAATAATTTATTAATAAGATTAACTAATATGATAGTAAGAATCTCAAATTTCAAGGGAGTTTCAGTGAATAGTATATTCTTTTTATTTTCTTAACACAGAGCACTTTATAATTTCACAGCACTTGGCATAATTCATAACACCAGCTTAACAATCTCTTCCTCACAACATAATCACCAATACCAGAGGTTTTGTTTTTCTAATAGAGTATGTGTATACTTCAGGCACACTCACATATATCAGCAACAATTATAATTAAGATAGTTTGTCTAACATTACAGGAAGAGGACTTTAGTAAGGAAGAGAGGGAGTCAATGTTGATCACTCTGCCTCTAGGCTAACACTACTGGAAGGTGTCCATCACTGGTGGACTCACGGCCAACCAACGCTGACTCGGAGGATTATCCCCTAGTTCCTATATTTACACAACTCCTGGGTGAAGCCTGAGTTTACTCATGTGACCAACTGGCCTCTCAACTTGATACTACAGTATACCATTCTGCAATAATAATGGGAAAATAGACACATTTTGCTCTGTGTCTTTAAACTTAAGTAATTTATGAATTGTCCCAAATTTAACAAATGGCAACAATGTAGGAGAGAAAGGTGGGACGATACATCAAGAAAAATATAGAGGAATAGAGAGGGCAGCCTGGGGCCTCTTCTGTCATGGTCACTATCTCAGGGGGAGCTTTTTGGGAGTGAGGTGCCACAGATAGAATGAAAACAAAAGAAAAAAAATTAAACTACAGTCATGGAAAATGATGAATAACAATATGATGTTATGGAAGAATATTTTTGACACGATATTTCAATTTATGCTTCTATACACTATTATGATGTCACTTACATGTTACAAATCAATAAATAACAATACAATCAAATCACAGGTACAGTATTCAGAAAGGGACCATTGGCACATTGTAAGATCAAGCACAGCAATAGTGAGGTCAAGTTAAAGGATATAATGTAGAGAGAGAGAGAGAGAGAGAGAGAGAGAAAGACAGAAGAGAGGAGAGAGAGAGGGATGAAACTTATGATTATTTGATGACTTATATGAGAGAAAATGTACAGCAATGAAATTATTTACTGTACAGTATATACAGAATATCAAGAACTTCCCCAGGTAACATTGACTAGACCAAGACTCCCTTGAAGAGCTTCTGGGGACCAAGGTTAAGTAATACAAGGTCAACATCTTTGTAAGGTTTCCACAAATTCCCGATTTCATTGGTAGACATGTCGACATTTATATTTACTGGAACTTATATTATATTTTGCCCTCACTTTTCTTTGCTGACCTACTAATTAAAAAAAAAAAAAAAAAAAAAAAAAAAAAAACACACACACACATACTACCTCACTAGTCAGGAATCGAACCCTGGACCTCCGACCACATAGTTGGCACGGTCATTCCCCAATTGAGGTTCACAGTGTTTAACAAGCAAGATGAACAGGCTTTGTGTGGTCCTTGTGGCGCAGTGGTAGCAATCCCTGTTCACACGCAGAGGTCCAGGGTTCGATTCCCGACTAGTGAGGTATTGCTTGTATATGGAAGTCTGCAAGCTATATGGACTGATATATATATATATCACCCCCCCCCAGAATATTTGTTGATATTAAGAAATATTCTGAAGTCAATAGTAATTACGTTTTACTATACAAAAATGCCTGAGTATATTTCTGCATTTAAGAAATTTTCTGATAAAACAGTGGGGGTCTGGACTCCCCACCCCAAGGATCTGCCCCTGCAAAATATTCATACCATTATTTTATAAGGTTATCTCCGTTGGTTTACAGTAAAACCTTGACTTAGCGGACTAATGGGGTATAAGTAATGTCCATTAATGCCGGAAGCCTAATGTAATCTTATGTCATGGTAAGATCTTATTTAAACCCAGTACCGTACAACCTACTAAGATCTCAGAAGTTTCAGTGCCAGGTTATTTGATATCAGAGAAGAATAAAAACTCTAACTACTGAGATATAAGAATCCCAACCCAATTAATCATCACATTTTGGCAACTATAACCAATGGAACTGCTACAAAAACAATCAGATATTGAAAATGGCCGGAGCTCAACTTACCACACTTCCATATTTAGGTTCAAAGTTCCTCTGACGAGCAGCATTGATATTCCGTCTCTGTGGGGCCACTAAAGGTTTAAGACCTCGATCAAAGTTGGGCATCACACTCCCGAAACCGGTCTTGTCGTCATCATCTTCCAGCTGAAAATAACAAAGAAAAGATATTGTCAGATCCAAGACAATCTACATGTAAGTAGTAAGTAGTTTACAACTTCACTAATTCATCTTACATATATACATACATACTGTACATATACTGTACTAACATGGTCACAATGTAATTGTTAATCTAGTACAGTACAGTACACACAATTACTATGCATGTGAAAAACTTGGTCACAGAGGAAAAAAATAAGTGATGATGATGATCTTACCTGAGATAGATTGAAAGCAGAATGTGACCGCTTGAGATTGGAGCCACCCCGGACTGGCGATGACCTCGGAGAGCCACGTAACTTGGCTGTGTAAGTCTCACCCGTGCCTGAAGCATATTATTTCAATTAGGTTCATTATACTATAGCACTATGGTCTAACAGTATAAAGCCATTATACTGTACAGTATATCAAAGGAGAGAGTTTCTGAAAGTTTTTCAGAATTTATTTCATCTTCGGAATTTGCTCCTAGCCCGGATAAAATAGGAGAGATTTTCCAGATTTTTCTCAGAAAATGTGCCTGATTTTTAACCTTGGAAACTCGTTCATAGACCCAGAACTGTGAGAATTTGTCCAGAAAAATTCCAAGCCAATTTCAATTCTGGGTAAAATATTAGAGAGTTCCAGCTAATGGAGATATTACTATTCATTTACTGCCCATTTACCCCACACATTCCCCAAAAGCATAGTGTATGTCATGAATCATTTGTCTACGAGTATAGTACTAAACTGTATTCTAGCATTCTTTACATGCATTTATCCTACTTCTTTGAGCATTAAGTAAGATAAATTGACATAATCAGAGAGACAGATTAAGATAAAATGATAAAAGTAAGGCAATATAAAGCTTGCCCTTTTACTTTATGAGACTGGGATTAAGATTTATCATACTCACCCTTTGCTTTATGAGACCGGGACTCTCCATCAATCCGTGATCTGCGCTCCTCAAGCTTCCGCCTGTAATATCATTATTGACACATTTCATAACATAATTGTCTGTGATTGATCGATGAGGTGGAAGGGAAACACAGGAAAAAGTTAAAGAAACTGAGCTCTTTCGTGTGTTTCCCTTCCATCAAATCATAATTATCTGTAATGGGTTCTGATTTAGATGACTTCATGTGTACCAGTTACAAAGCATAATTGCAGTACTGTACATGGAGTTAAAAAAATGCTCTTGAGTGTTTCAGTTATTTAACAAAGATGCTTTACATTCTCACCTTTCTATTTCAGCTTCTCTTGCTTTCTGTTCATTTATTATTTTTTCTTTCTCTGCCTGCTCTTTCAGTTTCATCTCCTTTTCTTTTCTCTCCTTACGCATGCGTTCTACTTGTTCTTGCAAAGCTTTCCTTTTCCCTTCTTGTTTCCGTAGACTTTCTTGTTCCTGAGAAAACATATGATTGCAAACAAAGTTCCTTCTATATCACATCTTCATGTGTGCTTTATAATACTTTATCAGTCCTCAACAAATCTTGATATGGGTCATTTTTCATGAAATTCAAAATCTTTATTAAAAATAAGGGGGAGTGGGAGGGGGCAATATTTTTCTTACAGTAACATTTACAATATATTCAGATTGGTTAAGGATTTTGTAAATTATCTGAACTTTACAACAAAACACCTGTGTCAACATTTAACTGTTGTTTTGCATATTGTGAAATTATTATTTACATTGATACAGTTAAAAAAAATAGTGAGACAATAAAATACTGTATCCATATGGAAAATATTGGATTGGAATAAACTAACTGAACATTTGTAAATATCTCACTTCTTTCTGGAGTTGAGTGTCAGCATCATGGTCTGGCTGTGGCACAGAACTCAGGTTCAGGTTGCTAATCTGACCTGACAATACTTGGTTAACCATCCTCCACAGCTCCTCATTCTGCTTGTGGATCTTGTTGTACCGATCTTCCTGTTTTGTAAAAGAACATGGTGTTAGAGGTGCAGCATAAACAAGCTGTAATAGTTAGTTATAAACTTTATATTAGCATGACATAAACTGTACTATACACTGCTGACTCCTTATTATTATATGTGCTCACAGGATTGTTCCTAAGTGACCTCCATTTTGGGCTGACGAGTTAGGTGGAAATATTCCTTCTCAAAACCCTAAACCATATTTATATAAAAAAATAAAAATAATTAAGTATTAAGTACAGTACATGTAAACAAAAGAACACTTTAAGGTCAATAACAACTGGTAGAAAGAGAAAGTTGCATCAGTGAGCCCGCAAGCATGTACTACAGTACAGCATACTATATACAGTATATTGAAAGGTGAAACAACAAATCAATGCAACATAATAAGCTAGGTTACAGTACTGTACAGTACCATTTGACCCAAATTGTGGACAAAGTGTTTGAGATATTACATGGGGAGTCAGCAAGAATATGGAACAAGATAACCTTAAGAAGTACGGAAAATACTCTCCCTACAGTAATACTTAACCCTTTGAGGATGATGGTTTAACCCTTTAAGGATGGTGATTTAACCCTTTGAGGATGATGATTTAACCCTCCAGGACTCAAAGGGTAAAAAAAATACTGATCAATGCCAGATGAAGGGAAGTTGGCCATTAGGAAGAGTAATAGCCCACTGTATTAGAAACATGGGGATGTTGCAAAAGAGAAAAATAAATAGACAAAGTATTAATGAGAAAACATTATCATGACCAAGACCAAAAAACATGGAGAATTGATGCTCAACTCTTGATGCCAAGAAGCGTAAGGAAAATATATTGAAAGGGTATTAAAAAAAAAAATTGCAAGAGATACAAAACACCAACCAATTTACTTTGTCTTGGTTAAGTGAAAGATTCCATGCTACACTTGTGCTGAAGCCTATATACAGTACTTACCATCTCTGAACTCTTTGCTTGTAACTTGTCTATTTCCTCCTGCAATCTGTCTTCTGTCTTTCGTAACTGAATTCGACTTTGCTCGTCACGTGCCGATTCCCGCTGTGTTGTCATGGCTTCCATTTCTTCAATTTTCTTAAGAGTATCCTAAAGAGGAGAAATATAATGAGTCGCCTAATTCAATCACACATAATAAATGTCAACCCCTTACTTGGTGTATGTATGTTCCTAGGCAACACTTTTTCCCTTTACCCACAAGCCACAAAAAAATTAGTTATATACCTAACATAATTTTAACTAGCAAAATCTTTCTTTATCTCTACCGTAGCCTTATATCAACCTTGACAAACCACATAAAAAACACATGAAAAGTCCAATCTTTACATCACCCTGACAGTAAAAAAATCACATCACTGCAACACTGTTACATACAATAATGACCCAAAGGACTTGAAGTCATTTACCTCTTCAACTTTCATGGACTCCTCCAAAAGCTCCTGTTCCTCTTCCATTTCCACTTTCTTTGTTGCTAGATTTGCTAACAGTTCTCTGGGCTTCAATGATCTGTTGGGTACTGATGGCATGTTGTCCACTTTGGCTGTTGGTTTAATTTTCTGTAGGTCGAGAAGTTTGTTGGAGTCCTTAGTCTCCCAAGTGTTGAGCTTAGAGTCCACTGGTACTTTAATTGGACTCCCTTCTGGTGTCACCGTGTTGTTGTAAACTCTCGAACTATCCAAAATGTTGTTGTTATTATTCTTGTTATCCATAAGTTCCTCTACAACTGTTGGTTTCAATGTCCGGTTGACAGTCGGTACGACAGATGGAATCGTCCGAGTGTCTGCCTGGCTAATCTGTGGCTTTTGAGAAGTTGGGGACGGAGTCATCAGGAAGGCTTCGTCCAAATCAGGATATTCAAAATTAACTGAACGGAAGGAGAAAGAAAACAATTATGTCCTTAAAGCATCACTTATTGTATGACAAATTTGCTTAGTGTGACTGTGTGGTAGTGAGTTAATATCAGCTGTTGAGGAGCGCTTGGCAACATCAGAGCATGTTTCCATTCCTATTCCACTCCATCTCTGTAATTACCCACACCTTTCTGCATTCTCACTCCAATTTTTAAAATGTTATGGAACGTAATGTTGAAGGGATACAACTTTGCTCATTTATACTTATACTTATCACAATCTCCCTAAAAATATTTTTTGTTTCGTGTTTATTCAAGACATCTTCAGGTCATTAGACCCACTAATCCCCCACCCAAGAAAGGGTGATCTGACATTCCATCAGAAGGTCAGTAATATGAGACCACTAATCCCCCACCCTACCTCCACCTGACAATGTATCAGGTCAGGTCACTTACATGAGAACCACTAATCCTCCACAGCTCCATGGGAGTGAAAAATACCAGTCTTTGCCCATATCATATAGATTTATAAATTTTAAATATATATATATTTAACCAAACTTTTAGATAAAATATTCTAGATTATTATAGTAAATAAATGGAGTTTAACTTAATTAGAACTACATTTACGGACTCTGGTAGTTTAGACTCAAGGAAAACTCCCCAGCACCAGAAAACGTTCTGGGGAAGTGGGCTAGTGTCTGTCTGGCAAGATGTCTAGTTTAGACACCCGGAAACTTTTCCTAGTAACCGGAAAAAATTCTGGGGATAAGAAATTTTTCCGGATTTGAGAAAGTCATCTGGCTAGCTGGAAATCTCTCATCCCCGAAAACACTTTGCACCATTTGTTCCGGCTAACGGGGAAATCACTGTATGTATTTATAATCCCATAAAAGAGCAAACTTATATACATTGCCATGATAAATATTTTAGCTATCAAAATTTCTTTAACCACAAATCATTTGCATACACATGACACGTTTGCATGTATTGCACACACGCAGTTACACTCTCATCTATACCTAGATCTTTCATTTGTAAAAAAAAAAATACACATAGTAATATGTATAGACATTGTATATATAGCAGAGGTGTCATTGAGCCTCTCAGACTTACCCACTTCATTGCACACTGTAGGGAGGAGGAGGGCAGGAAACCCAGGCATACCCTCCCTTCTCGACCATTAAAAGGGATTCCATTAGTTATTATCCCATCTTTGACTGACTAAACAGAGATGTAAATTGCTACCATAATTGTAATTATCCAAGCTCAGTGACTCTTCGACTGATGACAACATCAATACAGTACCTACAGGTGTAACATTTTCTTTTAGAATTGAGAGATGTACAGTAGGTAAGGTTGGAAGGGCAGCTGCTCCTGTTACTATATTCAGTGTAGATAATGTTCCACTTTCTATGAGATATAAGATAGTACAGTATAGTGAAATGAGAAGAATTAGGGCATTTGTACATACTATAAGATATCAGCATTGCATTGGTGACAAGAAATGATGCAATGAGCAAGACAACCGGATGCAAATAGGTGTCATAAAAAAAGAAGAAGAATTTATCGGCATTTAAACCAAAAAGAAAACTCCAGACAACTCACGTGACACTGGCTCTTGGGGTTTCATAGTTGCAGAGGTACGACGCTCTGCTCTGGGATTAGTTGTGTGCATGGGATACATGAGCCGCCACATGTCATACCCTCCTTGTAGCACCCATGGACGGCTCTTGTACTGCTTTCCTGGGTCCCACTAACATGTGAGAGTTGAAATTTTACACAAATTAATTAACTGCAGCATCTTTTTTTCTTGGATGATGGAACCAGTACAGTAATGACTAAAATTGTTAGCATTATAATTCTTAGTTATTAATATGGATACAAGTTTTATAATGATTACAGTACAGTATCGTATATCCATTTTAAGGGGAGCGTCTGGTTGAGGTACAAAGGGCCTTAAATATTGGCTGAATGCTTTGACATTCCTGTCACTAATTACGGACAACATGTAGGTCAATTCTAGTTCCCAAACTCCCTTCTCTGCCCCCTTCATTTTTGGCCCTTTTCACCCCTTCCTAAATTTTCAAGGTGATTCTCCTTCGTTATTATTTGCTCCACTGTCTTGTAATTTATATCACATGCCATTTTCTTCAATGGCATGTGATTTTCAAAAAATTTGTAGACCTAAGCCAAAGCGAAAAATAAACTTATCATCCTATCGTACTGAAGGGCGCCATGGATTCTCTAAACGATATAAATTTCAAGACAGTGGAGCAAATAATAATGAAGGAGAAGCACCTTGAAAATTAAGAAAGGGGTGAAAAGGGCCAAAAATGAAGGGGGCAGAGAAGGGAGTTTGGGGACTAGAATTGACCTACATGTTGTCCGTAATTAGTGACAAGAATATCAAAGCATTCGCCAATATTTAAGGCCCCTTGTATCTCAACCAGACGCTCCCCTAAATGACAATGTTAAGAAATAAATCGACTATAATGGACTACAGCAATAGTACTATGAATGGGATACTGTATAAAATGAAACTTTATGGTATTGGTAACTAACTCTTATACAGTACTTCATAACTAAGAAGTGAGCATCCAATCTGGTTTCCTTCAATGCTACCACAACAAAATACAGTACATGGTGCTTGGTGCACAATGAGCTAGTTATTGTTCCATCAAGACCCCATCGTGGTTAATCAGTCTCACATAAGAGTTGTTACTGGCTAAATAGAGGGTATTTTTCCTTTTCTTTTCACAAAACATCACAGAAGAGTCTCAGTACCCCATTAGGTGCAATTCTTACCTTCACCATAGCATCAATAAGTGTCTCGAGTGGTAATGGCAGTGGCGGCTTTTCCGTTTCCCAGTCGACGAGAATTAGATAGTCTACAGTGTGCCGCTGTGTTACCCAAAGACTGCATGCTGACTCTTCTAGTTCACTTCCAATTCTTCCTGCTGTTAAACTGTAGGAAATAAAAGCAATAAAAGAACTATCCAAGTAAAATAGTATTTACATTTTATACAATGTGAAATTTCCCTTTATAAAGAGGAACTATACACACTTCCTGCTATATATACTGTACCTGTGTGTATAAATATAAATAAATAAATATTATATATATATATATATATATATATATATATATATATATATATATATATATATATATATATATATATATATATATATATATATATATATATATATATATATATATATATATATATATATATAATTTTTTTTGCAGAACAACCTTGGTGGACATGAAATCTTATTGGGGGTAGATAACCTACACCCCTTAATTGTGTTATGTATCAAATTTTGTCCTTGAGGTGAGGAAAAATTGAGGGAGATTGGCACTCTTTAGGGAACAGCCACTTAAAGTCAAGGTCTCCTGTTTAGTTATGTTCCTCGACAAACTTCTTTAGAATTGGTAATCCTGTTAGGATACTGTACAAGGTCAAGCAATAGTTTCCTACACTAACCCTGGATTTAGTATTTCTTCTGGTACATTAATAATATTTGGTAAGACCATCTGTGATTCTGAGAAGTCTTCCTTAGATCTTGCATCCAATATCATATATGTGGAGCACCTTTCCTTCATCAGGGAGTAAAGTTTCTCACATGATATACATCCACCATCTTCCGTCAAACCTAGAAATAGAAAATACAATCTTTAATTTTAAATTTGCTAATACAGTATACGTACCTATTTTATCCATTAAATTTACAGAGTTTAGGAGAAAATTTACAAGCATTTGTGAATTAATTTGGAAGTGTGTTCTTGGAGAAGTGATAGTGAATTGCAAACAAAGTGTAATGACAACATGTAGAGACTGGAGTAATAACGTTAACCTAAATGAAAAAAAAAAGAGGACGTGGATAGTTTCAGAAGCCTGAGAATGGATGTGTTAGCATATGAAATAATGAATTGAACCACAGACTGACAGAAGGAAGAATATAAGAGGTGGATGGGGAAATGTATGAAAAGACTTGTAACAAAGGAGTCAAAGATGGGTAAGTGCTGAGCCAACTTCAATACAGTATATGGGAGTGAAGCATGAACTTTGTATGTAAGAGGAAAAAGTGAAATAAAAGAAACCAAATTACATGACAGAAAGCAACATGTGGGGTTAAGTGAATAAGAAATACAGAAATTTGGAGATGTGGAAGAGAAAGAGGTGTTCAGCAGAGCAGATCAGAGTATCATCATCAATGGTATATGGTCATTCTCCACGTCTGCGAAGGTCAGTTACAATTACAGTACTGTACAGTTGCGGAAGAATATTCTGCCCCACATCGCTTTGGCCAGTAGAGACATCCGGCAACTCTCTGAGTGGTGAACAGGGCACATATCAAACCCATATGAATGAACCAGTCTCAAACCCTAGTGTGGGCGGCATTTGGATGAAACCAGTTGCTCAAAAATATTTTGTTTGTTATCCATCACTATTTTAATCAACTAACATTATCATAACTATATGTTTGTCACATAATGAATGCTTGCCTTCATATAACATTAGAAAGGCTAATAAAAACAGCATAAATTGACTGAAAATATAATACAGTAGATAATTTTACAGCTCTGTTATTATCACACCTCATACAGGTGCCCCGTGACGGTCACCTGCACCAATAATATTGGCCTGCACTACAGTAAATATGGAACAGATGCTGGAAGAAACCAGAATCAGTTACACATATTATAAAAAATATGTTTACCCAAGAACATATTATCAGTAATGCCAGTGGATGTAGCATTCACCCATGCTAGCGTATGCGCATAATAGACAGACAGCGGTGTCATGCTTAGGCTGGTTGACATGCCATGATGTTATCATCAGTCCTAAGAAATATCAGCAAACTGATCTGCGACTTATGGTCACTATCATTAATCCCATTGAGAAGTTATTGTTACGTAAGCCTAACATGCTCCCGTGACTGTTATCTGTGTTACCTAGCAGCTGTAGTAATTCATTACTGTATTTTTTTTAGGATTTCTTGAGCCTCACGTTACATTAAACAACTATGACTAGTAATATGGGTCAGGAAATAGTGTCCTCTGTATGGCATATGGATCCTGTAGGGCTGAGGTTCTCAAACTTTTTTTTCAACCAAGGACCCCTTATATACCATGACACATACAAATATTGTCAATAATCAAAGAATAAATCAGAGTCTAAAGCATTTGTTCATTTCAATCCAAATCCAAAATATCCTGCGAATTGGAATGGCCAAATCTCTCACAAACGTTAAATGCACTATTTCTCAAAAACTTTTCGCAGACCCCAGTTTGAGAATCACTGCTGCAGGGAGCCGGTGTTCAAAACACTTTATTTGAATAGCACTGATTCTCACACCAAGAGGATGTGAAGCGTAATTGTGGCTGTGGTCCCGTGGTTGCCTCAGTCTGTCCAGAACCGAGCCTTGAATGGATCGTCGGGAGGCCAAGGTTCCTCTATGAGGAAGAATCGTTGGTATGAGAAACGGTGGCTTTTCCAACACGGATATAGCAAGAGAACTTGGAATTGACTGGAAAACCGTTTATCGGTGGCTGAAAAGGTGGGATGAAGAGGAAAATCTGGTAGATCGGCATAGATCAGGCGCCCCTAGAAAGACAACTCCATCTCAAGATCAAATGATACATCAAGCTGCAGATCATAACCCATTTAAGAATGCAGTTGTCATACAACAAGACATTCAACATAATGTGACACCAAGGACTGTACGAAAGAGGCTCGATGAGGAAGGAATACTTCACCGAACACCAGCAACAAAGGAACAGCTAACGGAGAGACACCGTCAAAATGAGCTAAGATTTGCCCTGGAGCACGAGAATGAAGGACTTGACTTTTTGGGACGTGTCTTAAATAATACAGTTAATACATCTGTGGATATAATTTTAATGGATTATTACATGCTCCACATATGAATAAATATAATGCATGTTGTTATTCCCAAATCAGGTACAAGTATGACTGAGAAAATATCTTTGAGTGGCGAGAAGCGGTCAGGTCACGACCAACATGTGGGGCTGGGTATACCTCTACCGTGTTGGAAAGCTGACAGAAATAGAAGGCAGGTTTACAGTAGGGAAGTACATAGACATCTTGGAGGCTGTAATGCTGCCATCTGTTAGAACATATGCTCTTCCCTATCTAGAGAAAGTTCTCTTCATGCACGACAACTATCCAATACACACAGCCAGGGTAGTAACTTGCTGGTTTCAAGATCAAAGAAATATGGATCTTTTCGTCTGGCCACGTAAATCTTGCGATCTGAACCCAATTGAAAATTTTTGGGTGAACATCGACAATGTGTGGGAGCCAGAGCAAGAGAGAACCTCTCGCCAGTTACTACAACATGAGTAAAGAGAATGGGTGGTGCTCCGAAGGAAACCTGAACTTATTTACAGGCATGTGGCGTGAGTTCCTGAACGACTGCAAGAGGTAATTGCCAGCACTGGAGGATGGGCGGGTCACTAGTATGGTTATTTTGGTAAATTGGGTTGTATTCAATATATATGACTATTTTGGATGGGTTAGGTGACCCAAATAGGTGGGTTGTATTAAAATTGTTGTATAAATTCATTTATGCATGATACAATTGGTTTTTGTTGGACAGGTTAAATATACGAGACAAGAATTTGAGTTTTTTATTATAACCTTCACTTATTTAGTCCCTTGAAATAATAATTAACATCAAAGCACAAATTGTATAAATTAACACCACTTGGGTAAATAAACAACGTAAGAGTCGTTATCAGGTTCTCCACAAACTTATCACACCATATAATATTATAAACAACAGCAATGACGACGTTTTCTCTAATTAAAAAAATATGAGACCTCACGAATAATATTTTTATGAATCAGAGGTGAAATTAAGGCATTAATTATATAAATATTTGATGCAACTGGTTTCATCCTAACGCTGCCCACACTAGAGTTTGAGACTGGTTCATTCATATGGAATTGAAACGTACCATGTTTACTACTCAGAGAGAGTTGCCGGATGTCTCCACTGGCCAAAGCCATGTGGGGCAGAATATTCTTCCACAACTGTACCTGATGGCATCTGTTAGGTAAAACCAGAATGGGATGTTACTCAGAGCACCACCATTATCCTAGGGCACCAGCCCAGAAAACGCAGTAGAGACCAGGGGATAGGACCAGCTTCAATGATATGAAAATATTGAGAAAATATGAAAAGAAAGATTGGTGGTGGGTATTATTGAGAGGTGGACTGCAGTAAGGTAAGGGTAATACCATGAGCAAGATGAGAGGTCAGGGGCAGATCCAGGGGGTCCAGACCCCATCCCTCTTCATCAGAAAATTCCAATACTGTTTCTTTAATGCAGTATTGTACTTACCTAGTCATTTTTGTATAGTAAAAAGCAATTACTATTGACCTAATATCTCTTAATAACAAGAGCACATGGCCTCAAAATGACCATGATATCGGTCAGTTTAAAAAAAAAAAAAATATCCCCGAGGAGGAGACCTACAGTCCCCCCCAAAAACCCCAGCTGGGTGGGCTCACTTTGCTTGCTATGTTTCCTCACGCACAACTTGTTGGACCCCCCACCCCCCTTTGATATTCCTGAATCTGCCCATGGAGGATGAGGTAAAGGACACACTGAAGGTGTAGGGATTGACACCCATGAAGAAGTAATGAGTGTGTGAATGAACCTGAAAGCATAATCACCAACACTGACTTATCACACTCTCACACTCATTAACTGCTTAAATGCAGGTAATTTCTAACTTGTTTAAAGTTATAAAATAACTTCCTGTTTTTCTCATTAACAGTGCTTTATCTTGAATTATATCAACAACAGTTTAGCAAGACCTAAAGTCATATCACAAAATTTGTAAATCAATGTTTCTGTGATTTTCATCTCTTGACATTACACTAACTGCAGATACATTTACCTGGTAGTACATTTTTATTTTTTCATTCCTTAAGGTTCTTTTCTGATGTGGAACAAGATGACCAGAATGAAAATAAATGAAGTATTGTAGTACAGTTAAAACTATACACAATAGATTGTTTGTGTTAAGGCATGAACTTTGTAGCACCATACCATTGGTTACTGCTGGGGTGATGGTGGTTGTCTTGGCTCTTGCTGCAGCTTTCTTTGCCTGTTTTTCTCTTTCAGCTTGTTCAAGTTTCTCTAATGCTCTTTTATCTTGCTCTAACTTCTCTGCCTTTATTGCATCACTTGTAAATCCATATCTACAACAAATTGTTAAAAAAAGAGAGGGTGAATACTATGCCCTTATTTTTAAACAATAAACTTACAATATACTGTAAAAGGTTTATAAAAAAGTGACTAAATCTTGCTCAGCCTTTCTCATTTTCTCCAATTTAATGGTAAAATATAACAAATAGGAGAGGAATAAGAGAAAACTAATATACTGTACTGTACTAGATTCTTTAATGTAAAGCAATATGAATCAAACCTGCGATCAAGACTCTTTTGTAATTCTTCTGCTCTGTTAATAACCTTGGCAGTCATCTTAGGATCCAGAAGGGCATCATAGTACTTTTTATTCTTCTTATAATCAGCATGTTTCTGTATTGTCTGAAAAAGTAATACACTAAATTAGGTTCACATATATATATATACTGAAGAGGACTGCAAATTCAAATATAGAATGCTCATTTTTTTTGCTCTGTGTGCTACTGTGGGATTTCAGTGTTATGGTATACAGGTATGTGATATTATATATACAGTATTCTTCAAATATACACAGTACAATATATACAATGTCAACCTCAGACATACAGGTATCCCTCACTATCCAAATGAGTTAGGTTCCTTGAAAACCATTTGGTTATTGAATTTTTGGATAACGAATAACATAATAAAGTATGGTACACTGTACTGTAATGGGAAAAATAGGGTTCAGTTCCTGAACAACAAAAGCCCAATATTATTCATATGTTCGCCGCAAACATAGAGAAGCTCGGGAAGCAGCCATCCCCGTTTATGGGAAAGGGTCACGGAAAAGGGACGTGATCGCTACACGTACCATCATCGGGTATGACTTTGCTTGGGAGATTGGTATCCCCGCCTCCCCTGAGCACCCTTGTCCACTACCTCCTAAGAGGTTCCCACACAAAACGCTACTGTGACGCCCGCTGGACCACCACTCCACGACCCCCTGACGGAGACACGATGATCCTCCCCATACTGGCCAGATATTATGTAAATAATATTGATGATGTGTTGAAGGAAAATCCTTCCTTCCTTAGGTTTTAGTAAGCACCTTTATAATATTTATATATACTTGTGACACTTGCCAGATGCTTCTGGTTTTATTGTACAGGGGTACCTAGTGACAACACAGGGATCCCGGTTCCTATATCAAGAAATAAAATATTGAAATTGAATTGAATTATTATTCATAAACAAATTAATTGGTTCCCAACCAATGAAACCCCCAATTTTTTTTTACATTTTTGCAACAACACTTACTGTGTTTTGGTTTATTTTTGTGATTTACACAATTATTGAATCATTAATTAAGGTGTTGTAGCTAAAAAAAAAATAATAAAAAAAAATAAAAAAATTACATCCTGTACAGTAGGGGTAGCAGAGGAAACACTATTATGCTTGGATGCCATTGCGTACAGATTCATGAAAGGACAGTACAAATACGTACAGACGGATAAAGAACGATCACAACACTTCACTTCTACCGAACACTAAGCAAATGGAATGTACGATTTGAAGAATTTTTGATCCGGCCATTTTATGCATAAGCAAATATTGCTTTCGGATAGTAAGAAAGAGGTACAGTATATGAATAGAATTTTTGTTCAACAATGGATACCTGTATTATCCCACTATATATATACAGGTACAGATAAAGTAGAAAAGAAACTCTTGCAGTACCACCTAAAACAATCTTTACATCTACCAATATATTACTGAAGAATAGAAGGCTTGCATACACTTGTTGACATATAAATGAATATGATACTAACCAGCACAATAGAGAAGTATCTCATATAAAGGATGTAGGCTTTCTCTTCATCTTTAATTTTATCTACAGACTGTGCTTCCTTAAGAACTCTTTGGGCAGTATTCACTAATCTGAAAATAATAAAATACAATGAAAGCTGAGGAGTTACATAAAAAAAACACACACACGGTGACTGTTCCTGACAGAACTTTTCCCTTAAGTCGGATTTGTACATAAGTCAGAACACATGCTATGTGCATACTGTACTTACAGAACAATGTTTAAAATCCCATTATATCCTAGCCTAAGTCCTTATATACATCTAAAAATCACTTAATTTCAGACAAAGGAAGAAATAGAATGACAAAATACAGTAAATGAAAGTAAAAAATAAGTCATCAGGTATATAAAATACAGTACCGTACTGTAAATTTCAAGTTCGTATCAGCGTTCGTTCGTAAATCAGACGTTCTTAAGTCAGGGACCCCCTGTAGCTTTCTTCTTACTTATTACTCATTGATTTCATTGTATGTCATATGTATAAAAAAGTGCAATAAAAAATAATACTGTACTGCACTAGTTATGATGTCTCATTACAGTGATGATAACCTACAGACTACTGTACTGTACTGTACTCCATTGAAGGTTGAGAATAATATGGCATTGTCCCCTTTTCTTGTGCAGTTTTATTACCAAATTGTAAAATATATTCCATGTATTTTAATAGGAACCGTCTAGTTATCGTATTGGAAACATTTACATTTCATTATGCAATAAGATGTTTAGTGGGCCTCCATTTTTTTTTAAAGCAAATATTTTTTAAACACTTACCGGTACAGTCATAAAAAAAAAAGTGATTGAAGCAATGTACATTTTGAGGTCCACAATAGTTTAATCAAGAATTAAAACCAATATTAATAAAATTTTAAATCTGATTTAATAAAATTACTGTACAGTAGACCCTTGCCATTCGCGAGGGATAGGTTCCAAGAAATGGTGCGAAGTGGCAAAACCGCGAAATGCAACTTATACTACCTCAGTGCACTACTGTATACCTATACCAAACACCTGACCAGCCGTGGCAGCACTCATCCCCTCTTTTAACTTATCTAATAATAAAACTTTCTTTGTCAGGGTCATCATTGACTTCTGCCTTTAACATTTCACTCCACTAGCATCATTAGCACTGACACTAGGCAGCCTATTAGGGGCCACTTCACACAGAAACACTAAAGTCTTGAGAATACAACACGAGATGCTGCATGGGGTGACTCGTTGTGCTGCGGGAAAAGGCTTACAAGCTAGCCACCATCTGCTTACCGCAAATCATAGAAATTGCGAATGGCAAGGGTCTACTGTACTTGTAATAGCTTATGTTTTGAATAGTGTGCAAGGCATCACTCATTTGTACCCATGTTGTGTTTACAATTGGTCAGGATGGCACCAAAACCACCTGTTGAGATTGCTGTTCCTCTACAATAAAGGAGATACTGTTTTTGGTGGCTGATTTCCCCACATTTATTGAGGTCCAAGATACAACAGTGCTGGTAGATGAAAATTATGACAGACACTTGTAAAAATGGTAATTTCTATTTAAGAGTAGTAGCTAGTTATGGTGAGCAAGATGATTCCTGTACAAGATAAATAGGTAACTTAGCTACTCACAACTTGGGTGAAGCTCTGGGAATTTCATGGACTTGATTGTTAAGTTCCTTGAGGGACTTTGCTAAGTAGAGACGATGAAGTCCTGATTCTCCCATTTCGTTTCACTGGAAAGCAAAATTGAACTTGAGTTTTCTGTTAGATTTATTACTAAGTTTATTCAGTGTGTGCTCTTGCTACTGGTTCAATACTAGTAAGAAAACAACACAAAAAAGCAGTTATATCTATTAACCTAAAAACACCTATCATTTTTGAGATAGCCCTCCACTACCAAAAGAGTAATTTCCAACAAAAATCAATATCAAAATCGAATAAAACACATCAAAGGCCATCGGAAAAACATATTGCTCAACTCAAAAACCAACCCAACCTGACCTGACCTAACCTAACCTAAAATGAATACCTTGACACTGGAAGTAATAGGAGTGACCCTGAGAATGCTAGTAACATAAACAATGGACTTAAATTTTTATTTATGAAGTGGGTATTTTGCCGTGACCGGCTAAGTTCCTACTAACGCTATTCTACTGTAAGTGCACTCTGATTGTCTAAGTACTTTCTGTTTAATATGACAGGGGGGACCGCCCCCCGACTAGGAAGTTAGGTAAGGTTAGGTATGTTTCTTTGGTTGGTTAGGTCAGGTTCTATTTGGTTCTAGTAAATATGGCCACTTTTATAATGATAAGAACATGTGGAAAAAAATTAATAAAATTGAACAAATCCTTCTGGTTAGGTATGCTTATAGCTACACAATGATCAATTTATTGCAAAATAAATGCCAAATGCCGCCAGTCACAGTCAAATATAATTCTTGCGTTGTTCGCCGGTAATGGACGATTAGCCGACCAGAGCACACTCACAGTAAAATAGCATTAGTAGGAAATTAGCCGGTCACAGCAAAATATCCACTGCCAAAATTGGGTATCATTTTACTTTCGGACATAGCATGCCCCAAAGTTATAAACTACTGAAACATTTAGATCTCCCTATTCTGAGCATTTTGAAACCCATTTATTAGTTGGAAATGCATAGGATAGGTTAAGTTAGGTTTGACGACTCGTTTTCGTGTTTTCCCCCACCCAAAACCCCAATTTTCTAGGCTCTCCCCCTTTATCGATGGGGGAGGAAGAGGGGGGAGGAGGAGGGGGGGGGGGACAAATACGAGCAATTTCCGCCCAAAATGAAGGTCATTCGTTTAAAACACACCAAAATACACTCAAAAAACATATTGGTCAACCCCAAGGGACTCATGTCCTAAAATAAAAATTTACCCAAAATTTTAAGGTAAACAAAGTAAGGGCACCCCATATCTCGCTTACTATTCAATTACAACAAGTAAAAGTAGGGTTCACAAGATAGTTCTCCACGTCCAGGGTGCATACAGTGACATCCGTAGATCCCTCTTCTAGACTATTACTAATATTTTTTCTTCCTCTCTCTTTTTCATCAAACAAGACTGATTGGTATGTAGATATGTTTCAATCAGTAACAATCATCATAAATTTGGCTAATATGAAGGACTTCACAGCCGCTTTCCCCCATCTCAGTAACGGGTCCGACTAATTACCCAAATGTAGCCGCAATGAAGTCAAATAATGGTCCTACATGAATAAATCGGACTGCCAATCACTTCTTGACTAGTATTTGGTGTCACAAAGTAAAAAAAAATTGGAAAACGTAATTTAATCTGAGTTAATAGATCGAGTGCATGTACCTAACCTAACCTAACACAACTCAGATTAAATTAAGTTCACCAATTTTTTGTGACTTTATGACAACCAGATTTACGCTTGTAGGACCATCATTTGACTTCATTGCGACTACATTTGGGTAATTACTCGCTCCCTCAGTACATGCACGCGATCTATTAACTCAAATTAAAGTAAGTTTTCCAATTTTTTGTGACTTTGTGACACCAAATACAAGTCAAGAAGTGATTGGCAGTCCGATTTATTCATGTAGGACCATTATTTGACTTCATTGCGGCTACATTTGGGTAATTAGTCAGACCGTCAGTAACAGTAAGTTCGCCCAAGGCAGGTGTTAAGTTAAGTTGTCAGGTTAGGTTAAGTTAGGATAGGTTTGGTTATGTTAAGTTATGGTAACTTAACTTGAACTTCTAAATAAACACTTTTAACACATTTACGATAACTACGAGTGACCACTAGAAAACACAGTGAAATTGAGGCATTTTTAAATTCGCTTTCCATGAAAAATCAGCGGCTGTGAAGCCATAAATAATTCCCATATATTTTACTACAGAATATAAATGAAACCCATGAATATCCCATCGATGTTTCCTAAACCAATGACCAATAAGCAAGTTACAATTTAGAGTAAAGACTTACACTAACCTCAAGGTCTTGGGTTGAGAGGGAATGGCTGTTACCTATAAACCCACACCTACAGTATTTACACCACTATACATAAGATGGACCAAACACCAATTGAACAAACAGACTGGACTAATAAAAGTTAACAAGATATACATACAGTATATATACGAGTATGCAGAGAAGCCCCAAAAGCTCACAGGTCATCTTACCTAAATTAACATATGTCTTATTATGGTCATATACTCAAAAATATATTCCAACAACCAGTTTTTATGACCAATCTGCTCTTACTTTGACGGTGTTGTTGTCCCTTGTCCAGCAGTAGGTCATAAGATGTAACAAATAGGATTATGTACTGTGTTAGTGAGTCACGTCAGAGGCAGGAAATACAACGCTTGGACACCTTCCTTCACCTCCTCATTCTCTAACAGAAAACGATGATTTTTTTAATTTTCTGGCTTAACTCTTATATTTTTAAATATTCACTGGTATTAATATTAACTGTGATATTTTATGTATTATTCAAGTCGCGTCTTTAATTTTAAAATGGAGCAACTCGTAATTACTGTACAGCCTTTTGGGGAGACAGACTGAATATTTTGATAGGAGAGAGTGATAAATTATAGATTAGAACAAGGCTCGTTATCTATGCTCTTTTTTTATAGTTAATAATTAATTAGTACAGACCAGGAGACTATTTTCTCAAGAAGGGGACGGAGAGATGGCCCATTAAGGACTTGATAATTACCGTTTTGTATATGTACTGTGCCTTACAACTTCCATCATACACATTATTCCCATATAAAAATTTATTTTCCTAAAAATAATAAGTAAAATATTGTCGCCAACAGATGTTCACATTGATCGTTTCTACTAAATGTTCAGCACTGTAAAGCTACAAGATAACACCTGGAAAAGGTCTTGTAATGGAATCTGACCTAATATGGAGCAGTAGAGGGAAGCCATATATTGGTTGGAAAGAAAACCTGAGGAATTTTGTCACATTTTGTTAGGAGGAATTAAACTTGTGTGTACGCTTTCTTAAGGCGACGCAGTAGAGTACTAGTAGTTATGTAAAAGAAAAAAACATACATTGACACATTCTAATTTTCCATAAACATTAGTACTGTACAATATTATCTAAGTCTTCGAAATAAGAAAATCGAATGTTTGAGTCATTGCCCAAAAAGATGTTCGATTATTTGTTGAATTTGAAGTAGCCTTTGTGTTTCTGTGCTCTGACAGGCTAGAGAATAAGAAAAGTTAGTTCATACAAGTGAGCAAACCAACCCACTCATGTATAGATATGGGGCTCATATGGTTATCAGCGGCCAGTTCATATGTACACTCACGCGCCATAGTTTCGATGCACCCTCTACCCCTACTCCTGCTACTTGGGATAGAAAACAATCAAAACACCTAGTTTACAAACATTATACTGTAATGCCAAATTATGCTTTGGCATTACAGTGTAATCCAGGGACATGGGCAGACTCTTGCCCAGAAGGGCCCAATGTCCATGAACACATTTCTGTTTGAAGATTTTCTGCTGAATATAAAGAAAAGGGGTACTCATGGGCCTCTCCTTGGTTTACATATGGGCCCCATTACAGTCATACATAAGGACCCTGCAAAAGAAATTGCTGGGCCCCATATAAATCTGCCCAGATGGGACCCAAACAGTTCTTGGGTGCAAACATCTGTGGGTCCCATATTGAGTACAATATGGGGACCATCTGGGCCCCTTTTCGGAATGTTGTTTCGGAAAGTATTCATATCGTATCGTCCAAAGGAGGGTTACCAGACTGGTGGCTTCACTTGAACACCTCAGGTACCCAGAGAGATTAGAACGACCTGAAGTTGCCTAGCTTATACTATTGGCGAGCAAGGGGTGATTACAGACAATACTGTAGTAATACTGATGACAATGCATGTGTGTTTGATCGAGGTGTCATGTTGTTAATATATCTACAACTTTATACTGTACATTACAAAAATAAGGTGATAAACAAGTACTGTACATGCATATTATATTTCTATTATAATTTTCATCTAAATATTCTCCCTGCAGGTGTTCTAATCTATATATTGATACCCAGACAGGATGACACTACTCCACCTCACTTTTGAAGAGCATTATGTGGGATGGAATACCTACATATTTGAATAATCTCCTTTTATGTCCTGGTGATCTACTTACCTGATTTATCTTCTCACAATAATCCAAGAACTTCATTTTTTTTTGTATACACACAGACCCAGGTACAGTTCACATTTGGTTTTGGTTAATGATGCTTCTTCGTCACATTGAGATATGTGATATGCCTACTTACTATATGCACAACCTAGATGCATCCTTTTGCATTTCATAACCTTGACTCTTTAACAACTCTTGAAGTCAATAGAGATCATTCTCTAATGCTTGTCCAATTTCTTTATACTATGAACAGGTTCCAAAAACTGTATTGTGCCAACATTGAACCCAATATGACCCCTTAATTCAGCCAGCTGAAATTTTTAGTTTTTGCCTCAATTCAACTTCCCTAAAAATCTTTTGATTATATTTCACATTTTGTGTTTCTAGTTTAGGTGTGTGTCCTAGAAATTAGTGACAGTGACTGTTTTTTGTCAAATTATTAGATCAGCTTGTGACATTTCTAAGTTAAAAGATCGTCCTCTGTGCTGGATGCTCCCAGTGCCATAGTGTTCATTTAGAAAATTTCTATACATTCTATAGGACACACAGGGTCTTGCTACATTGCATTTCAGCTAAAAATGGAGTATTGTACCAGGGACCTGGAACCCTCAGTTTCTGAAAGCCCAGCTGATGGTTGAACAAAAGGCAAGTAAAACAAGCAGTAGTAAGTTGAGTGTACAGTACCGTACACTTGCCCCATGCTATATCATAAAAAAAAAAAATAGGGAGGGAGGGGGGGGCAGGCAAACCAATTAGTCACTAATATGACCAAATTTCAGATTCTTAGTGCACAAGGTGCCCAAGATATAACCTGGAAAAGCAAGAAAACAAGCGAATGAGGCAACCAATGGGTACCCCGCTAACGTGCTTCATACTGCACCTGGAGATAGAATATGGGGGAGGGAACCATGTATAAGAACTACCAAGTCAAATATTAATACAAATTTATTCTTTTATTAGAAGTTGAATAGAAAACTCTTATTCACAGTGTTCTTTCCAAAAGGAACATGATAAATAGTAGTATTGTAGTATACAGTATTATACAATATGAAATATGAAAGTAAAAATAGAAACAATCTTCTTAATGTACTAGATGAGAAGCAAACTGTAGACCTTTCCTAATTTTTTTCTGTAACTGCTGCTTTATAAATCTATATGCCTTTTTTCTACAGATATTGTGATCCTCCTGATCATCCACAAAATGATCATACAGCTCTTCAGCAACAACATGACTCCAGTCTGGCTTAAATGTAATATTATTGAAATTTAGCCAGGCAGTGTATCGGTATCTATTTGTCCTCATAGAATATCCCATAATTGTTGTGTCACGCATAGGAGGTTGGTCACTGTCAGGGTGAAGGGTGGGTTCAGGTCCTGGTCGAGGATACTGACTAAATACTGCCTTTTTTACCTGTATGTCATATGGGATATGAGAGGTGATCCTGTTAGTTCTGGATGTTTTCTGTTTCTTTAATAGTCTTTTTAGGTCATTGCCCTCAGATGCGATGGACACATCATCATCCCATAGTAAATTCAATATAGGAGCTAAGCTAGATCCTTGTGTGCAAACTCTAACATCCTTAGATTCCTCTGGGCAGGATGAGAGAGCTGGCAATCCCGCTAAATCAACCAATGTAGGAAATAAATCCACTAGTTCAACCAGTCCTTCATAGGAATTGAATGTTTTATTTGCATGAATTCTTGTCCAGCTATTTCTCTTTGGTTTTACCTCTAATTTTCTCTTTTTATTGGGTTTAGTTTTATATATGTTATTTTTTACAGTATCTTCAAGTGATATTTTATTTTGCAGAGATGATGACCAATTTTTCTTAAAAGAGTATTTTTTAAATGTGTAAAAATTTCTTAAAATATCATTATAACCTTGAAATACATTATCTTTTTGAGAACTCCATTTGGTTACTATGAATGGTACTCTTGTTGCAACTTCAAAATTACTAAACTTTGACCACTCCTGATGTTCACCAAGTGACCACCCTGAAAAAATATTTTGTTTAGATTAGTGAAAAAATAATAAATTAGGTTTTCTTAGCAGGCAACAACATTAAGGTAAAGAAAGTGTTACTAAGAAAAATGGGAATATCATTACTGTACTTACCATTAAGAAGGAAAAAAGAGGAGTGATACTAAGTGACTCAAACTCAACCCTTGTTTCCATAAACTCTCTCCAACTTGTGTGTCTTTAAAACCAAATACAAGAAGTGTAGTATGTACTGTATCCTAAGAAAGAGGGGTAACTTACCTTACTCTTCATTTGGATTCCCTATCACATTAGTCTTCTTGCCTATGATATGGTAGATACCCTGACACAGGAGATCTGCAGTCTTCTTATATCAAAGATGTATCAAATCTCTCCCATAAATGCATCAATAACAGGTGGAATACTGCTAACTTTAGTGAAATTAAAGCATGCATTCAGGAAGAAGGCCGAAGCTTTGAATATGTACTGTAAAATCCATATCAGATTGTATATGATTGTAAATAAATTGTACTGGCAATAATGGATATTTCATTTATATTCTGTAGATTTTATCACATTCCAACTCAAACTGTCATATGTTATAACTCCAAAACTATGGGGTATTGACACTATGGTCATGAAGTCGTTTATCCTTATATATATCTCAGGAACACACCGAAAGAATTACGAAACGTATTTCCTAAGCATCCTACATATAAAGGGTGTTAGTGTGGGTGGGCATATTCTAGGTAAAATTCCCAAAGTATGAATATTTAACAAAACAGCATACTAACCATGGTCTCCAATAAGAGCAATAAGAGTGTCAGGAAACAGACTAGTTACAGTTGAGAGAAGATCTCCAATCAGAGCATCAGTGTACGTTATAGCAGCATAATATCCTTGCCGAATATATCTGAAAGGAAGATATAATTAAAAAATAATAATAAATAAATACTGATTGCTTCATTTTCGTCACAATACTTTACATCCATTCAGAAGAATCTAAACTCACAGAATCCTTAATGACAATAACAAACAATTTATTTAAAGAAAAAAAAAATATATACAGCGGTATCTTCTAGTAAAGGAATTGAAAAGCCTGTAAATATTTTAAGATAAGCAGTGCACAGACTGTCTAACCATTATTTGGTTGAAGTTGAGAATACAGTAATAGGTAAAGGAAGGTTCATGGTAAAAGAGACTTAGCAGTGAGGTAGATGGACATCCATGAGCCACTTTTCTATGACTAATTCTCTTGTTCATGAACATCAACTAAATTTTACACATTAAAATGGACACAATCACTCCTCATAAATTTTGTCACACCTGGAGAAACACATATTATGTGCTTGTCTGTCACTAATGACAACAAAGGTTTATACTGTAGTTGTTAACTTGATTTTGGTGCTGTATGGTTCATCTGAAACTACTTTCCATGCCCTTGTTTCATTATAGTATCCTCAATTTTAAATCTGTTCACGAATCAATTTATTTCATAGTTCAGTTGGCAAAAGGTTCACCTCACAAGCTTTAGTCATAGGTTTAATTCCCACCCCTATTGGGTGCACTCGTTGATGGTAGAACCCGTCAGTAAACTAACATCCTGCCAAGGGTGTGGGGTAACCCATTATCTATTGAATGATAAGAATCAAAGTACCTGTTCAGCCACATTACAAATTGGCTGGAAAATAAGTTTGTACTGTATGTAATAAAGATATCTTCTACTCCCTTTGCTATATCTGTAGTGTACTAACTCTTGTTCCCAACTGTATTTCATTTGGAAGTTTAATATTAACCTTGCATAATAGTCTGGAAGAGGTCCATATGGGAAAGAGACATTTAGTGCAGCAATATCTTCACGATATCTGAGGTCATTCCAAGGATTCCAAGCAACGCTGGGTAGACCGTGTGGATATCGACTGTTAGGGGCAAGTGGAATACTCCCAATTGGGTATGCATCTGGAAAAAAAAAGTGATTTCAAATTTCTTTCATCTATTTAAGAGAATTCATTAGTTTACAGAATATGTAAACTCACTTTTGTCTCAAAATGAAATAATGTAATGAAATAATGTGACGAGGATACATCTGGCATCATCTAGATATTTGAGGGTGTGACAGTTGACAAAACTGAAACCTGGTAGGAATGTTCTCCTACATAAAATATATAATGCACTTACATGAGCTGACAATGGCCATCTGTTATGGTTTGACAAAAGTGAAACAAAATACAAACTTCTCTTAATATTTGGTATCCTTATTCTACATAGATGACATTTCTCTTCAACTAAAAAAGTTACTTACTACTGTATATACATAAACAAATTTATCCTACACGACTGTGCTATTAATACATGATGAGCTTAAAGTTCTGTTATTTCAATAACATCTCATGCTAAAATATTTCCATTTACTCTGATCATATTTTACAAATTTCACGTAAATGGTTACCAGTAACTCACAACTAACACTCATATCTATTAAGTTTTATTTAGCTCCAAACCACTGTGATAAAGTACAACTCCAAACTCAACACTATATCCAAAGGTCTATAAAGTTTCATTTAAGATGTGGAACATTTGATATTGCACAATTTTAAAATGATCTCGGTTACCCCACGATTTATAACTCTTTCCCAACCATTTTAGGGGAGAGGGTAAGAGGTAATGCAAGATAAAGACTGTCAAGGTAGCCTCTCTCTTACAACAAACACAGGACTGTACAGTAACTACTCGTCTGGTCAGTGTGAGGTGGCAGGTGACGAGAACAAAAGTTACTACATTTTACGATTAAATATTAAAGTGAGACATTATTACAATTCACCTAAAAACTGCCAAGGGAATTTAAGAGGAATGTGAGGCTTATGGTAACCAACAGCCAAGAAGAAAGGTTGTTTTGAACCCTTGTCTGGTCTGGCCTTCTCTTGTGCTGCCCATCTTTTAAGCCACACAGTTGCAAATTCTGTAGTTTCTATATCTGGTAAGCTTCCACCAGGTTGTTTTTCTACCTGAAATACAAAAAAATTATAGTATCCAGTAGTGCATGCATCTTTGAACATCACATTATAGCAAAGCCAAGGCTCTATATATATATATATATATATATATATATATATATATATATATATATATATATATATATATATATATATATATATATATATATATATATATATATATATATATATATATATATATATATATATATATATATATATATATATATATATATATATATATATATATATATATATACTAGTATATATATATATATATATATATATATATATATATATATATATATATATATATATATATATATATATATATATACAGTATATATATATACAAATAAATAAGTAAATAAATAAACAATTTTTTTTCCATTAGTACTGTAAATCAAAACAGGATAATTTTTTTTCTCGTAACTTTGAATTTTCATTAACTGGATCTTTGTAAATTGGGGGCTGTCTGTACAGGACTGTAATGTACTGTATATGGACCAAATAAATCAAGTGATTAATGAAAACTGGTTTTAAAGATGAAGTGATCTCCATATGACTATCAATCAATCAGAGTACCATCCTCATATCTGAGGATTGGTGACCACATTCCTCCACTCTTAACATTCTCAGCTGTTTTTACCAATGCTCCAAGGTTTTGTATCTCTCTGAGGACCCAGTTTCTAATTTCATGCATCCATCCCAGTCTCTGAACTTTCTTTGGCACTCCTACCCTTGAATTTGCACATTAATATTTCTGTTATCTTCTCCTCCCTAATTATATGACCAAAGTATCTAATTTTTCTTTTTCTGTACATTTCAAGTACAGACACTCCTGGGGTTACAGAACACTCTGTTTACAAAAATTCAAGGTTACAAAACACATCCCATAAGTCCCATTATAAAATTTTTGGGGTTGCCGAAGAGTTTCTCTTATTAAGGAAGGTAACTAGTACGGCGTAACAACACTACTTGTGGAGGATTATGCATAAAGTGGCTGAGTGGATCTCCTTGTGAGACACCATCTGTGATTCAGTACACATTTACCCTATGGAAGGGTCATTTTCTGTCTAAAGAAAATTCGGCTTACAGATAGGGTTCAGGAACGGAACCTTTCCATAAACCGAGGAGTGTCTGTATTTCTCTTGGAAATTTTGATAATCTTAGTAGTATTTCTTCATTCGTTTTCCTGTCAGTCTAGCTTATTTTTAGCATATGCCTCTAACACCAACCTCTTTCTGGTGTCTGGTGGAAGTGCCCACGCTTCTGATCCTTGCCAGATAAAGTCTTTCGGCAGCCTTTTTCTCAAATTGAAGTTAAAGTCCATTTTCATTATGTCTTTTAGATTATTAAATGCTAAACAGTATCAAATGCAGCAGAAAATGCCATACCTGTACAGGACAGTAGATGTTGGTGTGCAGTTGACCATCAGATCCCATACATACAGGATCCTGCTTGTGGGCTTGAGTGGGTGGATGGTACGCTGCTTCCGACCAACTGTAAGGTTGATCATCACTATGGTTACTCACTATACCTGAAAATAAATAGTTGTTTAAATCTTTATCTGCCTCATCTTACTAGCAAACCCAATGGCACCCATAAAGGGTAACTTACTAAAGGTTAAATTATGATATCTTTAACCCCAAAAATATATATATACAGTTCAGTGTATGTGTTTTTTCTCTTTGATATCAGACATCTAGTTAGGAAATAGTGTTGGTAAGTAACGGTGAAGCAATCACATAATATATAATGATAATATTAAGAAAAACACACACCAGGGTGAAAAATCTTCCCAGCAGACACTGTGTGGTAGCCATGTTCCTTAAAGTACTGAGGAAGAGTTGTAAAATTGCCAGCATGCTCCCTCCAGTAGAAGTGGACGTCATACAATCTGGTGGTGTCTGGGCGTCTTGAAGTTAAAAAAGATGTACGACTTGGGCCACACAGCGCTTGCTAGAAGTGAGAAAATATGAATGAAACTTATAACAACTTGCTAAACTTCTTATGATCCTACACTGCGCCATACCACTGGTTTATTCCCATTCAGTCTACAGTACAGTACAGTTAAATGGTAAAATAAAACTTTTCAACCATACTGTACAGTAGCAGGAGAAAATTTTACCTCCCAATAAAAGTCCAAGAAGACTTTACATCTGTTGTTAAAAAAAATATAGGTATGTACTAGTTACAAATACAGGGGGTCCTCAATATAAGTAGTTAATAGGGACCAGAAAAAAGCCACTGGTAATGAAACCACATATAAAGGGAATTAATTTCCATAAGAATTAATAGGAATAGGGTCTAACCGGGACCATCACCTTGTAAGTGACACTGACAAAGTTTAATTTGGTATCTTTTATCAGTAATATATATACCTTAGAAACATTTGTTAAACATTTGATTACACATTATTTTATGAAATTATTTAATTTTACAACTTATTTAGGTATTTAAAGTCGTTTGGGGTTGGTGTGTTGATGTGGGGCATGCTACCTAACCATGCACTCACACTCATTTCAGTGAAAGTGGTTCATATAGACATGCTCACCACTTTTCTTATGACTTATAGCTTCTAATTTCATATTCATCCCATAGCTACTACACTTCCTTTTAGCCACTACACCACCTTGCTTCAGTTTGGAACTGATAGCTACAAAATTAGTCCACCAATGTCACCAAAGACTCAACAAAGTTGATAATTAAAGTTCTTGGAGCACTTCAAAAAAATGCCTGTGGGCACAGGCAACTGGCACTGAGCATGCATAGCGTGGGTGAGAAGGATGACCTTAAGAGAATGGGAGGTGGGTGGGAATTCCAATCATTCAAACACTTGTGCTCCCAAAGATTGACGGATTTCAGCCATAGAATCCTCTTAACTGTGGGGACTTTTTATGTGGAGGTCCGCAATTATTTGACCACTTAAGTGCAAAAACACTTATAATGAAAACACTTATAACGAGGACCCCCTGCACTATTATCAAATTTATGTGTTATACGTATAGGTAGCGTATGTACTATGTCAGACTTACTTGAGCAAAGGCACGTGTCAAGATTGTTCCATGAAGTGCAAGAGAATCGATGTTTGGTGTGAGGGCCAGGGAGTCCCCATAACACCCTAAGGCTGGCCTTAAATCATCTACAACAATCAGGAGAACATTTGGGTGACCAAAACCACCGAAGACACTGTTCACTGAAAAATTAGAGCAAAAGTATTTAAAAAGTTTAATAGTTATTGTTCAATCCATCAGAAAACATACAGTAGTATCAACTTCAATTTCGTATAGTGGCAACAAACGAAAATAATAAGTGTAAGTCCACAAAGTACAGTTTTACTACAATTCACCTTAGGGTACAGTACCTACCCATCAATGTTGTGGAATTGTTGAAGATGTTGCCACTGGTCAACCATGTAAGGGTTGGGAAGGTTAGATTAATTTGGGGGCGAAAATTTATACAATTACAAAAAAACTGAATTCCCAAATTGTGCAGTTCTGAAAATGCACAAACCATACCACATTCCCCTGGCTATGATATTGTAGGTTTGTAATATCATCAAGGACTACGTTAACAGTTTTCATTGTAACACTGTTATCAAAAAGCCTCACAATAATACAGAAAACTGGGTAGGTAACGTAAATACTTTTTCACTTATGAAACGGTGTAATCAAGAGCAGTACTGGGCTTCAAAATAGCCCTTGACAAAATTATCAAGAACAATGAAGGGATCTTACACAGGCCACTTCCCTAGGCATGTAGTAAATAAAGTAAATTGCCTTACTGTAATTCATACCTACGAATAAAACTATGGCCAGAACTAGTTGTCTCATCCTGAAGACGTCCCATCTCCCAAAATTGGTCATAACTTGAGCTACGACGTCTTTTTTTTCGCTGACTCAATACGCAAAACAATATTGGCCCATGGGCACGTCCATGAGTGATGCCGTATGGTCACACATTACCCGGGATGCTAGAAGTAAGCTTTGGTGCTCACCCCCTGGTGGAGGCAGACGACTGACACACTACAGTCAACATAACACGGCCTGTAACGTCACTACACAAGCACCCCGAGCACTTACTCAGTTTTTAGGTGTTTATCACAAATTAAAAACAGAATTAATATAAATTTCCATTGCTTTCCGAAAGATAAAGAACCGAGGGTAAATTTTCTGAATAACACCCAACTCACGCATAACAATACTAATGGCTCTACCACTTACCTTGTGCAATTCTAAGCAACCTTTCTTCTATAAACATCCGTCGGAAATTACTCGTTGTCGAAATATGTATTTTTTAAAGTAACTGAGCAAAAATGTCTGCCGACAACGCCAAATCCACTGTTCTCTACGATAAATAAGGTCTATATTATACGTTGAGCACTTTGGAGGAGACTTTGGCAAAACACAGTGCTTACGGAGAAAATCTAAAGCCCTGTCGTTATTCTCATAGAACTGAGAAATGACAGCAAGGCTCAGCAAAATAGTTCTAGTCGCAGGGTGCACACAGAGACATGGCTGGCCAAAGACTGACTTTTCAAAATCAAACCTCAGCTTACCAGGCAGACAGACACGCTTGCTTCGATACCCCGGTTTCATACTCTCATTGGTTTCATAGTCGGATGGGAAACTGGATCTTTACTTTTTACTTTTATCCTCTTCACCAAAAGATCGGCTTGTTAGCCGCTTGGGCGATCGGTCACGTCTCTGTTACACACTGTTGGCATGTACTGGGCATGCACCAGCTCCTGAATGTACCTGAACCCGCTCCAGTGTTGGTCAAGTCTTGTCTTGAAAGAGCTCACACTCGGTGCAGTCACAAACACAACACTTTCTGGTAGATTGTAGATTGTCCCAAGAGTTCACAACTCTCACTCCGAAAAAGTTTGTCCTCACAGTTTTCTGGACTTTCTGTCAATTTGGAACAACTACCTGCAACACGTTAGTGTTCGTAAACCTAAATGTTGTCATGTTACCTTAGAGTGCATTAGGCAGAGTTAGGGATTAGGCAGAGTTAGGGATTAGGCAGGGTTAAGGTTTAGGCAGGGTTAGGGATTGGGAAGGGTTAGGGATTAGGAAGGGTTAAGGATTAAGAAGAGTAAGAGATTAGGTTGGGTTAGGGATAAAGAAGGGTTGGGGATTAGGCTGGGTTAGGGATTAGGCAGTGTTAGGGATTGGGCTGGATTAGGGATTAGGAAGGGTTGGGGATTAAGCTGGGTTAACGATTTAGGCTGGGCGGGATTGGTGCAGATTTGATCTCCCCCCCCCCCACACACACACACATGTTAGGGCAGGTTTTAGTACAGGTATTAGGGAAGGTATTATTACAGATGTTAGGACAGGTGTTAAGGCAAGTGTTTGTACAGGTGTTAGGGAAGGCAGGTGTTAGTACAGGTGTCAGGACAGGTGTTAAAGTAAGTGTTTGTACAGGTGTTAAGGCAGGTGTTAGTACAGTAGGGCTCACTGCAGAGGTCCAATCTTACAATAGGTATTATATATACAGGTAATTTCGACAGTGACACAAATAGTGAACTACACGAAGCCAGACGCTGTTTTTTTTTGCAAATTTTTCAGTAATTTTAGTAAGGAATCTGTAACTGATAATAATTCATGTAATAGTATATAAGTTTTAAGTATTTATCCATGAAGTAAGTAAAAATTATGTGATTTTTAATTGTTTAAGGAATACAGTAGATATTTATTTTATTTGTAGTGTTTAAGTAATATAGTGGTACCCCTATTTACGCGGTCAATTGAACCCACAGGGTACCGCGTAAAGTGAACAACAGAACATATGGGATTAATTCCAATAGAGACTGGCCCGACCCCCAAACTCCACTTTTTGACGACACAAAACTATGTTGTAGTAAAAATATTATCTTAACTTTATGATGGTATGCTACCCAGGTAATTTCGACAATGACAAATAGTAGACTACACGAAGCCGAAGACAGCTGTTTTTTTTTTTTTGCAAATTTTTCAGTAATTTTATTAAGAATTATATATATATATATATATATATATATATATATATATATATATATATATATATATATATATATATATATATAATATATACAGTGTAGTCTGCATTTACGCGGCCAATTGAACCCGTGGAGGCCCGCGTAAAACAAGAAACACATAAATGAAATAACAGAACATATGGGATTAATTGAAATAGAGACTGGGCCGACCCCCAAACTCCACTTTTTGCCGACACAATACGTAGGTTGTAGTAAAAATAGTATCTTAACTTTATGATGGCATGTACACACATAATATATAAGAGAAATATCAATAAGAGAATAATATACTGTACCAGGTAAAAGAAAAATCAAGGTTTAACAGTTATGCTAGGTTAGAAAAAATCAAGGCTTAACACTTACATTAGGTTAAGTTAGGTTAGAAAAATCAAGGTTTAACACTTACGTTAGGTTAGGTTTAACACTTTCGTTAGTAGAAGAGATGGGTCGGCATACGTTGATGGGGGCTGGTTCCGAGGCAGAGGGCAGATTACTGGCCCTCAGGTGAATCACCATCACTATCGACCACATTTGTCAGGGCCTCCCTGACAAATCCCTCAAAGTCAACATCACTGTCACTATCACTGGCTTAGGCTGGCTGTGGTGTGTTGCGGGCAAAGAAGTCCGTGATGTTACGCTGACGGCTAGTGTTGATGTGTTCGTGATACATCTTGATGTACAGCTCCATAGTCTGCAAAAGCTGGTTATTGAAGACTTCATAGCGGTGATAATCAGGGTCGTTGGAAAGTAGAGCTTGAATTTCTATGCAAACTCGATGGCATCCTTTACATTACCCTGTGTTAACTTATGTCCTTCTCGGGCTACCGCACCACCTGCATCTTCACTGACGTCATCTTCTTCCAACATCTCGTCAGCAGTCACCTCAGGATCCCTGATCACCTCCATAATGTATTTGTTGGTGGTCTCGGAGAAGCCTGCAGCTGTAACACTCTGTGCAGCTTCTCTTGCAAGGTCCACTGCAACAGACTAAATCTCACCAGTCACAGGTTGACTGCCCTCCTACCTGAGATACCTTGCAACACATGCCGCCACGCGTGACGAATCGTTGCCACAGACAGCTGCCCCCATGCCTCCACCAAGAAATCAATATCTTTCTTGACGTTTTGACATTGAATTTCTTCCAAAACTGTTTGACGCGAACTTCTTGCTCCGCCAACTCTTCTTCCTCGTCCTCGTCGTTCTCGCTATCAGTGTCACCCAGGTTACGCAACTCATCCTTGGTGTTGGTACAGTCGTTCAGGAGCTTAAACTTCTTTGCAGAGAATGCAGCCTTAACGTTTCATATCAATCCATGAGCTGGATAAACGATGTAGTGTTGGGAGGAAGTAAGACCACTTTTACGTTGGGGTGACGATCCAACAGTAGGGGCGAGTGTCCTGGTGCGTTGTCAAGGAGCAACAAAATGTTGAATGAAACATTTTGTTGCTCGCAGAATTTCTTGACGTCGGGAACGAAAGTCGTCAAACCAGGAGAGGGACAGAGCAGTGAACATCCACGCCTTACGTGCGGTTAGCCAGTGGACATTTAGCTTGGTCATGTCCATGTTCTTGTAAGTGTGCGGCTTGCGGGCTGTGTGGATCACCGATAACTTGAGCTTACAGGTACCGGTGGCAGTGGTGGTAAACAAAATGGTGATGTGCTCCTTCTGCAATTTCCGGCCCCGACACTTGCTGGCAGACTTGACAACGAATGTCTTGGTAGGTAGCTTTTTCCAAAACAGACCGGATTCATCCATGTTGAACACCTGGTCGTCGGTGTACTGCCCTTCCTCCATAACGTCACGTAAGAATGGAGGAAAATCACTCGCCGCAACACGGTCAGCACTTGCTCCTTCACCAACAATGTTAATGTTGGTGATCTTTTTCCTCTTCTTAAACCCTTGCAGCCACCCAGAGGAAGCAGTGAAGGGTTTTGGCTCTACAATTCCCATCTTATGTGCCACTGCTACGTACAGTTCACGTGTGTACTCCTGAACTGATTGCATGTCCACCGCCATGTTCCGTCTTGCCTGACGAATCAAGTAGCTCACCAGCCGTGACTTGTGACATCAGCCTTTGAAAGGTAGCAGGGGCATTGCAAAGCCCGAAAGGCATAATATTAAATTTATAGGTTGTAGCGTACTGTAATGTGGCCAGTAGACAATTCTCTTTAGATGTCTATTTTCTCTTTGTATGGCCACACAAACGTACGTACATGTAGATATCTCACACTCAGGAATGAGGTAGAATAGAAACTCACGATGTGTTGGGGATTTAGAATATAGTTAAAAGTCTACCCAGATCCCAACAGGAAAAAACAAAAAAAACAAAGACAATCGGACTATAAAAGGGTAGACAAAGGATGCGAGTTTTCGTTGTGTATAATAAAGTACCATAAATCCCTTAACAAAATATTCAGCTTATAAATTACCCTTAACCAAACTTAACCTAAACATTAACAGTATATACATAATAATACAACATAAACCATTTTGAAGCAAGTGGACGTGGGGGAGGCAATACAAGATACAAGTACTTAAGTGAGGAGCTGAGATGGCTGACGAGTAAGGCTGAGTATTGTAGAAGACGGTAGGTAGTCACTGTCCGTAGGTTTAGAGGATAGATGATCCTGTGGTCACTTCCCAGAGCCAAGTCCTCTCTCCTCGAATTGGAGCTGACAAAGAAGACTTTGAGGAGGTGACGCAACAACCAGGATATGGAGAAAGGAAACCCCGGAGTGTTAACTAAGACGAGTCATACTCGTGTCTCGTCCCTAGATGGCGTTGCTCGTGGTGCTGGGTAGGTAGATCAGGACAATAGATGGCGTGGTTCGTAGTGCTGGGTGGAGGGGTTCGTAACACACCCCCCCTCCAAAGACCTCCGTAGCGCGGGCGCGAAGGAGGTGATCACCTAGTGCGTCTGGAGAGTAGCTGCTGCATTTCCACTGGAGCTCGGGATAAGGAGTCTGCAATCAGGTTGTCCACCCCTTTATGTGCCGGACTTGTAGATTATAGGGCTGGGTAAGGAGGCCCAGCGGAG